GCGTCCCTCCCCGTATCTTTAGGCCTATAAAATACCTTCGGGGTACACTTTCACGACAAAGATTTCTAATTTGGCCTTACCAATAGGAAATATATTCCCCCCGTAACTGCGTAAACTAAAAGAGCCATAATTTTTAAAATTATCTATAAAACCCCAAAAAATGTGTTGCTGATTTATATCTCCTCTAACTACCTGCATCAGAAAAGGGACTGAAATAGTTGTGAGCCACGAGAAAATCATTCATAAAAACAAGCAATTTTCCATCCTGAACCGTATTGCAGCTCGCTTTTCGCCACTATTCAAAATGGCGGAAGTAGACAAATTTGCCTCACTCGGCAGTACGCAGCATGACCCAAGTTAGACATCTAGCGCCTTCGGCGCTTCTATATCACTGCCCACAACACCAACACCACTAAACAAAACAAATAACATAAGCAGTGCAAAGTATCTTAAACAAAACAACATAGCACTTAAAACCCCATTTGTTTAACGAAGACACAAGAGTTGAGGTAGGTTGTAACACACAATTTCTTTTTCTCAAAGTCCACTTGTAATATTTATGTTGTTATTAGGAATAACTGTGTTGCAAAAGCCGTTGGATCCTAGCACCCGCTCGATCCTAGATTAGCACACTAGTGGTGGCACTAGAAAATTCATACTCGGAAAAGCCTAGCACTCAGGAGCTATGGTAGTGCTCAAAGTTTTCTTTGAAATCCTAACTCATGTTATTCATGGTGGGAAATCTACATTGACAGAGCATGGGTGCAAGGCCATAATCTGTTATAAGCAGCCATAATCTGTTATGAGGATCTATAATGTAAGGTCTATTTTATTTGACTGAAGAGGGAAGGAATGAAGGCAAATCAGAATGAAATTGGCAATGCCTTTATCCTTATTGAGGTGCTCTTTTGGCTTTTAGATAACACAATACAGAATTTGATTTGAAAACACGGTTTTAAAGATTCCAGTTGGACTAAACAATTGATTGTTTACTGACTTGATACTGATGGTTGTTGAATGTCTGGATCAATCACTAAATTGAAATTTTTTTATGGCATGCTGTTTTGATACTTAAAAAAATCAACCACAATACTTTGTCTTCTGGTGCATATGAGAACAGGAAATAATCCATAAACTAGTGAAACCTGCTAGCCTGTCCTATCTTTGCAATTTGTTTGATTCTGTCTTGTATGAAAAAACATGCAGCTATTAATGCAACTATGCCCCTAGAACTTAGCTGAAAAGCTGGTAGTAACATATGAAGCAGGCCAAGAGATAGAGGGACTAAACAAAGAGTGTAATTGAACACACCCACACCCTTTGAAAATATCTCCCATGTGCAAGAAAATAAACAGTAACCAAACGTGTTCAAGCAAACCCTATCTCTGAAGTTCAAGATATCTCTTGGCCACTGACTATGTCATACCATATTGTATGACATAGTCAGAGTGAATCCCTCACCTTTTTAATTAAAATCTTCTTCACAAAGCATCTGCTTTGCACACAGAATGAACTGTAGCATCTTTCTTGCAGAATGGCATCATATTTTGAAGGAATAGGTCTTACCCCTAAACTGGTATTTTGTACTTGGCACAAGTAAACATGAGCATTTTGTGCATTTTCACTTGATCATTTTCACTTGTTGCACACTTGTCTCTAGAATTGCTTTTTAAAAAAAATGGTCTGTTAAAGTAGGCATTTTTAGGAAAAAGGGATCCCTTTTCAGAAAACAGGTGCACTTTTCCTGTGAAAGGAATTGTGTACTCAATGTTGACCATAGCATTTTAGCAAAGGTTTCATCTCCCTAAAATTTGGTCAAAGTAGACAAATGTGGCTACATTAAGGGTAGGTCTATATTGCAGAGGATAAATTTTCTGTTTAAATTCTTCTAATACTTTGCTATCATGTAATTTGTAAGTTAGTTATTCAAATAATTTGTTATTTATCATATTGTTGTCTAAAGTTAGATCTACTCTGCTCTTTTTGTATTGAGAAGACAGTTCTAAGTTGCTACTTAGAGTTTCAAGCTTACTGCAAGCATCAAGAAGCTGTTAGAACGGCTCATTTTGTGGGTATTATTGATTTAGTTGTGAGGTATCAGGAATTTCAATGCTGGTAGATGTTAACTAAGGGGGAAATTATGTATTTAATTACTGGTGCTAGATATTAGAAACTTATTTTTAAAATTGAATTAATGATGACTGCATCAGTTTTTTTATGTATTAATTTCTTATAAAGATATTATATCTATTAAGTTTAGATCAATTTGGAATTCAAGAGAAAATGGTATTAAGATGAACAATAATGGATAAATTGGTTCCCACCATTTTGAAGCTGTCTCAAGCAATTAAAGATACCTTAAATTTGGCAAAAGATCTGCGTCTAAAGAACAAAGATTTGTTTTTTGAAAAAAAATACACTATCCTTGGCAGAACAATTAAGCATTATGTTGACTGCTTTAGATCGCTTGAAATTAAGAAAACTGCTGACTATGATGATATCATAAAGAGGAATTACAGATTAGAGCATGTAAGAGATGCTGTTGAGGAATTATCAGAAGTTGAAGATAACTGGGCTGACTTCCTAAATGAAAATGATCTTCTGATGAATCAAGATATTGCAAGAGACACTAATGTCAAAATCAAAATTGGAGACCAAATTGATCTAAGCAGTCAATTCATGGATGTACAAAATGAAAGGTCAGTTTAGAATATTGTTTGTCAAACTTGCTACTTTTCAATTTTTTGGAAATCTTCCTGCACACTTTCAAGTGTTTTTTGAATATGTAATTGCTTCTTTTGACCCAAGAATCTTTTTTTTCTAATATTTGCTGGCCTTTTTTATAGCTTTTCTATTTTTGCTTATTTATCAGTGATATAAGCAGCACTGTTTGACAGATTTTAATTCCAGATTTCTTCAGAAAAGGCAGCAACCTTTTAGGGTTGGGAGTGGAAGGGAGAACCCAAGTTGAAAAATGAGCATTTTGAATCAGCCATATTTTCTTTAGAGCAGCGTTGCTTCAAAAAATCCATGTGCTCATTTCTCTCATTCTCTAATGTGTAATCATGCTTAAAAGAGTTTCTATGTTCATTATGTATGCTGAAATCCAAGGGCATCTTTTCTACAGGTTTCTATGTATGAAGGAAATTATAGAAAAGGCAAAGATGCAGCATCTTGTTTTCATTCTATTGAGACATTTTGCCTGACTTCCGTGACGTGATCACGTGGCTGAAATTCAAGCTAATCTCAGCGAATTTGTGGCCACAGGATCTGCAATCGTCATCATAAGCTTTGGTAACAAGGTAAAGAAATACACACTGCAATTTTGTATTTCTTTGATAAATCTATCTTCCTTTTACTTTAAAAAATTGTTTCTCAATGTTATTCAATCCAATGCCTAACTAATCCAGTTTTCCTCAGTTTGTTTGTATTCTTTGAAATATTATGAATTTACTTATGGTCATTATGTCAATATAAATTTCTGCTTATCTTTTATCAATATCCAAGTCTATGATAGTTTCACAAAAAATGCTTTACTGCGTTATGTTTCTGCTTTTCCGTTGTTTTTGAACTTTTTTGATTATATTTTCTCCAAACGTAGCTTGTATCGAAAATGAACAAGTTATGGTAATAGATAAAAAAATTGCTTTGCTATGACAATGGATAGAAAAAATTGTTAACAACAGAGCTATTGATTCTTAGTCATTGTAATAGCCTCGTATGTTGCCCTAACAAATGACACTGTAGGTAAAACAGCAACTATCTAAATCATTTGATATTCTTAATAATCAATGTAATAATGATGTCTGTAAGAAAATTCTTTAAGAAAACTACTTTTAATCGAGTTTATAAGAGCAGGAGTATTCTCCTATAATCATCAGTCTGTGTTTTAATTTTGTCATTTTCTTGAAGGAGGGCGCGAGAAGATGGTTGGAAACAAGTGAGTGTTCTTTCCCGATGTATCTAGACCCTGACCGCAAGTTTTACAAGCAATTTCACTTGCCACGAACAATGAAGAATGTTTGGAACATTGATTCATTGAAGAGATATGCTGAGTTTATTTGCAATGATAGAGAGCTGTTTGATATGGAAGAAGGGGATGACCCACATCAACTTGGTGGTGATTTCATCGTTGATAGCCAAGGAATTTTGAAATTCATACATCGCAGCAAAACAACCATTGATCGACCGACAGTGAAAGACTTGTTGTTTGCCACAAGTAGCTAGCTTTTCAAGTAGTACACTAGTGGCATGCTATTGATGATTAAAGTAAAAAAGTTAGCCTAAAAGGCCTGTATGTTTTTCGTTTGTAAAATTTCTCCCCTTAGGATAAAAAAGAGCACATGCTATGAGACTATGAGACAGTCGCTCTATTTGGCTGTCATGGTAGAATTTTTTCATAATTTGTAATCGTAAAACGAGAGTAGCGAACAGGTATGTTATGATTGCTCTTTGTTCCTGGATGTGTTAATCGTGCATTATGGTATACCTGTGTTTCTTCTTTCATGTGCTTTTCAATTTGCGTTTCTCGTTGTGTATACTTCTCTATGTCTGTACCCTTTTTTATCTCTGCTTCTTTGTGTCTTTGTGCTTGCCCTTCCCACTTTTATTTGCCTGCATTATGTGCGTGGACGTGTTTTTCTGTTTGTAAACTACTCTCCTCTAAAACGTAGATACTTTTATGAAGATTATTAGCAAAACCAATCGGTGCTGTTGTCTGAGAGAACATGTTATTGTATAATGAGTTTCTACGTTTAAGGTTTTAATTACATGCTTGATGTACTTGAATATGCACCGTCCCTTTTTTGTATTGTAACCTTTTACTAATATAGCAAAGTGCAGACATATCATCTATCATGACTTTGAAAAGCTCTACGTTTTTGTAGATACGAGGTTTTTTTAGTAAAAAGTCTTTATGATCAAGAAACGTTCTCCAACCAAGAAACGTTCTCCATTGGTTTATGCTAGACATCGAGTTCTTAAGTGATGATGTCACAAAATTATAGTTTAAAACTTTATTATTTGGATCAGATAGCCTCAAAGAGCATTTTGAAATAACTGTAAATGAACAAAACCAATTTTTTTGCAAGTTGGCTGATATGTAGCTACGCTTCAGGAATATCTGAAAATTTCATTTTTTGTTTGTGGTGAAATTCATAAAATTAAAAGCTGAATTGAAATGGAGGGAAATGTATTAAACTAAACAGGACTTATTCATGCCCTTTGAGGTTTTAACTGTTGAATTTGGAATTTGCCGTGTGGTTTTGAACAAAAATTCCTTCTTTGAAAATTCTAATTACAGTATAAACTACAGTGGATTTGTTTGGGCTTGGCAACATATTTTAAAATTGGAAAATTGCAAAAATACAGCATGCTATATATTCCTTGTGGTATATAATTAGCCTTGAGCAAGTTAAGGGACAGAAGAACAGTCATTCTTAGCTATTTCCTTGCCCATGTCTCAACACAAAGATGCAAGTATAGGTACAGTTTATCCCCCCTTTCAGAATTCAGGTGCATTTCTCTGTGAAAGCGTCTTCCAAAAGTATGACGTGTCTCGCTGGAAATTTTGCATTTTGCTAAAGAAACGACGACGCGTCTTGTAAATGCATTGATGCGTCTTAATGCAAATATGGACAGAATTTTTGTTGAAAATTCATTAAACGGCTGTTGAAAATCCGAATCTGCACTACTTCTTCTTGTCGACCAGCCCACCAGCAAACTGATTTTGTATACTGCGAAGGACACTGCCTCTCTTTAATGCATCGAGATTGGCGCGAATAATGGCGCTCGATTGTAAAAATGCAGATGGTTTCAATTACTGACCTTGATATCGATCAGAAAATAATAAGCTGCCTAAGGAAAGGTAGGATTTTCAAATAATTAGTATAAATTTTCCTTCCACGTGTTAAGAGGAAGCCAGAATTCAACTTACAGAATGCCTATTTACGTACTTCCTTGTTGTCGTTGGTGCGGTTTACGGTATATGTGCCACAAGGCAGGCCATGGGTTCTTTTAATTTTACTCTTCATGGAGATATTAGCAAGGCTCAGGCCACCGGAGGCCGCAGGAGCCAAACAAAATCACTGATTTGGAATACAAGGATGTCTAGAATACAAGAACAGTAGGGGTCAGGGACATCGATATCAAGAGGCGAGGGCACATGCTTTCTCTAAATAGCCACCCTTTCCATGGTTAGGTAACTAGATGCTGCAGCATTAGGCCCATTCCGGAAACAGGTTCAGATGTAAGCAGAGAATAATTTCCCTTGAGCTGAATAGTCTTTAAAAGGGCCCTTTTAGGCCCAAAGGGCCTTTGCCTGGGGTGCATTCCATGTCAACTGTAAGCTGAAGGTCCACCAGGGACATTTGTTTAGGTACGCCGAAAATATAAAAGCAGTTAGTAAAACCATAAACATTGTTGCGCCAGACAAAGAAAACTGATTATTAGAGAAAACTGTGATGTATGAGTTTTTTTTTAATGTTAACTTTTTTCTTTCTTTCTTTATTTAAAGTTGGTACAATTTCTAGCTATGCATACTCAAGCTAATTAAAACCAACTATGTACATGGCTTCATGTTTAGCATGCCAACTAACGAAAATTTTAAGTATGCCGAAAATTTGTTTATTGGTTTGCACACCGAACGCCGAAAAAAAATCTGGGTGTAGGCTAAAGATCTTCGGGCCTAAGTACATGGAATGTACCCTGGGCCTTTGCCCTACGAATTAGGCCCTAAATTGGCCTTAATCTGGCATTAGTCTGGGTTCTTCAGAGAACTTATTTCCCTCTCTACCTCTAACAGGTTGGAATCCATGTGAAGCTCACGCTGGATATACCCCAGTAAACATTAGAAAGACAATTGAAAACCATTAGTCTACACCAGATATCTCTGGTATAAGCTATATGGGTTCCACACTGGAGCTTGGCAAGGCTTCAACTTCACATGTGGGGGGTTTTGCCCCAGTGCCCTGAGATAAATACAGAGCAGGGCCACGACTCAAAATTCAGGATGAGATAGGTCATTTATAACGTGTATCATTCCCTTGATGAACCTTGATGAACCGGCCTCTTTTCTCTTGATGGACCTAACAATGAAAAATTTACCACATCTTTTACATCTTGATGGCAACAAACAACTGAATTTCAGTCCTTAGGGCTCCTGCACAAGGGCACCTTAGCTGTAATTGACCCTGGGGGTTAAAAGTTCTGAACAAATTATGTCAGCAGATAGTTAAAAACTTAATAACAGTTTTCATTCCAAAAAGCAATGTAAGTATGTCAGAAATATCTACCAACAATAGCACTAGCAAATATCTACCTACAATAGCACAGATACCTATCTTTTAATTTAGACCTAATTTCGCAGATTTTCAGACAGGGCTTTTTTTAGGGAATCATAACCAGGGTGGGGGCAAATTTCAATTTTGAAATTAAGGAACTTAAGGAACTTCATGATAATTTTAAGGAACTTAAGGTCTTTTGAGGAACTTAATAGTAATGATGATAATAATCTCTTTATTTACAGTTGGTTTACATAGATGATTTTGTAACAGGTGCTTACTCAAAATGGGCATTTCCAAGGAACAGAAGGTCATAGAAAAGGGAAATATTCTTGATGGTTAAATCTAAGTCCTAGCTTCTCTCCATTTGGCAATAATGGATAATTCTGGCTCCCCTTGGCCTTGAGATCCCATAGAGCCTTAATATTTCCCCACACATTTTCACAAATCTCACTAATTTTCAAAGTTAAAACTTGGCAGATCTTGATGACTACCTGTTGTAGTTTTCCTTGCTCAATATATTAAATTATAACCTCTGTTAATTTTTATCATTGTCATATATTGTGCTTTATTATAACAAGAATGTTCAAATGATCTGAGGTTACATTTCATATTAAGTAATTGATGGTTGAGTGACAATTTTGATGCTGATTTAGCATAATATCTTACGCCTAGCACACATTTACTATTTTATATGTGCAGGTAGGATAACAACTATTCCACATATACTGGTGCTGCCGAATGAAGAGTTGGCTGCAAAAGCACATATTACTGCAGAGGATGTTTCAAAGTTAAGAGAAGCTATATGCAGAAAGTTAAACCCTCAACAGCCATGCTCTCTGCTGGATATATGGAAACAAACATGCCATCCTTCATTTCTAGTGAGGAATTTTTAAAAAATTTCTTCAAACCTCACTTCAAACCTCAAACCTATATTTTTGACTGTGCCTTGAAGGTGTCCTTCTTGCCTATACTGGACTTATTTAAGAAAAATTGGTGCTCTTCAGAATGCCTTTTGTAACAAAAACCTTTGATTAAAACATTTGACAAATCAGTATATTTCTATTTGTAGTTACATAGAGTATAATAAATTAAGAAGAAGGTGTAAGAATAGTTGAAATTGATCTTGAAGAGCAGAGTGTTTTGAAAAAAGAGATAATCGTTTATTTTGCATAGCCTTTTGATAGTTTTGCGGTAGTTTTGTGGTACTTTTATGATACTCAGCTAATCAAGGTTGATAAAAAATGAAGTTATTGGCCTAGTTTTTAAGGTAAGATTTTAAGTCAGTTATCTTCTTACTCTTTCAAGAAATAATTTTTGGTAAATGGTAAGCAACATTGTATAGCTTTTCTCTTTTTAGCATACAAAACTATCAGCTGGTTGTCAAATTATTGATGATACCTTGAAAGGTGGTTTGCTTGTACCTGGTATCAATGAAATATCAGGAGAGAGTGGCAGTGGAAAAACACAGATTGCTCTACAGCTTTGCCTGACTGTTCAACTAGATGTACAATATGGGGGGTTACAGGGAGGTAGTAGTTTTGCTATTTTATATAATTTCGACTCCAAGTAATATTGTTCGATGATTTAGGTTTATGGCTGTCATTTTTTTTAAATATAGTCATATTCAAAAGAGGCAAATGCTATTGTATATGTTGTTTTAAATTCTTGACCAAGCAACTATTTACGACAGTTCTACTGCTATTTGCCAACAAAATTTGTTTTTCCCATACCTTGTGAGTGATTTATTATATGGCATTTTTCTAGAAGAAGAAACCTGAATTCTGAATGCTATTTTGATGGATGCTTTAATTTCTTCCTATCCTAGGTGCTTTGTTCATATCAACAGAGGATGCATTCCCCACAAAGCGTCTACATCAGCTGGCTCATCATATGCAAAAAAGGCTGAAAAGTCAAAATGAAAATCTCATGGATTCCATTTACATAGAACATGCCGCAGATGTTGTAAGTAGTAAAGGGTGCTTTAACTTGTTCATAATTGCCAACAGTTTTAAATAATCAAACAGCCTTTCAATTTTCGATTATTTTTTTGTGTTGTGTACGCTTTAAAACTGCCTGTTCTCTCCAGGAAAGTTTGAAAACACTAGTAAACCAAAGAATTCCAACATTGCTGATGAACTCAAATGTTCGCTTGATAGTGATCGATTCGATTGCTGCGGTGTTTCGGGTGGAATATACAGTCAACGAGAATCTGGAGAGATCGAAAGCCTTGGCTGAGCTTGGCCAACGGTTGCATATTATCAGCCACAAGTATCGTGTTGCTATTGTTTGCATCAATCAGGTATGATCTGTATTTTATCTAATAGGACATGGCCTACACGTCAAATATACTCATCATTTTGCTATATGGATTGTTTGATAGTTTAGTTTCTTAGTTTAGTTTTGATTTGAAAGAAAGGCACTCTTACACAGTGAACTATTTCACGGATCTCGACCTATTGGTCGGCTATGTCTAAGATTTAAAGATAATTGCAAAAGTGTTTTGAAGTATGGGCATGTATTAGATAAATGGAGGACTGTTGTAGAAAACTGACAAGAATGAAGAAGGAAAATTAGCACTGTTTGTGATAATCATGACGTAAAAAGGGCGAAGTAGGATGAGAAATGCAAAGATAGAGGAAGACAAAAGAAGTCAAGACGATGAAATTAAACTGCGCAATATCCGTTGTTTTTTGGGTCAATATGCGTATATATTTAAATCCTTATATCGTTAGTGAAAAGAATTTTAAATAAGTCAGTAAGGCTGAAGAGCATTTGGAATTTTTCGACTTAATGACTTTCCTTCATTATCGGTTGCATATGACCGAATTGGCACTCAGAGTTTATTTCTTTGATAAAGCAACCTTTGTAAGGCAAAGCTTCATTTTGTTGTTGTTTTATCCAATAAAAGGTCTTCAGCACTTCTTATGAAGTTGAGACTAAAAGTAACGCAGATGCAAAACTTGATACACTTAACAAGACTTGTTTCATAGAATTAGTATAATAAATTGCTGAATACCATTCTCTTGCATCTAAATGAAAATTTCCTTTCAGATATCTGACGTTGTCTCTGCTGACAAAGTAGGGAGTGAAGATATAGGGTAAAGTACTATGCTTAAATTGATTAATTGGTAAAATGTAGTGTAGATGCTTGAAACATTTTATAACATATGTTTTGAGCGAAGTCTAAAGCCACCATGTTGAAGAAGGAAGAGACACGTTTTTGCCTGCCTGGTAATACATGTACATATTAGTATTAGTCTAATCTATCAAAATGCATGAAGCTAGTTGAGTGCTCTTCTGGCATATATTCCATTCAGAGTAAAACGTGTACTTCATATTGCTTATAGTTTTGTTTTTCTTTTTGGCCGTTATCGGTATATATATCTTTCTAATGCTCCTTTAACCCATTAACTTTTTCACTAAAACTGGCGAGTTGATGGATTGGCAATAAATTTCATTTATTCTAGCTATTTATCTATGCATTTTTTATATGTTACCTAGCATCTGAAGGGAGTTTTTTAGAACAACGAGAAACTTATGCTTATCGAGCAGTGTCCTGGTCCTTCCTCTCGATGTGACCACATCTCGTGATTCCTACGCCTGGAATTACAGAGAGCTGGCGACTTTCCCCACTCTGAGTGAAAGTTTGGTCATGCCAGGGACTCGAACCACAGACTACAGATCTGTAGTCCTCAACCCTAGCCACTGAGCCATCTATCTTTGTGCCATGCCGTTGAACGTTGGCGATCATGTCATTTATTACTACATATGTTATTAACCATAATTTAAACTAGACAAATATTCGAAAAAGTTTTCTACTTTTTTCCCAGTGGAAGACGAGTTATCCCAGCTTTGGGCCTCTCTTGGGCAAACGCGGTGACAGTGAGGCTAATGGTTATGCGAACTCCATACACGGTTTCGCAGCTGCGCGGAGCTGCTGCAAATTCTGGGAACGCTCAGCAAGACTTGACCAAGGTTTAATATTTTACAGAAATAAGTATGAATATTTAAGAAAATTGTTTTCTATCAAGATTTTTGCGTAAGGTTTTTCGACTATAAATCCGCCCAAAATTCTAAAACTTGGTTATGCTGCTGCTCTTGTGAGTTTCGTGTCTTTGAAACAAAGAAAAGCGTATCTTAGCAGTGACCTGCCAGTTAATACTACATTGAAATTGCATTAATACAATGTGACATTAGAATGCCACTTGCCAAAAACGGGTTTTCTCACAAAATAGCCTTTTATGTACCATTCTTTTCATGAAAGCTTAAAAAGTAAATTCCTCTTAGTATGACGTGGAGGTGTTAATTTCTGAAATTTAAAATGATATCCTGACATCTTGACAAAAGGCCTTTTTTCCATTAAGAAACTACTATTAGTAGACATCGACATAGCTTTTAAAATGAAAGGATGGCAACGTAAATTTATAACAGCGTTGAATCACAGTCATCGTTAGCCTGATAAACAGACCCCGATTTCAAAGGAAACACATCGTGATTTGTACAAGCAAGTTCCTATGGCAGCACTTAATTTCGTTGCTACCATCAATACATTTAACCACTTTTCTTGTATGTTAGAAACAAGCAACTTGCTTTTGAAGGGTACAGAATTAACATCTGGATTAGAAATCGAATCCAACAGTCTTTGCAAATTTCTTATATCAAAAAAAGTATGAGTGATTCTGACTGTGTTTGTCCATTACGGTGCATCCCTCATTTTTGTAAATTATTCTTCTTTCCCAGGTGTCCTCTAGTGGAGGTTCCATAGTAAGAAAACTCAAAGTTTTATTTGCACCGCATATTCCAAAAAATGAATGCTACTACCTCGTTGAAGAGCACGGCGTGCGAGGCTTTTGAGTCAACTACGATGACACATGGAAGAGGTGACATTATTTTCCATATTTTTCATTATTTCCCATGTTTTTCATCATTTTCATATTTTTGATATATAACGGATTTAATTCAAGCATCTATGTTTAAAATTCTTGTTTTCAAGGCTGTTACTTCAATATTTAGAAATAGGCTTGCACGATTGTCTTTTCACTTTTTAGAGATAATCTTAGCTGTGGTTTGACGTCAAAGGCCCAGTAATTTTTGTTTGATATAGATATATGTTTGTGGTCTTTGCAACTTATCCTAAGAAGGGATATAATAAGGAGCTTCCTCGTGCTCCGGTACTTTTATCGGTCCTGTATCTTAGTTCACTGAACTTTACATTTCAGCTTCATAACATCAATGCGCCTTTAAATGCTGCTCTTAGCAATAAGGAACAGGAGATTTGAAATGTAAAATACTTTTTGTCGTATTTTGATGGTGCTTATTAATAACGTTTGAGACATAAAAGAAATATTTGTTTCCTCTCAAAATTTCCCTTTTCATTAAGTGAATGTGAAGACAAATTTGCCAAACATTTAAGTACAGCTTTAGTATGCTTGTACTGTTCTTGAAAGACAGCCAGGAGTTGATCTACACAACCCTCCTACAATGCCCATACAGGACACAACATTTTTCAAGTTATACATTTGCTTCCTATAGTGCTTTCTCAAATTTCAGCGAAAAAAAGCAAGATCATTTTCTTTGGTTTGTACTTTTACTTCTATTTCTTGAATATAAGCTCCTTCTTCCTTTACTACAAAGTTTAATTCGAAATTGCCCGGAAAACTGCTCAAATAACAATAGCTTTTTCTATTTCATAACTAGACATTTCTTTTTCTATTCCTAGGTCGGATATTTCATAACTCTGACAAAAATGCGATATTTGCGTCAGTCGGGCCTCTATCATCTAAAAAGGGTCCTAAAAACGCTTTTGAACGGGGACACGTGTAAGTAATTGACGAAACCTCTGACGGGTTTGAAAAACTGAAGAAAGAACACGAGAGAAAGTGCTATTATTGAAGTCTGTCATATTAGTTAAAATGACATCAATGAATCAATTCTATTTACTTAATATTTTGGTGAATGTCCTCTTGTTGCCTTCGTCCCATCCTCATTGAATTCCAAACATGGCATTTTTAGGTAGTTGAAATATAGTTTTCCGACTGTGAATGCTGATTTCCAGCTATCTTTCACGGCTTTCATGCACTTATAAAACTTCTTGTCACACTTACAATCGCTTACTGTAGTGGACAGCTCATTCTCGTATCCGTAATCTGTACTGAAAGCACTCACTGTTCGGTCGCAGTGGTCATGGTCCCTACAGCACGAGTCTAAATCGGCCAGTCTTCCCAAGTCATCATAACTTTTTGCTTTATTTCCATTACCGCACCATAATGTACCTATCAAAGATTGATTTATTCAAGAAGTAAGCAAAATTAAATCCTCTAGTTTCTGCATCCTCTTATAAATTTCCTCTAAACTTGTTGTGATTAATCATCTTTCTTCAGACATCTGTTGGTAAAAATATTTGGTAAAACCTCAATGCTGGAATTAAGTTCACATTTTATAAAGATTGTGCTCTTTACACAAGTTTCTTTAGTTAGTTCTTGGCTAGTTGAAAGGGATTGAATTCGAAACCTCTATCAAAAGTAGTTCTACATACCTAAGGAAAAGGGCCAATTATGTAGATAATTGAAAAAAGAGAGTATATCATACACTTACGGTAAGATTACGTCGCGAGTCTAAGCATAGCTTAATCCTGTTTCAATTTCTACCCTATTTCGTTAATTTTAAATCAGTAAATAATATGTCACTTACCAGGCATAATAATTCGCTTCTGTGGATTTCCCAAAGTTTCTGGTTCCTTTGGAATATGCTCTGTAACGAATTTGAACTTGTCAAACAGTAATAAGTTGCATTCTAAAAGTAATGTATTACCCCTTTCCCGGCCAAGGGGAAGAATCCGGTTCGGATAATCCGATTAACCGCGTGTCATACACGTCGAGGAGTTTTTTGACTGCATCAACGAACCATAGGTCGCTTAGGGTCAGGGATCGCTCTTCTAAAAATATAATGATGCCTCTCTTGATTCTTCATGTCCACCCCTAGGAACATTTGCAATAGAAAATGATTTTTGAAACTGCTTGCTAAACATTTAAAAGAGTGAGACTTACTTTTAGCAAAGACTTGCACAACGAAGAGAGCGAGAATAAGTAGCTTCATCATTGCTTAACCTACAATGTAAAAAAACTTAAGATTTGTTGTGCAAATCAATCAAGTTATGAAGCATACTGCTTTTTTAAGTTTTCTTCTCAATCAACTCTGGCTGAAATGCTTTCAAAGGGCCATGTCTAGTTGTCCCTGGAAAAACAACGTGTTGTTTATCGTTAATCTTAAGACGTTGGTGATATGTAGTATGGTACCGCAAAAGGTCGATGACGTAGGACTACTACTAGATTACATGAATCTTGAAGAATCTATTTTAACTCTGACATGAAACGTGAAACTACAAAAAATGAATCTAATCTTTGATTGGGCACATGAAAAAAGGTTGAGCCTACAATACCGGGCAAAAGTAGTTAAGAGACTTTTAAAGAAAAATTGATGTTTTCTCTTCTCTTTAAAAAATTACCTTTACCCCTTCCCGATTCAATGTTGAATTCATGTTTTCGAAACACAAATGATAGCACTACTTATCCAACATTGATTCGGGGGAGGGGGATTCGATTTTTTTGCTGCAAAATAAGCAGAAAAATTGCATTTTGTCTCAACAATTTAGTCCGGGATTGTAGGTCACATAGTTAAGAGTCCCAATTGATAAAAGTAAGTTTATGAAGGCTATCAACAGAAAAGCGGGGACGATAAGACACTGACGTCCATTTTACATATTTTCATAATGAAATGTTGTTCATTTGCCCGCAAAGATAAGCAATGAGCCACCCTTTTTGCCGTTCTTTTTCAATGAACATGATAATACTCTTTTTAGTTGTGAAAACGCACTTGCAATTAGTCACATAAACTTCCTCAAGTAAAGAAATAATACTTGTCAAATTTTACAGCATTAATAGTGATAATACATTATATACCCAGATTAACAAAAACACTGAAGATGACGAAATAACACTAAAATGAAAATGGTAGATCTGACCTCAATGTGTCTTGGTATGGAGCAATGCGTCTGAAGTTCCCAGCAGATTTCTGTGCCTTCTGTCTTCTTTTGTACAATCTATCTAAATGATCTCACACTGACAGTGAATTTTAACGTCACCCACTCCAAAGACAGCGCTATTGGCACCTGTTGTTAAGTTTACGGCCTGATTCACAGGCATCACAAGTTTGATGATAATCTTTTGATAGTCGTTTGTATTATGTTCTCTGAATTGACAGTGCATTGATGTAACGTCTTTTTGTATTGTGAATGTGACCTGGTATTGATAAGACGTAAAAAGTCCTGGGACCCCAAGAAGAAAACAATTGCATTTCAAAACAGGAAGATTACAAGGGGCGAGCCTGATTTCCCCAAAACTGGTCCTTTTTCTGTTATCAATGTTTTACTTGCCTGAGTACCTGGTTATCCATAAAAGGGTCATCACTGTTTGCTATGGCTCTTTCCCTGATTGGTCAATAATTGTCTTTATCGAACAAGCCTTTTTTTGCATATCTTGGAACCATTAGCTATTCATTTTCCCTTAAGGCATTATTAGAGTAGCCGTCCTTAAAACTAAGAGGGGGATGTTCTTTGTCTGTGTCACCATGTCCCATTGACATCCATCTATGGCATTAGGTACTTAGATAGTGCTTTGGACTTTTCTTGGTGCCACACCCTTGATGACCTCCATGTATTTGCCATTGTGGCAGAAGCCCTCTCAATCAGAACAAAACGTAATTAATTCAATCTTTATCACATCTTTGTCTGGTACACTTTACTAAAGTTTGCTCATTTTCTATTGCAACCCATTTTTATCGAGATCTGTCAAAATTCAGCTTTACCGTTCTTATACAAAATATTCTAATAAGAAGAAAGTGTGCTTGATTTTTAATTTTTGTTGTTCTAGAAACAAAAGATGATTCCAATTTTAACGAAACATAAAGTACTTTTTATTTTCAACTAGCACCTAATCTTGAGTGGTAAATAGCCAGACTCATTATATTTACTTTAAACAGCTTAGGCTCCATGTACATGATATCAAATTCATAGTTTGCTATATCGAATTTAAAGCTGTAATTTGTTTTAATCCACTGATCATGTCCAAAAGTAACTCAATATTGCGAATCAGTAATTAAAGTCTTTCAACAGTTTTTAAGACATGCTTTCCTTCTGGTGACCACAAGCACACCACATCAAAGTTGAGTTTTGGAAGGGAAGGGTAACAACTCTTTTATGTTTGCAAAGGCACCAAATCAGGGAACCTTAGCCCCACCCCTCAAAACAATTTTTTTGAAAGTTTAACAAAAAGGGCTGCACCCTCCTCAAACCCACAACCAGAAATACAGCCCTGGTTAGTGCATTACCTTTTTTCTTTACTGTATGGTATTGTATCTGATTTTTTAATGTTAGCTGTTGCAATAGTGGAAAAAACACTAAATGGCTTTGAAAAATGCAAACATTTAGTAAACTAAAGCTTTTTGTCTGACACTCTTCAGAGTTTAAAACGTCAGAACTCTGAAGAGTGTCAGACGAAAAGCTTTAGTTTACTGAATGTTTGCTTTTTTTCAAAGCCATTTACAAGTTTTGTACCACCAAAAGATTGTTTAAAAAACACTAATTCAAATTAACATGAAGCAATTTCAAGAATGGTATAAGGCATTTCAGTTACTCAATGGCGGATTTAAGGGGGGCAACTAGGAGTAGTTGTCCCTCCCTCACCGAGTTGAAGCAAGTCTAGCGCCCCTTCTTTTGGAAATCGTGCGCCTCTTTTGAAGAATGATAATCAGGTGAAAAAGTTTCTGAGACTTAGAAAGTTAGTTTACTTCACGGACTACCTCAAAGTATACAACAAATTTTGTGACAATTTCCTTACAAAGTGAATGGAGAGCCTTCTATCAGAAGTTAGGGTCTGAAATTGTTGTAAACAGCATACACCCGTCGCCAATTTCTGAAAATTTTTCAGCGCCCCAACTACCAACTGCCCTTCCTTCAAATTTGCTCTGGATCCGCCCCTGCAGTTACTGCAAAATGAGCACGTGTACTTATTTTCATAGAACCAAGTTTTAGTATGATTTATGAATTCTTTTAATTTTCCGGCCTTTTTTTTGGTTTCACCTGGAAGTGATCTGGTCTGATTTTACATAAAATTTGCTGATCTGATTTTATGATTTGTATTTCTAGCTTTGGCATCAAAAAGGGGATTTGTACATGATGGTAATGTCTCGTTAGTTTTGGCAAAAATAGTCCTTCATAAAGATATTTAGATTGTTTTGAGTTTCAAATACTTCAAGTGCTAAGATTCTAATTGATTGAATATGGATGGTAGTTTCATTTAAGTTAGCAATTAGATCCTTAGAGGATGATGAACAGTCAGAATCTAAATTCAGCCTTTTGTGTTTCTTAAATGAACATTTCAAAATCTGTTTCAATTTTTTCGTCGACCATATAATTGTTATGATCCAATCTTTCCCTTTTGTCTGTTAGCAGATTAGGGATTTTCATCCTCTCTAACTGCTGCAAAAATTATTGAATATTTCTTTTCTCTTCGCCCTATCCTATCAAATCTTGGCAATTATTTTCCTAATATAATAAAAAAATCTCGAATAACAAGGTGTTGTTTTTTAGTACTTGAAGCCTTGAATAAACTATAATTTGTTTTTATTGATCTTTATTTAGCGAGAGGGCTTGACTGTAAAAACCCTGCCCTAGCAATTCATTTCATAAAATAAGTGGTAATGTAAGAGGTTGTATGTTGTATAAAATTTTTGGCAGCGACATTTGATAATTTTGCATTGTTTGATAGTTGTATACGATTTTGCAGAACACTCCTCCCGTTTTTCATGAAGTTATATTGAATTTTTCATTGAATCCATATTTTAAGCTTGTGCACGTTAAGATTGTGCATTCCCGCAGTGTCAGGTTTTGAAAAGCTTGATTCCAAAAACCTGCAGCTTATGTGAGTTTTGCGTCTTTGAAACAAACAAAATCCTATTTTGGCAATGGCCTGCCAGCAGCAATGCCTCTTTCCTAAGTCAAATTTTCCAACAAAAAAGCCTTTATGTAGCATTGCCTTTTTATGGTCGCTTAAATAGCAAATTCCTCCCATTAGAGTCAGACCTTCGAAAAGTATCCTGACGTAAAAAGGAGAATTTTTCTTTGAATTACGAAACTACTAATTCTAGCAAGGACGATGAATTTGTAAAATCTATGAAAATGGAAGTAAACTGAGAAAAAATAAAAGTTGTGGTCTTAAGGAGAAACAAAAGAAAATCACATTCTAAGTCCGAAAAATGCTAGTGTGGAAACATTTACGAATGTGAACAGTACCATAAAATCAAATGGTTCTTTTTATTGAGCACGTTGAAAATGTTAAGTATAAGTTACAAAAGTCATCTTTTAGTGTTCTTGCTAACAGTAAAGAGTTGGGTAGTTTTCAACCAAAACTCTTTTTGTACTTATTTGACCAATAATGCCTATCCGCGATTATGCATCATACGTCTGGGAAACAAACGAGTGGTTAAAAATTGGGAAGGTTCATCTAGCAGCATGTAAATATGTTTTAGGTGTCAAGTCATTATCTTGTAGACAAATAATTATTTTGAGGTTTTTCTACTGGCTACGAAATTTAGAAAGTAAACCTTACGCCTATAAACATTTCAACTGTTAAAGACTCATTGCTAACAATGGGCCTTTGCGAGCGTGGCGACGGTCCAAACAATGGCAGTAAACTTCTACGGATTAACCCAAATTGATTTCAGACAGTCTAAAAATGCATTATGGGATGCTTGCATAGCGCAATTTTCTGGATGTAATACTTGGATCTCAACAGGACGGTCTCTATCATCATTTTAAAACATAAACCCTTCAGATGATTCTAGTGTTGTCTAATTTAAGGTTTATAATCGTTTTAGGTTTCAAAAAATGAATAACCTAAATCTACACGTTGCACAAGACAGGAAACTGAAATTGTTTCCTTTATTTAAGACAACTTTCAATTTGAACCTTATCTTGATGTAATAGCTAGCTACGTTCCCTGAAAGAAGTAGCATTGCAAGGGTGAGACTTCGTGCTCATAGTTTGGCAATAGAAACCAGAAGGTATGGAACGCAAAAAACCCTAGAGAACTGCGATACCGTGAATTCTGTAAATCTAATGGCACTCTTGTTTTGGAAGATAAGTTCCATTTCCTTGTTTCATGACCTCAAATGTGCAAATGTGCGCGAGGCCCTACTCGCAATCACCTACAAAAATTTTCCGTCAATAAGATTACTTGATGACAAAAAATCTATTTGTTTTGTTGATGAGTCAGGAAAAAAATGAGTGTATGCAACAATTAGGTAAATTCTGTATTAGAGCTTTCAATCTACATCAAAAAGCTTAAATAGATTAAGAAAACTACATCAGAGTTAATAACACTTTTTTCCTCTATGCCTTGTTAATATTTTTTAATTGTTAATATTACTTGTTGATTTACAAATGATTAATATAGTATTTAGCTTCAAGATACGTTAATTGAATTATGTATTAAGAATCATGTAACTTAATAGCTATGTACGTATAATTAGTTTTTGTAATATTTAGTCCAACTTTATGTATTTTTTTGCTGTTAAAGTGTATTAGCCATGAATTAAATGTAAAGTGGCAATGGGCCACCTCGGCTTACAAGAAAAAGTTGTTATGACTGTTTTTAGCCATTACAGTGCATGCCCTCATTTTTATGCAATGCTCTTCATTTCCAGGTGTCCTATAGTAGAGATTCAGTAGTAGGAAAACTCGAAGTTTTATTTGCACCGCACATTCCAAATGTAACTACCTCGTTGAAGAGCACGGCGTGCGTGGCTTTTAAGCCAATCAAGATGAAATATGGAAAAGGTGACTCATTGTTTTTCCGTTTTAAATCGAGGCTTCTTTTTTTCAAATTCTTTTGTTCAAGTCGTTGGTTAAATATTTAGACAGAGGTCTGCACGATTGTCTCTTCGCTATAAGAGGTAGCATGCTCGTACTCCGGGACTCCGGGACATTTATCGATCCTGTATCTTAGTTCAGCTTCATAACATCAAAAGAACGCTCTTTCCAGAGCCTTTACAGCACTTATCAATAAGTGACAGAAGGTTAAAGATGTGAAATTCTTTTTGTCGTATTTCGACGTTGCTCATAAATGACGTTTGAAACATAAGAGAAATATTTGTTTCATCTCAAAATTTCCCTTTTCATTAAGTGAATGTGAAGACAAATTTGCCGAACATTTGAGTACAGCTTTAGCAGCCTTGCACTGCTCTTGAAAGACAGCCTGGAATTGATCAACAAAACCCTCATATAATCCTCATACAAAATGTGCTTTCCTAAGTTCCTCAATAAACATCAAGATATTTTCTTTGTTTTGTACTTTTGCTTCTATTTCTTGAATAGAAAACTTCTTGGCCCTTTCTTCTTTCTTAACTACAAATTTTTAATCAAAGCTGACCTGAAAACTGTTCAAATAGAAATAGGTTTGTCAGGGGACAAATGTGTAAGCAATTGGCGAAGCTTTTGACGTATTTGAAATAACTGAAGAAGGAACATGCAGAGAAAATGCCATGATTGAAGAGGACTGTGATATTAGTCAAAATTATGACAATGAAACAATTCTATTTGCTTAAAATTTTGGTGAATGTTCAAGTGTGGGAACCGTCCCATCAGCACTGAATTGCAAACATGGCATCTTTTTAAAGTTGAAATATATTCTTCCAACTACTTTTGCATCATTTTCGTTTCTTGTCACGGCCTTCAAGCAATTATAAAACGTCGTGTCACACTCACAATCGCTCACTGTCGTTGACATCTCATTCGTGTATCCGAATTTCGTAGTGTGAGCACTCACTGATCGGTCGCAGTGGTCATGGTTCCTACAGCACGAGTCTACGTCGTCTAGTCTTCCCAAGGCATCTTCGTTGTCTGCTATATCTTCGATACCGCACCAAAGTGTACCTATCAAAGTGTGATTTATTCAAGAAGTAAGCATCTATTTTTATTTATAGTAAGAGTGGTTTGTTTAGTTTGTGCTTCCTTTCATGATTTTTTCTTGAGACTTGTTGTAGAGAACCATCTTTCTCCAGCCATCTGTTGGAAAAGTAGGTACTTAGCAATATTTGGTAAAACTCCCATGTTGGAGATAAATTCTTGTTTTATTTAGCTTGTGCTATTAACAGAAGTTTCCCAAATGTGTTCAGCTATTACCATTTTCATTGCTTTTCACTAGTCGCATGGAATTGAGGGTTCTAATGCACGATATTTTGGAACCCCTCTTAGAAGTAGTAATTTGTTTTGCATTAGACGTCTATTTAAATACCTAATGCAAGTGTCTGATGATGCAGATTACTGCAAAAAGTCGGTAGATTATGCGCTTCTATTACAGTTCGTCAGGATGCTCTGTCAAATTCTACGCAATTTCGATTGAAATCAAGAAATAATCTCTTACCAGGATAAATATACAGCGAATTTTTCCTTTTCTTTGATTCCACTGAAGTACGCGCTGTAATCGAATTTAAACTCGTCAAAATTTTGTTTAAGCCTCTTGCAAGTTGAAAGAGGTGCATTCGTTACCGTGTGTTTTTCAACCTCTTTCACTTTGTTTTACCCATGGAGCTCTTTAAAGTTTGGAAGCACGTCGCTGTATCGCAAATTGATGTGATAATGCAGGGGCGAAGCCAAACATTTTTTCGGAGGGGTAGAGAAATAACCGTGTGGCTAATGAGTTGAAGAGATCTCGAGTCAATTATTTTCAAAACTACTTTTCTATAAACAGTCAAAATATGAAAAAGCTGTGGTCAGGAATTAAATAATAATTTCCAATAAGGCCTTTACTGCTTCTAGCATAAATAAAATCAAAGACGAAAACGGAAATACAACGTCTGACCAAAGTCAAAACTAATCATGTTATCTTCCATTCTACCTCATCGTCAATACCTCCAAACACTGTAATTGAAATAGGAAAAAAACACAACACCAAAGTCAAATATGTTAAGTTTCTAGGTCTTCTGCTTGATGAAAAGCTGAGCTGGAAGTATCATCTTGGCGAACGTTTCAAAAAATTGGCAAGAACGTGTGGCATTCTCTTCAGAATTCGAAATCTTCTTACATCTGAATCACTGATATGCATCTACAATGCTTTAATCATGTCATTTCTACAATATGGCATCATTGTCTGGGGACAAACATATGACTCATACCTGGAGCCAATATTCAAGCTGCAGAAAAAGGCTGTTAGAGCTATTTCTCATCAACCCTTTCGTTCTCCCTCTCTTCCCGTTTTTTAAAAGCTTAAACTTCTCAGACTTTAATAAATTTTTCAGCTAAGACTATTAACATTTGTTTGTGAATCTATAAACAAGAAAAATCCCTCTTGCTTTCATGATTACTTCTCTTTCAATGCAGATATTTACCAACACATTACTAGGCAATCTAATCGCGATAATTTGTTTTTGACTCATAGGAACAGTTTTCGGTATGGCCTGAAGTCCATTCGATATATGGGGGCAAGAATGTGGAATGACCTACCAGTTGAAATTAGAAATTATCCTACAAAATATTCTTTTAAAAAAACCTTAAAATATGTTTGCAAAACAACATAGTAATCAATGATGGTTTTTTTAACTTAGTCTATAAATAGATGACATTTTTCTGTGGATGACTGATAGCAACTTACAGATGATTTTTTTTTACTTTTAGAACAAAAAATTAAGCAGAACGCATCTAATTTATTAGGGGGTGCTTTCTCCTCGATTAGTTCATAAACTACTAAAAAGTTTCCTCCTTTAAATTATTCCCTTTGTACAATTCTAGCTTGTTTCTCCTCTACTCTGTATTTGTTATGTTACGTTTATATTATTTAACTTCCTTTTACATTGTTTATACTTTTAATCTTGAATTATTTCTAATTTGCAACAAGTGTATGTATCCAGTGGAATTTAAAACAAAACTGAACTGAACTGAACTGAACTGAACTGAACTGAACTGAACTGAACTGAACTGAACTGAACTGAACTGAACTGAACAGAGTCTCACTCTTTAAGGGTGTGGTCATAAGATAAATAATTTTATTGCTGCTTTTATGCGTTTATATGTCAATATCCACCATTGAAATAATGAAAATTAAGTATTTCTAGTGCCATACTTGCTACTACAGAAATGTTAAAACAATTATACTACAGGGTTAGAAAAAATGTTGCCTTTTGCCCGGCAAGAATCCTTTATGGAAGCGGAAAAAGTATTGGAGGGTACAGCGCCCCCAAATAACCTGATACCTACAGGTCTTATGTCTTGTCTTTTTACAGCTGCCCAAGTTTTATCTTCGATTATAGTGTTTCTTTCAAGAAATAAAATTGACGTTGCATTTGAACCTGCGCGCAGAACAATTGAAAGAGTGAACTTACTTTAAGCAAGGACTTGCACCACAAAGAGAGCAAAAATAATTAGCTTCAACATTTTTAACCTACAAAACGAAAAAAAGTTTAGGTTAGTTGTGCAATTCAGTCAGTATTGATGGATGCTGCTTTGTTACCTTTTACCTCAATGTACTCTGATTGAAATGGTTTTGCCAGAGCCATATCTACTTGTTCCTGGAAAGGTAGTGTGTAAATCATCATTCTTAAGACAGTTTAATGAATCTCAGAAAACCTGTGGCATCTACATATTAAAGATTGCGCAAAGAGCAACCAAATTACTGCAACAAGAAAATACTAATTGTCCGATACTCATCCAAATATGAAACGTGTAGCTACCAACAAAAGGAATTGAAATTGCGATTTGCTTCGGACTTGATTTATCGGAGCCCATTGAACCCGGAGCACAAAGTTAAGAGTCCTAAGTGATAAAAGGAGGTTTCGCATTATTATTGAGTTGGCTTTTATATCAATATGGTTTATGGTATAAACCATCAAAATTTGTCGGGTTATCGAAAGAACTACAAGACAGAAAAGACTTTGACGTCCATTTTACATATGTTCATGTACCTATAGCAGTAAAGACCAACACTGATTTTCATGGTTATATATTTTGACTTGTTTTCTAGAAAACATCATGTTCTTCTGTTTAAAGACAAATTAAAGGAAAATTTTATGCCACCCTTTTTGCAATTTTATCTCACGCTAGTCATCTAACCTTTATCATGATATAACATTTGTAAAAGAAGTTTCAATAGGTTTTCTAATTGCTCTCAATAAAATTGTTGTACTCATTTATGTCAAATTTTACAACATTAATAATGGTAATCCATTATGTGCCCAATTTAATATAACATTGAAGTTGATTATTAAAACACTAAAATAAAAATGGTAGACCTGACCTCCAGTTGGCTTGGTAAAGAGCGATGCGTCTGAAGTTCCCAGCAGATTCCTATGCCTTCTGTCTTCTTTTGTGCAATGAATGTATCAATATATATATATATATATTATATATTTATATAGAAATTTGTCTTTTGATACTTCCGTAGCACAGTGCTCAATACGTTAGCACGTAGAGCGTGATATATCATAGATTGAAGAAAGTAAAACTACATGGTTTATCTCTACAAGCCTGTTTCGTGAGTAACTCACTCTTCAGGAGATCCTTTTTACTTATCTTGAAGATCTCCTGAAGAGTGAGTTACTCACGAAACAGGCTTGTAGAGATAAACCATGTAGTTTTACTTTCTTCAATCTATGATATATATATTTATATATATATATCCAGACAGGATGTTTTGATTATAAGGGCAATGAATTCCAACGTGTAACCACTCTGCGCTATGGGCACCTGTTGTTAAATTTATTTCCTGGTTCGCATGCTTCACAAATTAATTGACAATGGTTATCAAATAGAAAGCAATCAAAGCAACTACATCACAAAGGAATCAGATAACAAGATCTCTTATCGTTAAATCTGGAATCGTTAAATCTGGTCCTTTTTCTGTTATCAATATTCTACTTGCCTGAGTACCTGGAAATCCATAAGAAAGTCATCGCTGTTTGCTACGGCTCTTTCTTTGATTTGATAATAATTGTCTCGATCGAACAGTCTTCTTTTACTTATCTTGAATTTTCTTGGAACCATCAGCGATTCATTTTTCCCTTAAGGCATTCTTAGAGTAGCCGTCCTTAAAACCAAGAGACGGGATATTCTTTGCCTATGCAACCGCCGAAACAATGGGCTTGTTCCCTATTCCTTGGACATCGACCTAAGGTATTATGTGTATAGATTGTGATTTGGGCTCTTCTAGGTGCCACTCCTTTGATGACCTCTATGTATTTGCCATTGTGACAAAAGCCCTCTAATGCAGAACAAAAAGTCAGCAATTTTTGTCATCTATGGAAAATTATAGCTATAATTCCTGCCATTTTTGTACACTGCACTGAAGTGTACACATTTTCTATTGCATGTACTTTCTTTCTCTGCAGATATCTAATTGATTCCATTCAGTTGGTTATGATAGTGCTTCTCTGTAACCGAGATGGTTTAGCTGAGAGGGGCGTGATTTCTGTCTTTAACATTGAACATTGTCACTTTTCCAAAGCTTAAGACTCAAGCAACTTTGATAAAGATTGTTTAATGATGGACTACTTACATACAGAAAAGAATTCATTCGGCAGGTTTGAGTTCGATTGAGAAAAGGCTAGGCCTCAAGGTAAGCCCTAATACCTGGTACATCTGCCTCAAGAGCTTTCTCTCCGTTTCTTGAAACACCATTCTCATTCTGCTATTGCAATTTCAAAATAGACCTTTTTTGCTTCTATATTAAGATTTTTTAGAACTTTCCATACTCAGTTTGTCTTAAAAAGCCTTTGTCGCAAAATGTGTGAGAACAACAGAGAATAAAGTCTTCTAAATTAATCAAGGGTGGTGGGGGGGATGGGGGGGGGCTGTTTCTGAAATTCAGAGTAACATGAAACACACCAGTAATCACTTTGATTGTGACCAAAGTAAAGGCGGTGCTGGTATTAGTTACGGTTGGATTGAATGGAAGTTTTTTCTTACTTACTTACTAGGTAACTGTTCTGGAGCATCAACAAGTGAAAAGAGGCAATACAGAGGCAAATAATTAAACAATTTGTGTCCACAGGTGTGTTTTCACAGTTGTAAATTACAGCTTGAAAGCATTTTTTTGAAGAAGAACAAAAAAAGGGGACTGCGCCCTCCTGAACACTTCCTCACCCACCACCACCACTACAGCCCAGTTAAAGGCATTGCCATTTTCCTGTCTTTATTATGAGTTTTTATTGACATAAACCTGTAAAACAAAGAAGGATTCTTAGCTTATTTTATCTTGAAGAATTAAACTACCGCAGGACTGTCTTGATACACTATACATACCAGGTCTGTACATACTTTGTATATATTGTGTAGAAAAAAAACAAGAAAAATAAACCAAAATTTACGTACCATATGCACTGATAGAGGGAAAAAATACCGGTTTAAAAGTACAACATGATCATGAAACAATTTTGTTTACTTATAACTTGGCGAATGTCCTTTTGTTGCTGTTGTTCCAAAAGTATTGAATCTCAAACATGGCATGCTTAGAATGTTGAAAAACATTTTCCCGACAATTGTTGCTTCTTTAGAGTTCTCCTTCGCATTTTTCAGACATTCGTAGAACTTCTTGTCACAATCACAGTCGCTGACTGTGAATGGCCTCCAATTTCGGTAACCATACTCTTTAGAGAAGCCATTCACTTTTCGATCGCAGTGGTCATGGTCCCTGCAACACGAGTCTACATCAGCTAGTCTTCCCAATTCATCTTCACTTGTTGCTTTATTTCCCATACCGCACCAAAGTGTTCCTGTAAAAAGCAAGGTAATCTTCCTCGTCAGTAACAGAATCGTCCATATATCAAGCTTCTCCTTGCAAAAAATCTTTGCAGCCTTTGCATATAAAAGAACAATCGATTTGCATAAAATAGAGGGCAATACCTGCCCATCGAAACCTTTGCCTAATTTATCCTTTCATTCTAACATATCATTCATTTGGCATGGTTGTCCCTTCAGCACCCAACTGAATGTACTCTCGTATTCTAAACCAGAATACCCACTTATCATTCTAATTATCTTTCTAATTAACTATGTTTGGAAATTCTGAGTACTTGTGACATAAGTATTAGACCTGACAGTCACTTCCTCGGTGACAGTGTATCAAAACAAGCAAGTCAGAGAAGAATTCTGCAAGCAAATTACAAGGTTCAAAATTAAGTTACAACAGTAGTTCTTTATTATGAAAAGAATGCTAATGAAATGAGATTGCAAGTACACTCTTCCAAATAGCTGTTCATTCTCTTAGGGCATGGCGGATCAACGTCATTGAAAAAGCCAATCGTGTAGCCAAGTAAGACTGTCTTATTTGGCTTTCAAGATATTGAAAATAACTGTCTTACACGTCACTAGTTTCCAGCCTTCTTTTGATCATATTTTAAGATTTGACAATTTCTCTTGTAATTGTATTGAATGAGATTCATGTTTTTGGGAACCGAAGTTTTAATGCATTCGTTACTTACCCGGCATTATTACCCGCTTGTCAGCTTTTCCGCGACGTTTCAGATCATTTTTCCCTGAAGATGGCTCTGTAGAAAAGACATTTCAACGTTACTGAAGCATGTTGAAGCAGATACGCCAAGTGGGTCTTCACTTCTTATGCCTCTATCCTACTGAAACTGAATCTACTGATAAGCTACATTTATATTTTCCCCTTGAGAATTTATTACCCTCAATGCATTGAAAATTGTTACCAATTATCAATAGGCATTTCATTTACATTCATATTAAGTTTTTGTGCAAGTTTGCAAGTTGTTTTTTGTCTTGTTTTGCTTCCATATTTGATGCCCTTTTCATACTAGTTTTTAAATATGATGACATATCGAGCCTTTTTTAAGCTGACAACTATTTGAAAAGTGGTATAGCTTACTTTTCCCAAAGACTTGAGTCAAAAGTAGAGCCAATACAATCAACTTCATCATCTCTGAACCTAGGATATTAAAAATATCGTTAATATAGCTAATCAGATATAATGATACCTCAGTAGCGGTACCACGAGGGGGGGGGGGGGGGAATGGGGTGACACGGGGTAATATTTTGGCAACGTACTTTTTGTGATATAATCTTGTGATTTTGTTACGTTTGCCAACTGCCTTTACGTAGCCAAAAGTAAGTCATGGGCGTTTTCTTCAGGTAAAATTGGCATTCCTTGTTGGTAAAAGTAAAAGGGCGTTTTCTGGTGCTTAAAAAATTGTAGCCGCAAATGTTTTCCCTTGTCATTCCCCCCCCCCCCCCTCCCCAGTGCGTTGTGGCTGGATCCATCATTGTATGTGATACCTGAATAACATGTTCCAAAATGCAGCCTCGATAGTCATTGTACAAGCGCCTCTAACAAGACACTCATCAGATTTTTAAGATTTTTTAATCATTAAGATTTTTCTTGATATAATCATCATATTAAGTAAATAATGCTGAAAATTAACGATTTTTGATCAGCTTTGCTGTTTTTGTTCAAAAAATATTCTTTTGACTAAAGTTTGATATATTTTATTTTTTGTTTAAAATATTCAATATCTTATCCGGATGTATGCGATCATAAATTATTCCACTTCCTTATCGAGAAAAAGGAAAAACAGAAGATTTTGTCTACTAGCCCAAAAACGAGGACTTCCAGACGAATGTCTGATCTTTGATCCTTAAGAAATTAGAGTGCTTGATGGATTAAAAAAATTTATAGCGTGGTGTAATAAAGGAAGCAATACGTTTGCAGTTGTACATGCAAAACTTTCTCAAAAAATACTCAAAGGAATTGCTGTGAAATTGTGCTAGTGTAATGAATTATTATCTTACAAGCCTGAAATTAGCTATGCTCACCTTAACACGTCTCTCATAAACACGTCTTGTTATCTTGCTTAAACTGTGTACTGTGAATTGTACCCTCTAATCTTTTACATATCTTCCACTTGTTACAAACATTTGCCATGTAATCACAGGTTGCTTCATTCAAATGCAAGGATTGTGGTCGATTATGTCTGGGAGGTGATTTCAACCCTATGAGCTGACATATAGGAACCTGCTATACAGTTTGCTGCAATCTTGGCACGCTTTGTAACCATATTCACAATCATACCTCTGTCAGTAATTTACTTTCCAAGTCCAAACAGTATCGAGAAAAAAATTTAACAGACCCAAATTATCCCGTTCCTTTAGTAAATGAAATGGCATTTTTCTTCTTTCGTTCATATTTAAGATGTTTTTTAAACGTTTCAATGGTTGTATTCTTCATTTTTTTGCTTAATGGATTCCACAACACAGGACCTCTGAAGGAAATTGAGTTTAGTGCCAATTTCTGTTCGGTATCTAGGAATCCTGAGTGTATGATTCAACCGGCTACTGTGTCTTTCCGTTTTTGATTCAAAAAGCGTAAATATAAGGATTCGTCTTTTATATTGGTAGCTTAATGAGTCCCATTTTGATGCATTCAACACCTCACTGTCTTTCACATTTGGTGGAATCCTCTTAATTACTCTTGCGGCCTGTTCTCTAATTCTTCAAATAGGCTTTCGCTGCATGTACCCCATTAAGCTATTTCATATGTTATGATTGGTATTACTGTTGTGAAGTAAATTTCCTCAAGGAAATTTCGGGACAAGTATTTCAGATTTTTTAACTTTTTCACTTTGGCAACAAATGATTTACGTATCGATTTAATCTGGGGTTTCCATGTCAGTTTGCTATCGGTCAAAACACCAAGGCATTCAGAAGTGTGCACGTACTCTATCGTCTGTTCACCAAGACTAAGTTCATTCAGGAGACCAATGAATTTGTGCCTGTTTAATATCATGGCTTCGTTTTCTCAGGGTGAATAGTTAGCCTATTTTTGGCACACCATTGGTGTATGTCCCTCGGCATTGTCTGCAAATCTTCACATACTTCGTCCATGGTACTGCTATCACAATATGCGGTGGTGTCGTCAGCATACATCTCAAGTTGACCTTTACTTAGGGCTTTAGGGAAGTCGTCTACATACATCGAAAACAATCTTGGCCCAAGGAGTGAGCCTTGTGGTACTCCGTACTCAATTTTCCGGAGTGTTGAGGTGCTTTTGTCAATTTCTCTGAACTGAAATCTATTGTTCAGATAACCTTGAATTGTCAGTGCTATATTTCCACTGTGGTCCACTGTATCGAACGCCTTTCGAAAATCGATGAACAATACACCCACATATTTCCCTTGGTCCGTGAGTTTTTTCCAAGTCTCTGTGAGATAAACAAGCATCATCTCAGTAGATAAGCCTTTTTTATATCCCCATTGATGCGGATTCGGAGAAGTTTCGAGGTGACTATCTACATTAGTGCATATAACGCTCTCGATAATTTTACCAGGTGTGCTTAGCATGCTAAGAGGTCTGTAGTTGCCACGATCTACACTGCTTCCTTTCTTGAAAGACAATCGTAGTTTTCCTATTTTATATTCTGAAGGAAACTGCCTTGATTTCATGCTGTGGTAACAGAGACTATATAAACCATGATTCAGTTCGTCTTTACACATTATTATCCTTCTTGGTGTTATCTTATCTGACCCCGGTGCTTTGCCAGGCTTCATTTTGTCCAACTGCTTTTTTAGAGTATCATAGATGTTTGACACTTCCGACAGGGTTGGGCGCACTCTGGTAATGTAAGAGTAATCAGACTGATCAGGTAAAGGAAACTGACTTGCTAAATTCTTGCCAATATCCGTGAAATAATTGTTAAATGCTTCTGCCTTTTCTTTGTCAGAGTAAACAAGGACTTTTTCGTCATTCTCAATTGGCCCTATTCTCTTGTTATCTTTCTCCTTTCCTGTTAATCTTCTGACAAATTTCCAAAAGTCTTTAGATCCACTCTGCCTCAGCTAGGCTACTTTTCCAGTAGTTTCTTTCAGCTGCTCTTAGGATAGAAGTGACGTCATTTCGTTTTCTTTTGTATGCATTCCAGTTATTTTGATTGTTAGTGTGCAATGCAATTTGTAAACATTTGTACCTTTGATTTATTTCCTTCCTTATCTTAGATGTCAACCAGGGATGAGACTTTGCCCGTACTTTGGTCTCTCTCTCTCTCTATGATAATCTCCTTTTCTGACATCCTTGTAAATCTTTTCCCAGCACCATTTGTGGTCATCCACCTCATCAAAGACATTACAAACTGACCACGGTGCATAGCTTAATGACTTTCTGAAACCCTCCCAATCACATATGATATTAACCATATCATATATTAAAACCAGGATATTAAAACGAGAGCCAAATAACAGAGGTTTGATGGGGAAAGGGACTGCTCGCGTGGCCTGATCAGAGCCAAGTTTAATAACTGGTTTTACACTTATTCAGACATTTTACAGTGCACTTTCAAGTTATTAGATTCAAGATCAAAAATTCTAAAAAGTTTTATGATTCTATCACTTATGTTTAATAATTTCATCATTTAGATTTTATAATTTCATCACTTCGGTACTCTACCCCTTCTGCCCATTGTGGTGATTAGTTGATATCAAAGACACTCAAGGAGACTATATTTAAATACAAGTAAAAATTTGAATACATTCTTCCTCTTTGCTAATGTTGCTTTGAAAGTTACGTGTACGTGCTACACATTTAGGGACATTGGAAGCCTTTCAAAGTTGGAGGGACACAGGATGGAAAGGGCACCATTTTACAGAAGGGGGTAATATTTCAAAGAGGTTACTTCTTGAAAAAGGGCATTTTTTCCAAAAGTTGAGCTGGGCATGCGCCCTAGCGCCTCCCCGGCTCCTACGTCTCTGTAGACAATCATTTGACGTATTACACTGATACCAGTCTCCTTCAAAAGCTGAAATCCCCAGCTGTTGAGAGTTTCTACCACACAGAAGGCAAAATAGCAAACATGATTAATCTTCTTTGTGATATCGTCTATTTTTGTCAAAGCCTGTTTATTTAAAGAAGACTGTGTAAATTGAATCTTTGCAGTTCGGTCATTAGACGAAAGGTCTTTGCACAAATTTAAAATCCAGGATAAATTTCTGAAATAAAAGCAGCTTAAAAATAATCACTTTCTACAATTTCTCAGTATGTAAAACGAGGTTTCTTGGTTGAGGATTTCAAGAGTATTATTGAGCTGGTTGGCTTAATATTCATTTTACCAAGGTCTGAAAAAACTGGTAGCTAGATCATGGAAATATTGTTGCAGACGTTGTTTGAATATGTGAATAGACCGTTGTTTGAATATGTGAATAGACGTTTTGGTTTTCCTCGCTGGAAGCTGCTTATTCGATATTTTTGAAAGAATCCAGAGAAAAGTGCCTAGACCAAGTCTTCTCGGGTTCATAATTGCCTTATTCCTACTCTTTTTATGATTAATCTCGTACTACATCATATTGTATCACCTAGTTTTCATAATTATACTTCTTTTCGTATTGTATTTATCATATTTCTTCATGAGACCGTTTTTTGATTAATAACTTGTAATATTTTCTTTCTCTACGAGATTTGACAAACACGTATAAAAAGGCACCTTTGCCAAAAACCCTTTATTCTTATCCTTTTCCACCTTGAGGTGTGACGAATGCCCTCCAAATGGACGAGACCAAATCACCATTCAACCCAATTTCAGTGATTTCAGTCAACTCTATATTGAAACTCCTTTTTCTCCATGTTTTATTATTCACCACCAGATTACGTTGTTGCTGGCCACAGTTTGTTATGGATTTCCATTAAAAGACTCGATAAATCCGTCAAACTGTGCATTTTTTGTCTCCTTTTAGTTTAAAAAAGCATGCTACATTTTCCACTTTTTTATTTTCATAAGGACATCTTTTTCTTGCTCGTGCTATATCTGTTTACGTTGTTTGATTTAATTTTGCCTTACTATCTTGTTGCTCCCCATGTATCCACGTGTGAAAGTTCCCAAGACTATATTTCGCACACCCCTCCCTTTCTTAAAAACGAGGCTAACAATAACTTTTAAAAAGCTTTGAAGTAATGGCTTTGAAAAAGCAAACATTTGAATATACTTAAGCTTTTCGTCTGACTATAAAGCGTCAGAACATAGATCGAAAACTCTACGCTAGCAAATATATATACCCAATTGTGGATCGAAATAGGCCAATCAGAAACGCGAGCACATTAATGTTGAGGTTGCCCAATCAGTTTAAGTTTTGTGCCTTCAAAAGATTGTCTTTAAAGAAATGTATTGTGGTAATGATGGAAAAGTCTTTGTGTTCTTTTGAAGTTCAAATCTGAATTTTATCATAAAAAATCATTAAATGCAAGGAAAGCAACTAAAGATTAGATTACTTCATTGAACAACCCGATATGAATTGATGCAGTCTCTCCTTAATTGACTTAAAAACTGAATTACTTTTTACACTGAGTATTTGAGCTCTTTCCACTTTATTTGAAGCGTCGTGAATGGGTTTTAAATGCTTCAGTTCCTTCCCGATTAAATCTAAGACACGGCATTCTCAGGACATTAAAAAACATCTTTCCAACTAACTTTGCTGCAACTTTGTGGTCTTCTACGTTTTTCAGACAAGTGTAGAACATGAAATCGCACTTGCAATCGCTGACAGTGAATAGAAAAAGGTTTCTGAAGCCATATTGTTTCTTGAATGCTCCAACCGTGCGAGGGCAATGATCGTGCTCACGACAACACATGTCTACCTCAGTGAATGAGCCAAGATCGTCTTCGCTGTCAGCCTTGTTCCCATTGCCACACCAAAGAGTACCTTGAACATTAACAAAAATTACAGACTTATTAAATATCATTTCATTTACTACAATTTGATCTGCAGAAATCTCTACCGATAGTGTCCCCAAACCTCGATAATTTCCAGGAGTGTTGTAAGCATCCTCCTTGTCTCTTCGAAGAATATGCAACTATGTCGTAACTTACGATGTTTGCTAAACTCAATGAGCCCCTTTTTTGTAGTCACGAAGAGACAATCTGTTTTTCTTTGAAAATCTATAGAAAGCACTACATTACCTAATATATTATTTAAACAAACTAGACTTTTAAGACGCCTGTTAAAGACTGGTTATTAATAGAAATACGAGTGGATCAAATGTTTTAGAATTTTGAAGTTACAAATCAGTAAATGTTCACAAGACACCATTTTTCAATGTCCGTAGTATAGTTCATATCAGGGAAATTCATACTAATTCTGCGACCTTTCCCCCTCTTCCACCGGTTGGTGATAGATATCATCGGTCAAAACCACTTGGACAGTTCGGATATGAGAACCGTTGTCGGGATTAAATATCTCGGTCGGGATTAAATATCTCGGTCGGGATTAAATATCTCGGTCTGAATTAGTTTCGTTTCGTTTTGAAATGATAAGGCCAAATGAAAATCCACCATGTTGTGATCATAATCCGTGATAGCAGATTGCGCGGGCAAATGATTTGCTAGCAAACAAGTAACATGCTAAAGGCAGTGGCGTAGCCAGCAAGCACCGAGATACCGGGAGGGGGGGCCTGGGTAGTAGTATAAGTAAAGTACTATTATTTTGTAAATTATGGCTGTTTTTACATTTATTTATCAGGGCTGGCCCCTCAAACAAAAAGCTGAATCTCGCTCTTTGGTAGCCATGGTTGGATGATTGGAGGGGCAAAGATAAGTCTTAAGAATGTCGGACAACGTTTAATTTTTAAAATGTGTTTGAAAAAAGCCATGAATAATCAAACATAATAACAGTTATATGTAGCTTTTTGTTGCTGATCCTGTCGGGTGAGGAAGCTCTACGTGTAGAAACTAATTTTTTAAATTGTTGGCAAATATCCAAAAATAATAAAAATATTCAAGATGGCTAAGCCTATTCTCCCGCTTTCCTTTGAAAAACATTCGCTTTTCGCTTTTGCCAACATTCGGGGGCTGAAAATGTTCTTGAAACAACTTTTACCTCTTGCAGTCTATTAAAAAACAGTGTGGCAAACTATGTTCTATCGATTAAATTTAAAATGGTATTTTTACCATTTTTCTGCGAAAAGTTATTAAACCAAAGCCGGAGGGCTGTATTCACAAATTGCACATTTTTATCAAAGTTTCGGAGATTTTCATCATTTCATTTTTATACCTGAAATTTTTAGTTAACTACGAAAATATGGAAATAACAATAAAACTATGGTATTTGTGATGTTTGAAAATCAAATCAGTCCTATAGATTTAGTCAGTCAAAAGTTGTTAAAGGAAAACTTTTGCGTGTGAATCGTCAGGGCGAATCGTCAGGGCGAATCGTCAGGGCGAGTCGTCAGGGCGAATCGTCAGGGCGAATCGTCAGGGCGAATCGTCAGGGCGAATCGTCAGGGCGAATCGTCCGAATCGTCAGGCCTATACAAATCAATATTGCTGTTGTTGTCGCTGACTCTGAATTTCGTCGGTAACGCGTAACGCAAATTAATATTCTCAGTCGGTTGGTTCAGTGTGCGAATATTATAAATGGGCCGGAAAGATTAGGTGGTTTTGACCGTCGATATCTGTCATCGACCTCTTCTACCACTCAATACAATACACTCATCCACCCTTCACGCTTTATTATTTATATACAAATAAGCTGATATAGGTGAAACTAGAAATCAAAGGTTTTACAGATAGTGCCGGAGCCATCAGTCTTATAAATTATCACTTTTTGTGGTTATTTCTTCTCTTTAGGAAACCTCCGCAATCTCCGTCAAATTATGAAGAATATGCTAATTTTGACCTACCTGGCATTATTATTCGCTTGTCCCCCTGTTCACCTTGTGAAAAATCTTCTTCTAGTTGCTGCTGTATGAGTTCATCTAAGAATAACGCACAACAATCAATTCCATAAAGTAAGCCTTGTATTGAAAGACTGTCTGTAAATATGCGTATGATACAACTTCCCCAGCTTGATTTACTTTAATGACAGCACTAAGATATGCACCCTATGAAAATGAGCATATTTTTTCATATTTAGAAGCAGATTAGTGGAGATTTGAAGATCCAAAAAGGGTTATCTTTTGGCGGTCTCTGATGGTACAAAGCATTCCGTTAGAGTCTCTAGTTTACGCTTAATTATTCATACACTTTACTAAAAACCAAGCATTATTTGTTTTAGCGCAAACTTCACCCATTATCAAATGGCAATGTTGGCCTGTTGGGTAACCTAACATGTTGTTCAAACGACCCAACATCTAACCCAACATCAATTTCGAGTGAATATTGGGTGAAATGTTGGATCGTTTAAGCGGGGCTTAAGAAATTGAGCAGTGTATCTGGAACAAAAAGGTAGCGAAAACTTATGGTCCCTATTGGGAAGCATGATATTTAGGTTTATGTTTATTGTCTGTGGTCAAGCACCATTTAACTGGTGCCTACTAGCAAAAACCAACACAGTGATACTTCTCTATAATACTAAACACCTCCGTTTGAATTAGCAATACTACTGCTACTTGTAAACCGTTGTTTCAGTATCAATAGCATTGTACTTAACTTGGATTAGGCGCGGATTCTCGCTTTGTAAATTTTTCATATCGGAGTTGAAAAACGCTGACGTTTTATCATCTTTTCCTTGCGGAATTCTTGTGATACAAACACACCTGCTCAAATTATTGACTTGCAAATAGAAATCCTTCATGCTTTAATCATCTTAACTCTTTCAGGTCGCCCTTTATTCGGGAAATATACCTGCATCCATTGATTGGGCTTTTAGGAAAGGCTAAAATTATTAGCTTTGATATACTCGTAAACTAAGGCCATCTTAGTCGATATTGTTTTGAATATTTATTTATATGTTATATTTCTTTATGAAGTAGATGTAATGGTAATAATTATTATCTAAATATGAGTTCTATTAAAGCAATTTTATTTTTCTTTCTAGCTGAGGTAGTTGTTGGCGCATACTTTCAAACTATGATAGGAATTTTGAACATTTCTATATGAGTTTTCAAAAGGTTGTTAACTTGTTAATCGGCGAATTTAAAACAGGAACGAGAAGTTTTCATAGATATAGACCCGCTGCTGTATCGTTTTCATGATGTCTTCGATCAAGCTATACCATTGTTAATAGTTCTGCTGAGCCAGTTCTTACTCCGGGAGCGAAAATCTCCAAACTCACTTTTAATGAACTGAAATCAAAGTAGCGAGATATTTGATGTCTTGAAGAAGAACTAAACAATAAATTTACATGCATTCATTCCACTACTTGCATTGATAAATTCCACTATTTTGATTTTATGTGTGTAAGAATGTCGCTAACAACGAATGAATACACATTTCCTGTGCAAGAAAAACATTCTGAATTTGCCAACTCACCCACATCATAAGCGTAAACATGCACAAGAAGAAGAATGTAGACGAAGTTTTTCAACATTTTGCCATTCACGTATGAACGGAAGAGTCTAACTTCGAGTTTAACTACGCGACAACTGTAAATTCACAGAGCCCTCTTGCTACAGTGCCTTGAAGCGAGCAGTTGCTTGGCCTATTCAAGAGAACCTCGTCTTGTTCTTCAAACTCACAGTTGCATATCACTGATTTAATAATATATGCAAGTGTCTTTGCCAAACCAAAGCACGAGAAATGAAAATGTATAATTATGTTTCCTGAGATTTTGCCCATTCGAATGGTTTCATTAATATTTTATGACCTGCTTTTGAGTTTCTTCCATGTTCAAACTGCAAATCTCTCACAGCACTGTGAAAATGATAACTCTAAGACGTTCCGCTAGAGCTATTATCTTGTGCAATCTTAAAGCAGGTTCATCTTGTAACTCTTCGTGAAAATAATATTTTCTTGAGTGCAAACAGAATACAAGTTAATCTCGCTGCCCTCAACTTGAGTTTTTTTTTCTTCATAAACATGAGCAAGTATGATGTTTCAATGTTCCTATACTGTAATAAGACCATTCCTTCAAACAAAATTTTAGAAGAACATGTTTGATTATATCGCAAGAACATGCAAGTGAAGGTACTCGAAATGTTCAGTTGAAGATATGAGCTTTCGGCATTATATACTCAAAATATATGACTTTTTCAATTCCTCATGGTTGTTGAGCATAAATGGCCATTTAAAGAGGTAGTTGTTTGTACAGATCTCTCACTCTTTGTATAAAGTGCATAGCCTGAATTCCTTTGTGAAACTACTGCGGTTTTAGGAATTTCCAACTTTCAGTTCATTTTATTAACATTATTGTCATATTTTACTAATATTCTTGTAATATTGTATAATTGCCTTTTTAAGATTTATTTTTCCGGTTTTAGGATCTAAAAACTGCTTAAGTATTCATAATTTCGTTCTTTGTAATGCCTCCTTAGTTTTTCACAACTAAACGGCATGCATAATCTTAACATAAGTCACAAGTTTCTTGACTTAATTCTTGGTAAAAGCTTCTTGGCTTGTAAACACCGTCGAACTTTTTTGCCTTAATTAGATTAAGAACACTAAATATCTTTTTTTTTTGTCAATTTTGAAAATGCCTTTTTTAGATGTCTTTTTGCAGTAGATTATTCTTAGTCACGCGGCAGCCGGTATACGCTAGCTTACATTGCTTGCATCGGCGTGTTGCTTACAAAGGAGAGTTTTTTTGATAGAATTCGAAATCGAAGGTTTTTTGACCTGCAGGTGTAAAATTTTATCTTGATGAAACTATTGATAGAATTTCTAAAAATGTTGGTCCTTTTTTATTAAAATGTATCACATGCTTTCCAATCTTGTTTTTTGAATAGTTCTTCTGTCTTTTACACGTGCTTTTACACGTGCTTCATGCAAGTGTACTCAGCCGTCTGATTAAATCGATAAAAATTATCTTAAGAAGTGTCTTTCGGCTAAGCTTTCTATGATTTTTAAGTTTTCTTATATCGAATTTTTTGAGAATTTTCATAAAAGGGTTTACTTATACTCGCTCCTGTTGTAAGAGCTTGCTTTAAACCTTATTTTGAATACGTTCATTGTGAAATTGGATGTTCTATAACGACCTTTTTGTATTTGGCTGTTTTGAAACGACCTTAGAATTTCTACAGGTGTCTTTAAAGTCAGGTATATTTGAAGTAATCTACAGGTATCTTAAGTATCTGCAGAAAGGTATCTACAGGTGTATTCAAAGTACGGCATCTGCAGGTATTTTTGAAATACCTTCGTAATAATCTGTTATAAAAAGTAATAGTTTGATTGGGCTTATATTTTCTCTGCAGTACTGAATACAGTTGATAGTTGAAATGGTCGTGAGCAAAATGTCGAAGTGTATTTTGCTCAATCTTAGGCAATTCTTCTACTCTCCCTTTCTGTTGACTAGTTACAAGATTAGTGCTTGATAATTTGAGACGATAGTCACATCCTGGCATCTGCTACTTTTACGATAAATACTACGGCATTGCATCTATTTCTAGTAGGTATTAAGTCAGGTATCATTTGATAAAAAATGCTCTTAATGGGCTAATCACAACCACATGTTTTGTTGACATTGGTGCCACGGACTATCGCCGTGGGTGCTCCTGTTTTTTAAGGCCATAGCTTATCTCAAACTAGGTATTCTCTCTCGAAACATCGTTGATACCATTTTTGTCTTAGAAAGGATTTTTAAGATGGAAGCTCAAGAACTGAATCAGTTTTAAACAGTATATGACGGACAGCAATTTTGTAAGAAATACAATGTCAGGATCTTTTTATAATCCTAACTAGGGGGAAATGCAGAGTGCAGAAAACCCCTCAACTTTCCTCCGGATGAAATCTTGCTCTATTTGCCTTCCTCAAAAAAATTTTTCTATGGTTTGGTCTTTACATTTAATCATGAAAATAGAAAGGTTCGAGCACAACGTTTATGTACTCTTGGTAGTTAGGCACTGCTCCTCTTCAAAACAACAGCATCTTTGGATGATCTTCCTCCGGTTCACAGACGTGGAACCGTAATGTTTTCTTGACTTCGGAGGAAGACGGCCCTATTTGCCAATCTAGCGATGTTACTTTGTTTTGAATGAATAGCTTGTTGTCTCTTACCATAGAAACAAAGCCAGACTTCCAAGCTCAAGTGTTAAAATTTCATGGAAACAGTTTACACATGTTTTGGGTTTGGTGGTGTCATAGAACCAGCTAGGATGAAAATTAGAAATTGATCCCCAGCCAGTTCAATAAATGACTGACGCCAGTAAATGGTCTTCTCTGCCTGTTTCGTCAAATATTTCTGGATATATTTTGTCTGTATGTTCTCTGCACATTATTCCATTCATTACGTAGTCGATCAATCTCATCTGCAACGGTATTGTCTTCTTAAACGATTATTTGAAAATCCTCAGCCATATGATGAGACTGCGACTCATTCAGTGTTTTGTAAAAAACTAGCTCAGTCAATACATCTGTTCTACTTTTAAAAGATAAAAGCTTCTAAAATCAGCAAATGTCTTTCGTTATGATTACGAAATAGCTTCATTTTATTTTTAAAAGAATAAGGACTAGTTTTTTAAATAACTTACTTCATTTTCGTCAAGTGAGCGAGGGAAGCAAGCATCACTGTAACATTCCTCAGTTCAATTGACCAATTAACAGTGTTTTAGAAAAAGGGTCAGATAGAAAGCAAAAAAGTTTGCATTTTTATTTCAGGCCAGAATAACTATGTTTCTTCTAAACTTCTAGTTTTTTTTTTCTATTTGAAGGGTAACAAGGACTCATCATGAACTTACATTTTGCCGGTTTCTCGGTTATGAAAACCCACAGTCAGCGGCTGTGATAATGTGGCCAAAATATTACAAGGATTATCGCTGTTACAGTAATATTTACTTGCTGTGGCACGGATTATATTTAGCAATCTCATCATTTCGTGCTAGAGGATCCAGGTTTCTTTGTAATGCTACTTCGTCGATTACTATGTTATATATTTTTGCCTACTCGCATTATATTTGTTAATTGTCCGCTTTAGCAGTTGAGCATTCATTTTATCTCTCGATGAATAAGGACGCTACTACTATGCTACTGCTAGTCGGCTCTATAAAAGAGGGCCCCTTTACTAAAGTACAAATTACTAAAGGGGGCCCCTTTTATTACGTTTGCCGTATAGTATTAGCATGGGGCAGATGGGAGAGGGCACCCGTCCCCCAGCTTCCCCTCATATATATTTTCAACTGGCTGTACCTAAACCTTCGTTTTGTAAGTCAAAGATTTGTAGCTTCCTGTAAGAGAAAAGGCGGGGCCATAAATGGGCGGGGTCTTAGGTCATGAGAATGAGTTGGCGTTACATGAAGTAAATACCGAAGTTCTGTCCACATCGAAACCGTGGCAAGATGGCGTCAAGCGGGAAACATACTCAACAAGAGGAGGGCAGAAATTTACCGAGCTTTCAGAAGATTTAAGGAAGGCCACCATCCATAAAATCAAATTATTTGAGTCAATAAGAGGAAAACATTGCGATATACCATTTTGGGATGTTGTTGTGATAACTGCTATTGACGATGCTCAGAAGCTGGCCTATGAACGTCAAATTTCCGAAAAATTGGACAGGAAAGAGTTGCCTTTGGGCGTAAAGTTCATCGTTATAAGTGATCCTATCGGGCCTAAAATTGGAAATGGTGGATCAACAATAGTGGTTGCAGAGGAACTTGAAAGAATGTTCCCAGAAAAGGCTAAAGAATTGAAGGTTTTAATCATCCACGCAGGGGGATTCAGTCAAAGACTGCCAAGTGGGAGTTTACTGGGGAAGATCTTTATGGCACTTCCAATGGGTGAGTTGATAATGTTCTTGTTAATCATACTGTATCCAATTATTTAGAAATTTACCTCACTTTAACTTTTTATCCTGTAGCTTAACTACAAAATACAGGTGCGTGTGTTATTTTGATGACAGTTGAAGAACTGGCTGGAGATCTTAAAATGATAGTTGCAGACAGATTTTCTCCAAGCATCTTTGATTAGAGGGTCTATTCAAAACCTAGAATGTTATTATAAATCGTTTTCACTCTTACTTTAATTATATTACTGTTTTCACTGAAATTTAGGGGGGTTGGGCTCAAAAGCTGTTTTGGTTCCTCCCAACATCCTAGGCAACTTTATTGTTAAAATTTTAACTATTGTTGAGTTGTTGAGTTTATCAACCCTTTATTGACTTTTAATATTGTAAAATTTTTAATGAATATTAAGTGAATTTGAATGTGAATAAAGTAGCATATTGCTAATTAAATGAGGGTTTCCAAAAAAGCTAAGGACCTTGGTTTAAACATTGGTCTAATGTATAGACTCTATAAGACCTTGTTCAAACATTGCTTTTTGCAACCTTTCAGAGTTTGATCGATCTTTGAAACTAATGCTTATTTCATTAACATGACTGATGGAGTTGCCTTTTATGTAGAAGTTTTGAAAAGCATTTATAATGCATGTCTTCAGGCAGATAATACCCCTGATGCTATGTATAGTCATTTAATAAGCTTGGTAGCACATTATGGCAATTTCTAGTCTCCAAAAAGTTCAATGTTTTCTCATAGATATGTTGTCCATAGCTGTAAAATGTGTACATGTTACAGACATAATAACATTTACTGGTTTTTGGGATCATTTAGTCAACCAAGGGTATATTTTATAATTTAAGCATGTATACACATACAATTGGTCATTTTGGAATGATCAAAGTGTTTCCAGTTGATAAAGAGGTTTATGTAAAAATGGAAAGGAAATATAATGTAACTTTTTTAGTAACTCCAATATGTGTAAACATGGACATAAACATGTCTTTAAAATGATCTTCTGAGTGAAACATATCATATAGTTTATCATGTTGTCCAATACATAATTCTTCAAAGCTTTTCATTGCTCTGTCAGTTACTTGGGCATTAGTGAGAAGCAAAAACTATTCAAAAAGGAGACTTGTCTACATGCTCCCCCCCCCCTCCACTGAAAGCCCTGCAAATTTTCATTAGACATGCAATCTCTCTGAAAAAGTTCTGCATAATATTTTATCAGTCTTTTTAACAAGCAGATGCAATATATAAAGAAAGTGATAAATAGATAAGGATAATGGGTAATTAGAGAAAGAAAGGTGTTGAATGACATAGTTATTTGCAGATTTGTATTTGGGTTTTAAAGTTATGAAATTATTCATTTATTTCAGGCAATCCAATCTACCAAACCTTGGAGCTGAAGCTTGCCATGTACATTGAGTTTCCTCAAAGAATGGGGCCTGGTATATTTGTAACAAGTGCAGATACAATAGAGTTATATGTTCTTGATGGTGACTGGACTTTTAAGAATAGTGGTTTTACTGCATTGGCTCATCCGTCACCAATTGAGATTGGAACCACACATGGGGTTTTTGTCCTTGATGATACATCTGTTCAAAGCTTGTTACAAGTAAGTTTCCATGAATCCGTTGGGTTGATGAAACAATTCAATTTCTTTTTTTTCCATATTTGCTTTACCAATGCTACCCACCGGTTCCCGTTATGCTGTGGACCCACATCATATCATAGCAATTCTTCTCTTAGTTTTATTTTATATGATATATTCCCCTTCTTTTTTGTCATGATACACTTACATGTGTGTCTGCCCTATTTGAAGACTTAATGATTCATCCTTTTTGGCATCATTATCTTCAACACAATATTAATCTTGATGGAATTCTTCAATAAATGAAATAATTAAAAAGTAACATACAGACAAAAATCCCCTTTTTAAGGTATAAAAGCATCTTTAGGCAATTAAATATTTAAGCATTAAACATGGTGAGGTTTTTTTTATTCTAGTGAATGCACTCCTAGATATCAAATACATTGAAAAAAATTTTTATATTGCTTTTCCAAATATACTTTTCAACTTGTCTAGGCTCAATCTTTCCTTGTGGTGAGGGGCAGACACTTGGTTAAATATTGCCATTGCCCCCCCTCTCCCCCTCACCCCTTGCCCCCTCGCCCACAGGTGTCTGCCACTGCTTGTGGTCTTCTATTCAAGTTATTTTTCGGTATATTTCAAAGTTAATTTACTTAAAACTCCTTCAGCAGTAAATATAGACGACCAACATGATCATGGTATTGCAATGCTATCTTTTGATATATGTTCCCTTAAAAGAAAACACATGACAACACCTCGGTTCAGAATGGAACGTGCAGAAAGTTCATACACAAGCCTACAAAAGAATACATGCATGCATCAGGAGCTGTCTTTCAACACAATGGAGAGGAATATGTTTACTCTGACAGTGCTTTTTTCATGGATTATGATTCAGTAAGCTTGCTTTTAAACTGGGTGAAGAAAGAGGGTCATGTCAACTGTGAAATTGATGCTTATGGAGATTTTCTGCAAGCTCTTGGACCAGAGGGTACTAAAGACTACTGTAAAAATGTTAGAAATGTTACACTGGTTGAACCTCGCCTTATCCGGACAAGAGAAAATATTTTCAATTTGTTGAGAGATTCAAAACTTAATGTTCTGATGCTGAACAAATCAAAGTTTTATCACATGGGAACTACTACAGAGTACATTCATCATTTTTGTGAAGACCTAGAGTTTAGGTAAGCTCTCTTCCCAGCTTGATCAACAAAGTTGACATTTTGTCTTAAGGATATAGCTACTCTGCAACAATTCAATTTCTGTAAAAAATTTGGTGCTAATGTCTTTAAATCAAGATTTGTTGAGACAGATAGCTAGTTAAACATCTGCTTGCCTAACCTTTGGAAATAGACCCTAGCTGCAAAATACTTTTAATATGTTACAAAACGGATGTTGAAGCTCTATGCTCTGCAAAAGTCATTTCAAAATGTTTGCTTCTTTACTTCATAATAGAGACTTAACAAAGGCTTGGATTTTATATTATTATTATCATTATTATAATTAAAATCATATTTTAACAGGTTTGCTTCTTTCAGAAAATTAACATTTCTGCTATCAATGAAGGACCTGCTGTACATACAGTTATGCAAATCTTAAAAAATATATAATAAATAGCAGGAAATCAGTTAAAATATACAGTTTAATCCAAATCTAAATGTCTATAGAGAGTAGGAGACAAAACTTAAAAGTAAAATTAGTCAAGTTTTGTTTGAATCTGCAGATAGAGCATTCTTTCCTCAATTCTACTGATAACGTGTTAAAGGCAAGTGCAGCTTGTACAACAAACGACCTTCTCCTGCTTCATTGTTAAATTTAGGTATCACAAGTCGATTACCCTCTCATGTGAATTGAGTGACCGAAGAACGTAAAATTGAATGTGGACTGGTTTTTCTTTAGTCCGTGTAGATACTTGAAAACTTCAGTTACACGTTTGATCTTTTCGACGGTAGATTGTTAATTTGCACACTTTATTACCCTACGAGCTTTGTTTTCTAATCTGATGAGTTTGCCGAGGTAAGGAGTAATGCCAAGATAGATTGGAGCACAGTAGAAGGCTATCGGCTCAATCATACTGTTGTAGAGTAGAAGCTGCAGCCTGACTGAGATTTTCACGTATTCTGTTTAAAAGGTTTACTCTAGTGTCTCTAATAGAAGGGGTGTGTTCATTCCGACCAATTTTCAATAGAAGGGGATGCTAATAGAAGGGGGGTGTTCATTCCGACCAATTTTCATTAGAAGGGGATGCTAATAGAAGGGGGTGTCCATGTTGGCAATCCTTTTTTGAAATCGAAGTACCTTTAAGAATATACTGTCAAAATTTGGTTTCAGTTTCTTGCATAATTTTAGAGAAAATTGCAATCATACAAAGATAAATCAAATTGACAGCTTTTAACTTCCAAGTCCAGATCTTCAGTTTCCTTTGTACGGTTGAGATTTTACAAAAAAACTATGAGAAACAACGAATAATGATAATCAAATGACTTGATTTGTAAAATTTAATAGAAGAGGGTATTAATGAGCGACGGGGGGAGGGCAAATTCTTCTGAAATTAATATAAGGGGGGCCCGTCTATTAGAGATACTAGAGTAGGCGCTTGGTGATTTTCTTGTATACTTTTGCTGTTTGTTCTGACATTGTAAGATGTCTGTCAAATGTAATGCCCAGATATTCATAACTTCCTACATGGTTGATTATTGAACCATTTATTTCAACGTTGCGAGGAGGTTTATGGTTTATTCGCCTTTATGGTTTAGGGTTTCCTTATTACTTTTGCTTGGTGGGTCAGAGAATAGAAGCACCATATCGTCTGCGTACATCAGCATTGTGCATTTGTCAAGGCATTGATAAGCATCATTTATTAGGATGACAAAAAGCAAGAGGGCCCAATAAACAGCCTTGTGGGATCCCACGAGTAATTGATTCTGGCTCAGATTGGATGTTGTTAAACGCTACATACTTTTTCCTGTTGAAAAGATAATCTGAGATCCATTGGTGCTTGGCACCAGAGATGCCATAATATGGTAGCTTACTGAGTAAACATGAATGACTCAATATGTCGAAAGCTTTTCTTAGATCTATGTATAATGCTCCAGTTAGGTTTTTGTCACTCGTTTTTTGATGAATGTGGTCATGTAGGTAGAGAACAGCGCCTTGTATACCCCTATTTCTTCTGAAACTTTTCTGGTGTTCATATAACAGGCTATTTTCTTCAAAGAAATCAATTATTTGTTCACTGACGACTTTTTCAACGACTTTTTCAATGACTTTTGACAATATATTCAGTATGGATATTGGGCGATCGTTGTCAAAGATTGATCGTTCCCCAGACCTGTAGATTGGTGTTACCTTTGCTATTTGTTCAGCGGTTGGAAAGGTACCAGTTCTCATGCTTACATTCACAAGAAAGCATAATGGTATTGCTAATTCTTTGGATGCGTCTCTTAGCATTCTCCCAGGTATATGGTCTGGACCAGTCTCTTTTGATGTTTTTAGTGACTTGAGTAGTTTCTCTATTGATGATGGAGTTCTTGGTTTTAAGCTTATCATAACTGATACAGAGATATGATACAACTAGATGCTGATACTTGAAATATAATAAACTAGAAGCATATCCTAGGTAAGGGTTTGGTGCTTTTGTTTACTTTAGTGATGTGGCCTCAACATAGTCTGAGTGCTTAGAGAAACTTGAGTTTTTGAAATTTTTCCATTTTTTCCAAACATGTCATCGATTATTTAATTTTAGATATGAAATGGCCTGTTCCAACGTTGCAATGATCAAGAACATCTCCAGCTCGCTGAACAAGAAGCTAGACAGAAGCTCTTGTCTACTGCATACATTTCTGGAAGAAGATATCTTGATTGGTTGCAATTCAGTAACAGAATATAGCTGGCTTGGCAAAGGCTGCTATATTGGTGAAAAAAGCATTGTTAGCAATGTTTTTATTCCCAGTGAACTTTCTCTGCCAGATAGTGTCTTTTTACATACTGTTTGCGTTCTTTCCAAATCAGGATCAGATACAAAGTATGTAACTGTAGCCTTTGGGATAAATGACAATGTTAAGAAGACATGTTCTGATGTCAGTCGTGCTTGTGATTTGAAATGGAATGATAGACCTCTTGATGCTGCACTAGCATTATTAGGATACCCAAAGGTAATGTTGTTTTGAAAATTGGATCTTCCTCAATGAATGTTTTTCTCTAGCATTTTGCTGTTATTGCTGCACATTTCCCTTCCCTTTAGAAACTCAATGGGTACTTTTTATAACATTTTGCTAGGTTTCCCAGTAATCGTCAAACAACTTCTTTATTGTACCACGTGAATGTTAGTGAACTTATTTGTTGCCAATTGTTTTCCTCAGAGCTTTGGATTTATTTGTACAACATTTGGCACATTATTTGCAGTTTGCTTATTTTTATAGTAACAAATACCCAACTGTTCTCTAAAATAAATGCCGTCATGCTATTACAGCCAATAGACTTCAGAATATAAACAAACATGTTCTTGTGCATTTCTTCTTGATTGCTGAGTTGAATGCTCCAGTTAGTATTATGTTAGTTCAGAGTTGCCAATTAGCAGAGAATTTTTCTTGCAGAACCCTTGGAACAAAGATTGCCCTTTGCTAAACATTTGGAATGCACAGCTTTTTCCAGCCTATGATGACCCAAGGACATCGCTGAAAAGTGCTTGTGCGATGATGAAATGTTTGCAAGAAAACAAAACATTGACCACTGATGACCAGGAGACTCGTCTTTATTCCATGGTCGATATATTGAAAGAGAAAGACATCGAAGGAATTTTTAGGATGAGAGCAGAGATAAGAAAAGCAATTTTAGCCTAAGAAGCGGTTAATATTTATTTTATTTACAAACTTCATAAGATACGTAACATAATATTATAGCTGTAAAGAATGATAAGAATTTGTATTGTATTTTCTAAGTGATACTTAGTATTCAGGTTACAAGTTAAGAATTATTTCATAAACTATAGACATGACTTTCTGCATTTCCATTTCGTTTTCTATATCCTTATGCTTAAGCCAAGACTTGTTAAGTCCAAAAATTGGTTCAAAATAATGAAAGGCAATAATGTCCTTCTTCTTTAATCCAAGCTGCTTTGGTTTCTATCCAAACTGCAAAATCTTGTCAACAGAAACTGTTTTCTATAAGAAAATCGTCGCAAAGCCTTGCAGACAACCATCTGCTTCGTTTAAAGACACTGGTCCGACCCACAAAATGACTTCAATGATGAACTGTTTCATCGTGATTCGTCGTTCGTAGTTTACAAAAGCAATAGAAAAAGCAATCGTTTCTCTTAAGGGCACACTCTCAAACAGAAATACAGTTTTGGCTCGAATGGCAAAGAGGTGCCACCCGAGGCCTCTTGCTTTCGAATAAACTGGACGAAGATTAAGTCGCCTAAGGACCATTTTTCCATTAGATTAAAAAGATAAGAGCAGACTGCAATATTTGAAAGCCATTCGTTGATACTAGAAAAACTCTTCATTGTATCTTTATATCAAGCTAGGTAGAATGATTTTGAGTAGAAAAAACGACCGTTTCGTAAAACTTCAACTAGAGCAATAACTTGAATCGCCTTTGTAACCAATTTTCATGTTATGTGCAACCAAGAAAAAATAAAGACCCTATAAAGATTAAATCAAATACACTCTTTTTTATAAGAACCAGAAGTAAATTTAAGTTCAGGCTGACTGTTCTTAGTTCTTTCGAAAACCTGATGCTGGATTGTTCTTAATTTGTTCTTAAATAAATTGGGTTAAAGCAGTGCAATTGCTAGCTTTTTCGCTCCAGGGAGGTGTTCAGGGCCGGAACTTCCGGCCTTATTTGCCAACAAAATGAGTGCGACAACCTTCATTTGCTGACAAATTCGATTATTCACCGAAAAGGCACCCACAAATGGCTAAAAATTCTCATTTTTGAGATAAAACATTGTTCAAAATTGTATTTAACAGTAGCTCAGCCTCAGCTTGTTCTAGATTTGTTCTTAACTTTTGACCAATTTTGAGGCTCATGTTCTTATAGAATTGTTCTTATGAAATGAAAGGGAGTGTAAATGCCAATAACCTGTTTGCAAAAAAATTAGCCTATTTACAATGTGCTAGCATTTGCACAAGAAAAATATGCACTTGATTGTTTAAAACAACTTAGAGAGTATGACTGCTTAGCGGGAGTGTTAGGGGGGGGGGGGTTGATTCTTTACGAGTTTGTCGTTAAATTTTTAAGTTGGTGCAAAAATTCCCCGATTTGTCGGTAAAATCGTCTATCGGTTGGTGAAATAGCAATTTCTCTTGATCTATGTCTCAGTAAAGTTTACGACTCATGACCCCCCCCCCCCCTTGGTCTGGAAGGTCAAGCTACGCCACTGCAAATAAACCCTACTTATTGGTAACAAGTGAATGTTTTTTGCATTATCGCACCGATTTCTTGTTTCATATAAGTAATTAGCTTTTTGTTCAGCTCATTCCTTAGCTTCACTCCCCTCTGAAATTTTACCCCTTTGTAAAATTTTGCTCGTAGTCTAACTCTTGGTATTTTTAGTTTACAAGTATATATCACATTTTATTTAGACTGGTGTTCCTGTTCAATAAAAAGGACACTGGATTATAATTTATATACTTTTAAAAGCTGTTATTAAAATTTGTTGTTGAATGAAAAGAATGTGATTCGATTCGATTCGATTCGATTCGATTCGATTCGATTCGATTCGATTCGATTCGATTTGATTTGATTTGATTTGATTTGATTTTGGCACTGGGTCTTCAGCCTCTCTTTGGGTACAGTACAAACAAAACTGGCGATGGCAATGGCTTCTTTAAACCTGCAGGTTTGTAAACACTGATTTTCCACATTTATGCCTTCAAAATTTACTGCAAAGTTTCTTGATATGCTTCAGATTTCCTGTTGTAATGAAAGCAATGATGGTTTCTAGATGCCAAAGTAAATTTTCAAGCCACCCCACCACACGCTTTAAACTTTTTGAGAATCTTTGAAGAAAAGGGTTTCTCTTTTACAAAGTAGTTTAAATCTACAACAATCAAGGATCCGTGTTTTTTCAGAGAATTGATAAGGTATTGTTTTTTCTATGCTTTAGGAGTTATAATAGCGGGATAATGATATATCTTTCTTTAGATGGACCTTAAATGTAGCAGCAGAGGATGAGTTTGCCAATTCAGGAAATAAAACAAGAGCCAGCAGATGCCTGTGAATGCCTAGAATGCGGCGAAGTGTTTGTACAAAAAGAGGATTGGGAACATCACCAGGGAGAGCATGTAAGTTGAATGGTAGTTTATTCCAGCGAATCAAGTATGCACAGCAGTGGCGTAGATAGAGGGGGGCCAGAGGGGGCGAAGACCCCCCTGTAAAGATAACCTGCTCTTTTGTCAGAAAACGTCTGGTCTTGTTGGAAATTTATCATGGTTGTCTATTTTTTATCTGATTGTGTTTTGATAGGAAGGATTTTAAACATTCTTCTCATGGTATAAAAGTTAAAAATGGCTTTGAAAAAAAGCAAAAATTTTTATTCATATTTGAGCATTTAGTCTTAAACTCTTCAGAGTATAAAACGGCAGAAAATAGAGCAAAACGCTAAGCTAGGATATATATATATTCCCAGCTGTGGATCGAAATAGGCCAATCAAGATTTTAAAGCTAAATAAGCATAGAATATTTGAAGATATCAAAATATTTTCTTATTTCAAATTTGTGAAAAAATATCAACGCTTATTTGATTTTTGTGGGAATTCCACTGATGCAGAGCATGGGGATTAGGCAACAGAGTTGCAGATATGGTAGCCCTGAGGGTGCACCTTAAAATATTGTTTTATACACATGGAAAGTTCATAGTGGTGGCCACCTGGTATTTTTGGATGATTTCTGCTCACCTGCACTTGATGTTAAGACTGTTGACACACCACACCAAAGATCTCATCAGAATTAGCCATACTCTGCAAACTGGCAGCAAATGATTTGAAAGTTTTATTAATATACAATATTTAAGATTGAGTTGAATTTTTAGATTTTTCAGAAATTATTTCAACTTTTCAAAAAAAGACATTGTTTATACATGAGCCAAAAAATTTCAAGCAAAAGTATCCATGTATGTATTTATATGGTGAAGTTGGAATGAATCTTGAAAAAATTCTGTCAAAATATCAATTAAATACAAAGAAGTATAACCAAATTATAACTTTAAAAAACTAATACATATCTCTAGTTGTATGGGTCTCTAACATTTTATTAACAATTGGATTAAGCCCCCTTTGCAATAAGCCCCCATCATAACATCAAGGAATGTTCTCCAGGTGCTTTTTCAAATAAAGAGTACTTTACCCTTTACATCTAACACTGTTTGGTTCATACAAATTTTGATTAAAGGACTCAAGTTGCCCCTAAAATGTTCCATAATTTTTCCAATGGGCTTCTTATTTCCTGCCAGTAGATGTTATTCATGCTGATTTTTCAATATAGCCTCAATCTTCAATGTACCTTTCCAGCCTTCAATCCATGTTGGATGTAGAGAGACTGGAGACCCTGTGATTACTAAAAATAGTTCTACTATCTTTGTACCTTTTAGGCTGAAACTTCAAAGGATATTACAACTTATCTAGATGAGGATATTAAAATAGAATTATCATTCTATGAATGCGTCATATGCAAGGAAACATTTGAGCAATTTGAAGAATTTGAAGAACATCATCAACATCACCTAGAAGATGATTCTACAGATCCAGAGGTTATTACTTTATGTAGACAGATATTTACTCAATGAATTCAGACATATACAAAAGAATATCTAATATTTCAGAGTTTTTACCCTATTTTTATTTATTCATTCTAGGTAGCTTCTACGTGATCCGTAGGTTGCTAACCATGGTCCTCCAACAAACCCTCTCACTACACCTACTTTTCAGGATACCATAGTTCTGGATGTTAAGCCACTCTTTGATATCGTCCACCCAAGTCCTTCTTTGCTTACCGCTAGATCATTTTCCTTCAATGTACCCCTCCAAGATGTTACAAAAAACTGCTCCACTTGATCCTCTTGCCACATGCCCAAAGAGTGCAGCTTTTCTCTTTGCTATGATGGTAAGAAGCATAGGGGTTACATTCATTCTTCGTAGCACTTCTTCGTTGGAAACCCTATCTGTCCACCTGATCGTCAACAATCTTTTATAACACCACCCAAATGCCCGAATTTTGTCCATCATTTCTTTCCCAATAGTCCATGCCTCCAATTAGACCAATTTTTATGTTAATCCCAATTGTCACCAAAATTATGGATTATATAAAAAGGTGAAATGAGCAGCACCATAAATTGATACATAATTGATTTTTTAAAGAGCAGAGTCATTAAATAAATAAATAAATATATATGTAAATAAATGGATGAATAGAGGAAAATTGTCGATTTGGCCAAAGCATGTGTGCTCTGCTAGGAAGATATATCACATATTTCTATTATAGGTTTTCTGATAAGATTACCTGGCGGGCTTTTCAAAGCAACATTTGAATAAGAAAGTTCCAGTCTTAAATGATCTAATTCTGAAATGAAAAACTTTATCATTGGACTTATAATGAACTTTTATTGAATGCTTTAAATAGACTTTTGTATGATGTTTTATTAGCTAGAATTTGATAGACAGAAAGTATCTGATTCAAATATTTTTCCATGTTTACTGTTTTTATTGCTCTTTTCAGAGTGAGGATTCTTTATCTGAGACAAGAAAGAAACGAAAAAATAAGAATCAACACAACAGACATAAAATCCGTTTTCGTTGTGACCGCTGTGAAAAGTCATTTGCTCAAAAATGCCACTTGAATAGGCATAAGCAGAGCCACTCTGGGGACAAGCAATACAATTGCAACAAATGTGACAGAAGTTTTGCTCGGAAATATGTTTTGAGTAGGCATTTATTAACACATAATGAAGAAAAGCAATTTGTTTGTGAAATATGCAGCAAGGGTTTTAAGCAGAGTTGTCATTTGCAGAGGCACATCAAAGTTCATTTGGGAGAGAAGCATTTTGTCTGTAAGACATGTGATAAAAGTTTTGCCCAACAAACGACCCTAAACCGTCACCAAAGCACCCATACCAAGGAAAAGCCTTTCACTTGTGAGGAATGTGATCAGGTTTTTAGCCGCCTTGGTAGCTTAGCAAGACATAAGATCATCCACACAGGGCAAAAACCTTTTGAATGTAAGTTCTGTCATAAACGATTTAATAGATCATGCTACTTGCTTAAACATGAACGCAATCATACCAAAGCATAGATCAATAATCAGGAAAAAGGTAGGTTTGTGCAATTTTGTTGTGAAAGTTTATTTCGCATTAATTAAGCTGCCATTACAGCTATTAATTAAGTATAATATAAAAAACAGTTAAATGCTTATGATTTTAGTATAAGGCTGTGGCCTCTCGTGCAAATCTTTTTTTCCAAGAAGACTGTCAAGAAATAAACTCTTTAATATTTACTTACATTTGTGTTTTTTTTTCTACAAGTAAACTTTAACAATTAGTATTTGATGAAAACAATAGTCGTTTTTAGTAAATTCACTTTAATTCTTTCCATTTGTTTCTGCCTGATCAAATTGCTTTCAAAGATAGAAACTTAGCTGCATGCATTTTAAGAAAAACCTTCATTTTTAACGCATATATTTGTAGACGAAATATATATTAGTTTTCAACTCATGCTTTTTAAATTAGTTTTTGGGTAAAAACTTCCACAGTGGCTGATCATTTCTGTATGTCATATTACATTAAATAAAATGATACTTATTTTTTTTGTAATATACCATTTAATAAGAGTTTGGGTAGTAATTGAGTAAATGGTAGTATTTTCTGTTTTTTTGTTTTTATATTTGCCATTTTGTATAATTTTGTGAAGTAATTTTTCCTGAGTTATTTTTTTGGTAATTTGCTTCCTATACGAAACACTTTATGGCTCCTGTTATGCACTTTTCGGCTTGTTCATTTTCTCAACAATGTTCCAACCATCAAGTGGTGCTGTTTAAAAGCAGAATATTCTCATGGCAGTTTTCACAAAGAGCACAAATTGCATTAACCCCTCGCTATTTAATTTGATATTTTGATACATTTAGAACAACTGTATTAATCACAACTGTATTATACACAACTACATTGTTCAAGACTACTAAGTTCATTTTTGAGTCCTTGACATTTTCCCACGGAGCTTAAAAGTTCGGAGATGATCCTTTTTCTGCCTTTAATCCAGATGTGTTAAACCTTAAACAGGGCATTTTGAGAATATTAAAAAATAGCGTCCCAACGATCTCTGACGCTTTTTGTGCTTTTTGACATCCTTTAAACATTTATGAAACTTACTATCGCATTCACAGTCGCTTAATGTATATGGTCTCCAATTTCTGTATTCGTACTTTTTTGCAAACGCTTCGACCGATCGATCGCATTTGTCGTGATCTCGGCAACAGGAATCGACATCGGCATACTCGCCGAGCTCATTATCATTATCCGGGTTTTTTCCCATTCCACACCACAAAGTTCCTTTAACAAAGATAAAAATCAATTTTAAGATTATGTACCGAAACATTTGAAAGGATTGTATTGTATTGTATTGTATTGTAGTGTATTGTATTGTATTGTATTGTATTGTATTGTATTGTATTGTATTGTATTGTATTGTATTGTATTGTATTGTATTGTATTGTATTGTAGATAATTTAATGTTAGTTTTTACAATAGTGAATTTACACTAATTAAGACTAACATGAAGCAATTTCAAGGATTGCATGAGACAGTTCATTTACTGCAAAACGAGCCTGCGCGCTTGTTTTCAAGAAACCAAGTTTTGATCAAATTCTTAAATTGTCTAATATTTTGTGCTGTCTTTATTGATTCCGGGAGTGAGTTCCAGATTTTAGGCCCTTGAAAACTTAATGATCTGAACTATCATTATTGGTAGTTCTGGCTTTTGGAATGTCAAGGGGGTTTTGAGTCGAAGGTTATGACCTGTTGTTTTTAGTACAAAATAGTACTTAATCATGAAAACAGGATTAAGGTTGTTAAGTGTTTTATAAACTTCGAGCGCTAAAATTCTAACTGATTTGATATGTATGGTAGTTTCTTTGAGTAGCAAGTAAATCTTTGTGCGAAGATGAATAGTCCGAATAGGCTAGTCTTAATGCTCTCTCGTTAATGTTCTCTAGCTTATCCTGACTTCCTTTTCCACATAGCATCCATATCAATGGCCAATGATTGAAGTGACATAGTATAAATGAATTCATTATTATCTTTTTCTCTGTCGCCCATATATCTTGCTAATCTTTTTAAATAATTTAACTGTTTAGCTGCTTTTTTACAGATCTTATCGATATGAGCATCAAACTTTAAATTTTCATCGATCTGAACACCAAGCAAAGTAACGTTTTCCTCTATTTTAATCGTAAAATTCTTGGTCAATTTCAAACTCATTTATGCATTTATCTTTGCTGCCGATTGTGATAGCTTGAAATTTAGAGGGATTCGTAATCATTTCATTAGATTCAAACCGATCAAGAATTTTTTGGTGTTAAATTTTGCAAGTTGCAATAGTTCATCAGTATTTGTTGCAGTGACAGATATCGCGTTGTCATCAGCAAATAAAGACCCTTCAGTAAGGCTGTAAAAAATATCATTTAGGAAAATATTGAAAAGTAGAGGTCCAAGTATTGATCCCTGTACCACGTGTCATTATGATGTTCGAAAGATTCTCACATGAACTCAGGAAGTTTATTGTAGATTAGTTTTCTTATTGCTTGTATACCAATGGATTTGTGGGTAGCTTAACTTGGTAAAAAGTTTTCATTGTCAGAATTTTTTCACCTGTTGTTGAGAGGGTGTTGAGGAGTTACTCGTATCTCAGCTCGGTTTTTCAGTTTCTGCCTTGAAATCTATCGGTTTTGCGGTTTTCAATATTGCCACGGCGAACTTTTTTTGACGTTATTTAGTTCGGTTTTCGGGTTTTCCGATTTGTATTGCAAAAATGTGTGGTTCTCAGATTTCAGTTTTCAGATCCTTTCAAATCGTTATCTCTGACGTTACTAACTTCAAAGTACATGCTTGCAACTGACTTTAGTTACCTAGAGATCATTGAGAATTGACAACGGGTTTCTATTTGTTCTTGTTGTACCAGCAATATACAGCTTCCCCAAATTAATTGCAATTTTTATTGCAGCTGTAGTCTCTTTTACTTGTATGTATGTTGAACCCACCTGGCATTATAATGCGTTTATCAACTTGCTTTCCAATTCCCCACTTTCTAGCTCTTGTCCTGCCATTTCTTCCAATTCATGAAGATCATCTATTAAATTAATGAAACTCAGTTAGTCAAACCCGGTTATTGAAATTAGATCGGCATAAAGTCACTTTGCTGATTACAGTCATGTTCAATTTTTCCTACATTGCAAGTAACAGTTCTGTCAATAGCCAGCGTCGGCTGAAATAAAAAAACTTCCAAGCTTTTGTAGCATTTGCATTTTATTAATTATAGAACCACAGTTTTTGGAAATCTAGAAAACAAACAAACAAAATTTCATTTTTATTTCTGATTTGCAAGACAACCATTTACTGAAAGGCATATTGCGATTCCATCATTGTCCTCCTGTTTAGATTGTTTTATATATGTTGCTTGCTTTTATTTTCACAAGAAGCCTTTCTCCCTGGTCAAGTCGACCATAAGACACTAATGATCGCAAAATCTCGTCTTAGATTTTTTTCTGCCAAATTGTTGCCCCTGTCTTGTCAATGTGAAATTTTTATTACGAAAGTGTTATCGTACAATTACACTGTTGGTAGGCAAATTAAATTATGTTATTTGGCTGCATTTGAAAGAAATGGAAGGCTTTCAAGAATAGAGACTCACCTGCTAGCCCTGCATAGGTCTGAGCGAGAACTAAAAGGAGCAACACTGCTACTTTCGTCATGTTTGCAGGCGTTCCTGAAAAGAACGTTAGGAACGTATGTTTCAGATTTCTTTAAAGAATATTGCAAAATTACTTTTTGTTTCTCTTGCATTTGGGTGCATATTCCTAAGTGATTTTCCTCATAGGAACGTTCACTAGATGATTGTAAAAAGGCGGATACTGTCAGAAGTCAAGTAAAGCCGACTGATGGAATTTCGACTGGATATTGAGATACTATATAGAAGACCTCATCTCAGGTGAAGGTTCGTTGAGAAGGTTCGTAAGCCTATCGGCCTACCAAGAAGACCAAATACACTGATAAGCATAAAGTTGCTTTATATCGATTTTAATCCGTGCCACGGCCATTATCAAATTTGTTCAAATTCCAATTAAGTCACATTGAATACATTCAATAGATGTTAAGTAGCTGATAGGTAAATGTTTCGCATTTTTGTTTCCTTTAATAGGAGAAACAATTGTCCAAATTTCGCGCAATGTTTACATATATCTATTTCTATGGTTTTGCTTGTATTTTCAAGGTTATTAAATCAATTTCTTCACGATTTGCAGAAAATTTTCGTAATTTTTTATCTGTTTATGCTGCTAGGGCCCGAGCGGCAATCGCTTCTTTTGATTCGGGGCAAGATCCTGTCTGTGATAAAACATCCCATAATGTTATGCAGGTGATCTAAATGCCGATTTTAGATTCGTTGCCTAGAATTGCTGATTTTACTCACCTGAATCAAACAAAAATTTTATCGATGAATAATTCTTTCATTTAAACACACCAGACTTACAAAGATAGGTCAGTTAGCTTTAGTATAAAACAGAAAATAAATAAGCCGTTAATATCTGTTTTTCTAAATAAATGTATTATGTGTTTCAATTAATCGCGATTTCACGCAAATCCAGTTTCAACGGTAAATATAGTTATGCCCAAGTACCACCTGGTTTTTTAGCAGGATGTATGTCATTCAAAGTTGTTTTAAAGTCAATGTCGTACTGCGATTTTTTCTCTTAAACAAGGGATTTGTACAGTATGCTCCTACCATATGTTATTGAAGCGCTATTCAATCTTTAGAGCATCGACCTTGGCGTTACTTACCTTGGTAATGGGTAACAGAAGCGTTACTTACCTTCTCAGCGTATCTCTTTGGTATTGCATCAAGTGAAATATGATAACTTCAAAGCAATCGATAGTTTTTAAAGTGGTTTGAGACATCTGTCAATCAACTACCAGCCAATAGATAAGCGTCTCGGCCCTTGTCACGCATTTTGATTGGTAAGTTGTTGATTGAAAGATGCCTACAGCCACTTTATTATCTGTCGATTGCTTCGAATAAGGGGCTCGCTTTCAGAACCCAACATTATTTTTTGCTTTTTTGGCCTCTTCAAAGAAAATAAACAAAATCCACGAGAGAGCCCTGAGAATCACATACAAGGATAGTTATTTTAGTTTCGAAGATTTATTGAAAAAAGCAGAATCGGTTTCCATTCACCAGATAAATTGAAAGTTGCTTGCTACCGAAATCTTTAAAACTCAAGCAGTCTCAATCCTAGTTTCATGAAACAAATTTTCGTTATGAAAGATGTTCCTTACCACCTTCGAAGCTGCAGAATTATTTTTGCGCCGAAACCAAAAACAACAGGGTATGGTATTGAAAGTGCATGTTTTCGTGGATCTAGGATATGGCATGCTATTGCCTCTTCTATAAAAGAGTCCCAGACACTTAACAACTTCGAAAGAACAATTAAAAGCTACAACTTTGGTTGCAGTTGTAGATTGTGCAGATTGTATTTAGGTAATTTAGGGTTTTTATAGTTATATTCTTTAAAAGTATTCTCTCGTTTGTTTTAATTTAGATTTAATTTATTATAGTATCTTGTATTTAAGTTTCGGTTGGCTTAAATTAGCACGTGAGCTAGCAACAAGAGCCAACCTTGAATAAATAAAATGAATAAAATTAATTTCCTATCTTGATATCTTGAATTTGAAGCAATCATTCATTTCTTTCAGAAATATGGGATTTAGGGATTTGGCAAACTGCCTTCTTTTTGTTAAAATTGGACGATAAAGTATCTTATTTAACATTTATTTGTAAATTTTCTTAGCGAGATCAAGTCTTATATTATTTGATTAAGATGTCATAAAACGTTTTTACTTTAAATTTCAGAAAACCTGTAAAAAATTTGTTTTCACAAGAATTTTATCTTGAAGAATGCAAATGGACTTATAGCAATTCATAAAACTAAATAATGCGAGGAAAGGTACCCTGCATTTTTCAGTGCCTTAAACTCCCTAATAAGTAAACTCTAAAAGTAACATCCAATGTACTCTTATTTGAAGCAGTTTGAAACATGTGTTTATTTTAAGCCATCTGCTAATGTTAATCGATATTTAGTCAGATTTGCCACTTACCTTATAGTGATTAAAGATAATGGAAACTGTTTTGATTTTTGCCGATAAACATTAGAATGACCCCACACAACCTGTTTAAAAGCGCCACTCTACACAACCTGTTTCGTCGTATCAATAACCCCACATGTAAACAAACTCAGACATCACGGTTCTCAGATGTCAAGGTTTGTGAATATCATGCGAAACTTTTTTATGTGAATGGTTTGCCCATTGACGTTGCTAGTTATTTGCCATGAACACTTCCTTACACCCTCTGTTGCATCCCATTTCCAACTTGTCACGAACACCTGATCCGACACAATGCAATGAAATCTAAAAATCTTAATTGTACACTCGATGGTTATCATATATTTAAATATTAAAAATATTAAACACATATTGAAAAACTAAGCAGTCAAATATTTCTATATAATACCAACAAGCAAATTTTATCTCAGAACTTTATGTTCTGCTTCAAAATTGCATTTTGTTGTACGAGATTTTACACTTCGTAATATTTTGGTAAAAATTCTGATGAATGAGGCTGTTGACTCAACTTAAAAGAGTTTTCTAATCTGGATTTAACCAATAAATCGTAAAATCGGTTCTATTTCAGATCATTTTACGCCAGTTTGCCAAATGATTTTCAGAGAAAGTATCAAGCAAATTATGTTGAAGCACTGTGGGGACTGGAACGAATGACCGCAAAAGCGCGAAAATTTGATGTCGTCATTCAAAAGTAAATCGAAGTAAAATGATAATTGATCGGGAATAAAGATGAATTTTGGAACCATTATTGCATACTCTTTTGTTCAATACTGGACAACATTGGTAACATCAAGTGTTTCGTATTGGAGATATGAATTAGGGTAATTTTCAATTTACTTTTTTAAAGGTGAACCTCCAGCAATGATAGTTTGTGGTATATTCAAAGGTCTCCATCTTATCTTACCTATGTAATTTCAAACTACGAATTTGACAAAATTTTTGAAACATTACCTATAAACCCTAAACCCATCAACATTTCCCTGTGAATCGTTAAATAGATTGCAGCTGCTTCATCACCTGAACATAGTTCGAAGGAGAACAGCTAAGCTTGGAAGATGGGGATAGCTATGAAGTTAATTTTTATTACTAGGCTGTTGAGGAGGGGCTAAGGCTCTTCTGCAACGTCAAAATAAACTCTAGCAAGCCTATCGCAGCCTATTGGCATAGTAATAAAGCTCTTTACAATAAAGCACCTCATAAAGTGAATAAAATAGTCATTTCAGATATTTTTTGGTGAGTGCTTTTAAAGGCGATGGCTTCATTATCAAATATGTTTATAATAGAACTCAATTCTCTAAGATAATGTTTTCTTATTTTTGGAATTTTTAGCAGATCATGGCCAAACAGAAGACTCGAAGTGGGAACATGGGTATGGTTCGATGAATAAATGAAACATCTTATAATGCAAATTATCTTTTTGTGTTTTTCTTTATAGCATTATGCAACCACAATAAGCTTATAAAGTTAAGAAGGCTAATTTGAAAGATCATATGTTAGTATCTTATCATTGTGGCCTATTGACAAACAAGCACAAACAAAAGTTACTTTACTTTTAGATTCATCCGATTTTTTTTTATTTCTATTTAAACACAATTAATTGCAATAATTTTAGCTCTGTCATTCTTCTCTATTAAATAGATATTATTGGCCTCAAATCAGCATCTAAGGAGCTAACTATCCTTAAGTCTTCTCTGGGCTTTTTACATGAAAAGTAGTCAGTAGACTCTGTTATAAGAACAGGAGCCTTAAAATTGGCCAAAAATTAAGAACAAGCTGAGGCTTAGCGACTATAAAATGACGACTCTTAAAAATTTTATCTCAAAAATCGAGATTTTTTGCCATCTTTGGGTGCTTTTTCGGTGAATTTTCAAACTTGTCTTTAAATTTGAATTCTTTACACCAAAAAACAATCCTTTACAGCCTGTGTACAGATTTTACTCTCCATTGCGAAGGAATCCCCTTTTTATAATTTGTAACTTTTCAGTTCGATATTGAATGTACAAGACAAGAATGGGCCAATGACAAATTAAGTTGGTACTTCGAAGAACCATGGTGTGAAATTTATAACAGCCGGTAAGGTCAGAATTTCAACTTTACTTTGAGTAACTGACAAATTTTTATATATGGGAACATTTCTAGGGATTTTTAGAGATTTTTCAAATGCAGATTAATTCAGTTTAATTATTTACTTTATGTACAAAGTGACGTACTTACTAGTTTTGATCGTTGTTGCTATCCTAGTCTGCAAAGAACTCAAGCAAGGTGCAACATGAACGGTGCATTTGGATTCGGTGTCGTAAATGGAACAAGCGTTAAGGTATGAAACTGAATTTTCTGTGTTATAAAAGCCAGCTCACATTGTATCGTTATGTCAGAATATCTTTCGTTGCTAATGTACAACGTCTAAGGGCCTTCCTCTTCTAGTCGTTTTACTTTACTTTGAGTGACGTCACTTTACTTTGTTATTCAATCAAGTTTGTATTTCACATTACTTCAAAGAATGTCATAAGATCATTTCTCTATCTTTTGCTTTCAAGGATTACAAAATTCTGAAGGTTTATTCCAACAAAAATTACTTTGGATGGCATGCTGTTAGAAAAATAAACAGGTTTTTCTTTGGTAGTTTACGTATTCATAGCTGCAGTTTATGTATTCTTACATTTTTCTCGTGTTTAAAGTTTATAATTTCACATTTAGAGCTCTTTTTCCATTATCATTATCGTTATTATTTTGAGTCATATTAAAGCTTTTGTCTGACACTCTTCAGATGTTTATTAGCGATATTTATGAGTATCCTCTTCACGATTTACCTCTATTTTGGCATGGTTTTAGCGTCTTTATTGCATCTCTATCAGCTGATTATCATTGCCTCGGGCTACCATGTACGATGGGGCCTTTAAACATAATACCTCAGGGGGGGGGGGTATGACCTTTTCGTCCTCATTTCATAAACAATGGCTTGAATCTCCAACTGACGTTAGAAAAATAAGGCTTTACAGGGTTACTTGCAATTTTTCTACAACTTTTTATCTTATTTTAGGAGTGGTGATAACTTGATTATTGATTTACGCCTAAAGATAACCGAGTCAAACGCATATTTCCAAAACAATTCTTCCAATTCATCAGAGGTAAACCAATTACATTTTTTATAATCATGAATCGATATTTATTGTCATTTTGTTAGCACAAGTAAACTATTCTGTTGATGTGGTTCTTTTCAAGTAACCAACATTCGAATCTTTTTTCCTGGCACTGTAAAATGATTGTCGCTGAACTTCTGCAAAATAATCAAAGAAAAACAATATTTTTCGCAATAAGACTTTTTTTTACCTAGCAAGGTGTAAATCAAAATGCCGATTCTAAACGTGGTAAAATTATTTCCCAGGTATAATTTTAATGTTCTGCACACCGTAGATATTTAGCTATTGTTATAAAATAGATCTTTTAGAATTACAAAACTGATCTCCTTCTCTCGTCAATCGATCCCTATTTACTCAAACTTAGTTTTGTTTGTAGATTTTTCCTAAATGGCATTCTTGCTTCGATAAACCTGTTTAAAATTATCGTTTTTCCAATTAAAAAACATCAATCTTGACATGAAGAAAAAAATGTTTGGTGCTATGAAAAATATTTGGCCAATTGCTAAAATCATTTAACGGCAAAAAGTTATTAAGAAAACATAATGTTTATAATAGGACTTACTATGGCAAGATTCTTATTTTTCATCTATCTTTGACAGCTTCCAAATTAACTGACCCACTGTCTTTGAGTATTTTTATCACAGTCTTTTGCAATACCTTTTAGCATTCTATACGGCTTACAAGATTGTTCAACTCCAAAGGAGAAACACCTAAAGTTGAATTCAAACAAAACTTGAAAAGTTCGTTGTTAAGGGAAGTGACAGATATTTCATTCGATCATATAAATGGGTATCAACCTACATTTTGTTTTATATCCTTTTGCATATCATATGCCAGTTTGATGTTGGCATGCTTAAACGCTAAATTCCGTGAAATGACATCAGTTTACTCCCATTTGAGAATATTTTTTCAGATTTTTGTTTAATACCCTCCACCTTCAAATGATAAAATGTTATATTTGCAGAGAATGGCTGATGTCTTTTGCTGTGCCCGTTGATTCGAACTCTGTCAGAGTATCAAAACATTCGTCTTCAAGATATTCACTCTTTGACAAATTTATCAGGTATTTTTCTTGTAAGTTCTACAAATTTTCACATTCTAAGTTTCGGAAGCTTTTTATATAGATTAATTTATTTTGTGTGATGGTCGAATGTGCCTGACGATGCCTTTAAGCGTAGAATTCGGAGTAGCAACTCAGAATGTCTTGTTTTACACCTCAAAGTACATAAAGCTATGTTAATGTGTCATTATCCATTCCGTAACAGATCGGTTAACATTTATTTATCTACTGACAAAGACCATGCAGATTTTTATGTCTTGCACAGGGGACTGAGAACAGGCTTTTTGACCCCAAAGACTCCAAAGAGGTAGAAAGCATGCAGCAATAATAAATTGTCGATATCAATTTTTGAATTGCGCTTTAACCTATGTTATTTCTTATAATTTTTGTCATAAATCATTTTGTACAAAATCTTGAGAAAGTATAAGTCAATGATTTTATTGAATATTGCCAATGAACTGCCATTTAACAAAGGACTACCTTTCGTAGGCCAGCGGAGTATGTAATGAATACCTGGCAGACACCTGATGAAGTAATTCACCATTCTCTTATTTGCAATAACAAGCCTATCCATTACAGAAATATTGCTTATTTGTAGATTGACAATAATGTCTAGTCTTTGAGAAGTTTTTAGCGAAACATATTCTGAAAGCATGTGTTCGAAACAGTATCCAAGTATACAATGTTGTATAAACTGCTATGATGCTAGTGTGAGACTACTGTATAGCTCATATGAGACAATTGTAAAGGTAAAAAACACTCCTAATCTATATTTATATATCTCATTTATATCAATTGTATCGATCTGTGTCATTATATATGGCCGCTTTAGGCAAATTTTGCTCGTGTTACTGTTTATCTTTTGGTAAAAAGTTTTATTATTTTTACAGGTAGATCCGTTAATGGTCGAGAGTTTACTTTCAGGACCCATTCAGGTACTGAGTTTACTTTCAGGACCCATTCATTTCAAAATATTGAAAAATCCAGATTTTTCAACATTTTTTGCTGAAGTTTATTATTCTATTAGAACCTTATTAAATCAGTTCCAATAATTTTATCTCTCATTTCCAGGTTGCAATTTTCTATCCTTCGCCGTCGCATTGCTCTAAAATGCTCATTTGTAAGATTTTAAGATTTCTCCAAGATGCTCCGACCTTATTGCTTGAAGTGTATGTTATATGTTAGAAATTAACAGCTATTAATAACGCCTAGATTTTTTGCTAGTCCTTAAAGGTTCTTCTATGTTATTTTTGCGAGATAAGCCAACTCTCGATCAATAAGTTGCAAAAGATCTCTATCTTTAATTCTTTATCTATAATTCAGCAAATGTAACGCATGATGTTTTAACAGCATAAAGCATTGATACAATTTTCTCGCTTCTAGCATCCGTGCATGCCAGATGTGATAGCATACATTAGGTATTGTACACTTCGCTTTTCAACCTTGTCTCAACAGTTTTGTGTTCAAGAATCATTGTATTAAACTTAAGGTCTCTTACTATATTTCTTGTTAAATTCCAGCAAAAAATGTTTTTGCCATTTATCAACGTTTGCAGTACAGTGTGTCAAGAAGCTCAGTCTCCCATTTCCAATGATCTTAAATATGTTTCAATTCTAATGTTTCTTGCTCTGGAGTAAAAACTATATAAAAGTTTTTATATAAAAGTATTGCGAATGAAATTGATTATTGCTGTTAGCACAAAATGATTAATAAATTGTGATATGGATATATAACACAAATGAATGTTAAGTATGTGAATAAAGTTTACAGCTGTTAGATTTTAAATCAATTCTCCTTCAGTTCAACAGGAATCGCGATTTCAGAGGGATTTACCCAAAATATTCTCAATTTCTCAACAGTCTTGAACGTAGGTAACTGTGTCATATTGTTTTTTATTCACTATGTAATCAAAAAATCCCTAGGTTCATGTACGATTCAAGCTATACTGTTTTGCCAAGTCCAAAACCATTCATAGAATGTTGCATTGCTGCGAAAACATACTATTGCCATCAATGTCCTTTTCCATTAGTATTTTATACTCCATGGACAAATAATCATGACTGATAGCTCAGCGGTATTGCACTTGACGTACAAAGTCAGGGGTTGTGAGTTAGAGCCTCGCTCGGTTCGGTTATTTTCCCGCATTCTCTGCTAACTGTCTTCTGAAATCCCGTTGCCTATGACACTCAAATATATCGTTGGTAACCGGTGGTGGTGGCTCGAAATTGGCTAGGGGGACCAACCTTTTTTGCGCCCCCTCGAGAGTTTATGCCTAGGGTACAACTCTATTAGGGCCTGTGAAACGTGATTGAAAATGGAGGGCCACAATTTAAAGATTATATAGCGGTTTCGTGAAGGGCGCCACCATTTTTGGTGGCAATAAAAAAATTTTGAGTAGCCACAGAATAGAAAAATATTTCTATTCTTTTTATATTCTGAGGTGTCGCATGGTAGCGGGAAACTGCATCTAAAATATTTTCAACATCGATTTAGATAAAAGGAATAACATGGTAGCAGTAAACTGTATCTAAAGTATTTTCAACATCGATTTGGAAAAAAGGAATTCGCCTGACCAACGTCATAATTTTCACTAAATGGAGCTAGGTAATTGGCTAGAAGTTTCACGTGGACTTATTGTTTTTACATTTTGGTCAGGCGATTTCGGAATGGCTAGGGATACAATAATTTTTATTTGGCAGAAATAATACCTTGTCGAGAATATAAATTTGGTCAGGCGCAATCGAAGTGACCTGACCTTGTTTTGAAATTCATTTCATTAAACATTTTGTCAAAAAGTTATGACTCGTAAACCTGAGGCGAAGTGTGAGTTACTCGTGGTTCAAATTAGTGATACTTTTACTGTAATTCGCAAAGAGGGAACTCAAGGCATGGAAGCATTTCCAGTGCAAGTTCTTTTCGCTCAGTTGTCTGTGAAACCTTCTGGTGTTAGGCTATCAATCAATCAGAACGGGAAGATAGGCCCATGTCTAGAAGTTGCACTCAGAAGACGCAGAGGGAGGTATTGTAAGATGACTGATACGAAAATGCCTTTAACAAATGTGTTGTACTGGCCCTCAAAGAACATCAGTCGTGTGAAAAGGAACTTTGTTGATATATTTGCTTACTGTCAAGTTTATCACGGTATAATATGCCGCTCATTCAAAGTGAATTTTAACGATGTTTGGACCTCCTTTGTAGGCAAGGGCGTACCTTGACGATTTGAAGTGTGGGGGGGGGGGATAAAGGGGTGAATTTACCGACCAAAATTCAACTCTTGCTAGTCAATTTGTACACACCAATACTATATAAAGTCAAGATACGCATCTACCGACAATTCATAACATTTACCGACCATCCGTAAAATTAACCGACCAACTCTCCAAAAGTGGCACCACCACCCCACCCCCAACACCCCACCCGGTAGGTACCCCCCGGTTTGTAGGCTGATCATGTTTGAAACGGAGCTAAAATGTGTTCTTACACTGCAGTATACTTAATTTGAACAATTCACAATAACATTGATTTTGTTGATTTAAGTTAATTTGTGGAAATATCAACTTAAACTGTGTGAATAGTATGTTGTTGGCTAATGAATCATCACAAACAAAAGGTATCTTTTTTGTACTGGACTTGTTGAGAGCCAGGGGGAAGAGTAATGAAAATAAAAAAATTGTTTCTGTGTGTTTTTTTTTCTTTTATTTCTTGCTTACTTGCATGCAAATTCTACATATTGTTTGTTGCCTTCAGACATGACCAAATGAGAATGAATTTTTTACAAAGAGTTCTTTGACCATCACATAAAAATTAAATTTGTTGGAAAATTGTTCCAATTCCCTTTGGTTGATTCATCATGAATAAGTTTTCACAAATTAGAAGAGAAAGCATTTTATTTTTGGGCGTGGCATATCCGTATCCGAGCCTGACCGACCCACCAAACCTGGCTTCGCTGCTGGCCGCCACCAACCTCCTTGAGATCATGCAAAGGGGCTACATTCGGACGTAGGGTAGCTAATGGTGGATTGCCAACGGATGCGTGGATGCTGTCGCATCCTGGGACCTATCCTGGGTTCCGTAGCGTCAGGGGGTTGCCGAAAAGGTGGAGTGGCGTGGAAATGCTGATGAGGAAAGAAAGAGAAGAGAAAAAGACGGCTTCACATCGAAATATGCGCCTCTTTGGAGCGCGGCTATTTCGAGTTGCCTTCTTCATTCACATTTGTTTCCAACGGGATTTTGACACCCCTTTGAAGAGTTGAATCGTCTTTGACGCTCCCTGATTTCTGGTCCCTGGTGGGGCACGTGCCCCCCCCCGGCCCCATGGTTTGCTACGCCACTGTTGGTAACTCTTTTGTTATGTGAGGTATTAGATTGTTCTTTACAGTAAAAGGATGGTTATTCCTTGGCGCAACCACTTGCAAGATTAGCCAATAAATACTCAGGATATGTTTTCATGAAATTTGAGATTTATTCATAAATCAATGTTTTAGACCTAGATGTTCCAAAGAAAACTGTATATTCTACTTTTATATTACAGCTTGTGTTTAAAACCTCAGTATAGACTTAAGTATTACTGCCAGCCTTTTTAAATTTTAGGTTGGAGAAATAGACAGTGCGGTATTCCTTGGACACAGAGTTTTGTTCGTAAAAAATCAGACTTTGTTTTTCCTTGAGAAAAATGGTACAATGAATAGGACAGGTAGGACAAATTCATTTCACCCCTGATAAAAAAAACTATTCCAGATTTATACTTCTATTGCTGTTTGAAATATTTGACATTTGTTTAAGCTTAATTGCAACTTCGTTTTAAAGATCGAAACTACACACTGTAATTTTTTTCTTATGCATTTATTTTGCCAATTTTTACAGTACTGCCAATTTACTCTTTGTCTTACTATGTATTGTTGCTTTTGCAGGACTTTCAAGAAATGACGTCACTGCTGTTTATACACCTAACCTTTGCTCTGAAGTATGCCTTTGAACCCATGCCACAATAAATATGTGCTCGGATTTTGAAAGTAAACATCAGGAAGTTCAAGGCTGATCTTTTTTCATTGCATTCTAGGTATCAAGCCAACAAAGAACAGTCGTGTCATTGGCAGATAACAACATGACGGTAACTTGAAACTGTTAACTTAAAAATGAAACAGATTTTACGATGGAGATGAAACGCATAAATGTATTCATATCGAGACAGTCTAGTTCACCTGAAATCATGTACATATCTTTGTATTACACTTAATTTGTATCAATTTGCTTGAAAACGGTTAATTTGAATTATCAATAAGGATGACGGTTTTATAAGGACGATCATTTTACTATTATCGGAGAGCCCCTTGAAAATTAGCATATGGGAAACCCTCCTTAAAAAAATTTATATGAAATATTTATATGAAATAATCAAGAAGCAAGAGTAGTATACTTTGTAGTTTTAAATTATTAAGAAAAATTAATCACATGCACAGAGCTGTAAAAAGTTTAAACAGCTTTATCAAATAGATAAGAGTGTTACAAAACACGGACTTTGGAATTCTAATGCAATCATGATTATTTAATTTTGGTTGCTTTTCTTTGCAGAACTCCATCTACTCAATTTTTGCATCATTTGACGGTGGATACACGTTTTCAATGCTTAACACTACACATTTGGAAGATGCGTTCGGCTACAATGTTACAAAGGTATTAAGCAAGCGAACTGGTATTTTGATTAAGCAACTTATCTTTCTATCTACTAGGTGATCTTGTCAAATAACTGCAGTAAGGATTATTCACTTTGTTGTGAAATCCTTGTCAGCTTTTTGCCTTTACAACGAGGGTAGTCTTTTGCCTCTAGCAGTTTTTACATACAGCCCCGATCGAATGTTTTTGTGGCAAGTTTCCTTCTTGCATTTTTTCTACGTCAGTTATTTAGATATGGTCCCATACCCAGGTCTAATTTTCGTATATAATATATATATGTCATATTTCATAACTATGGCAAATTTGGAACTTAACCATGAAAAATAAGAGTCAATATTATTATAACAAGATACAGGTGCACTACAAGAGTGAGAGAAATAAGCTACAAAGGTGTTCAAGAATAAGAGCAAAGAGCAAAGTTTCGAATCGTATACAGATAAATTGGAAGGGTTAGAGAGAGAAAGCTACCAAGTTTCTCAACTGACCCCCAAAACCTAGCAGAAGACTGTAGCGTACTGCAGTCTGGCAATCAACTAACCCTTGTCCTCGAAAATTAAGAAAGATCGACTAAAAAAGATTGGTTCGAAAGAATGGTCAACACTGAGAAAGCAGTATTTTGACTCGAAATAGAATGATAAGGCAGAACCTTACTATTGCGTACTAAAAGCACGTTTAATAACAGCTTAGGCATCAATATTCATGTTACGTTATTCATAGGGTAATATGAATATCGGCTTGTACGTAACTATTGTGCCGAATAAAGAGGCAGCTTAGTGCTCTCTTAGCCGAAGCTTTCTATATCAAAGGTACCTTATATCAATTACTGATTTAATCTTGATTTTTTGGGTCTTTTCTCTTACTCTATAATTTTTGGCTTTTTTCAGGGTATGCTGATATTAGATGTGCACATCCACTCAGTGTTCAATCGCTTAACTCTTCTTGTTAATTCTACAATGGCATCCAAGGCAAACTCAGTAAGTTGTTATATCGTGATGCGTTTGAATAACCTTAATATTTACATGCTGATCATACTGATCAGGTTATAATGATTTTGCCATTTGATATTGTGTATAAAGCTAATAATAAAATAATAAATATAATGCTATGTAGAGGGACTCCAAATTCTGAATGGTTATCCTGTTTGTTTTTATTCACCGAGTGGGCAACATGAAATGATGATTGTACGTTCACGATAATAAGAAAGGAACCAGAATATATTCACAAGAATCTTATGAATCTTTTATGAATCTCTAATCTTAAGTATCTGAATACGTAACAAAAAAATTGGCATTCTTTTCAGAAGCATGTTGTAGGGATGTTTTTGAAATTCGGCAAAATATGGTGACGATAATGCTGTAGAATAGTTTTTGACTGAAGTCTGAAAGTCAGGCTAGTGTAGTCATGATAAGCTAATAGGGCTAAGATAACCAACTTAGTTTGGCCTCTTAATTGCTTGATGTTTGCAGTAAAAGCTCAAAGAATTTTGACAAATTTTAGGTATTAATTGACTATTCATTCACAACGAAGAATTGGACGAAACTTTATGAATTCGACCAGGGTATGCTTTTTGCAGAAAACTTTTGTCATACATAATTTATTTTTAAAGAAAAACCACGTTTTGCTGTATCATTGTTGTTTTCGAAGATTTTGTTGTATCATTGTGTTCGTTAAACATTTCGGGAGTTGAACAGAAGTAGATCATGTCTTGTTTCCTCTCTAATACATTATTAAAATTGTAACGTAGCATAGAATGGCAAGTTTTGGAACTGAAGACTATTTCTAGACTCTTCCAACTTCACCTACCAGTGACCCGTTCGAGCAATTAGCCAATACCTCAAAAACTACAGCAATGCTCATGAACTATATTCCATTCAAAACAGTATCCGGGTTGGAAAATAGCTTTTAGCTCAATAGAATAAATTACCATATTTCAGATACACACTTTAAATAAAAGGCATTCAGTATCACTTTGCTGCAATTTATGTTCCCTTCCCGCAATCTAAAAAACTTATCTATATTTTCTCATAATCTTGATCTACTTTGAGTTCATTTTCTGAGGAAGCCCATGCAATCGCTCCATAAGTATGAGGGACATTCAAATTTAACAGCCTGTTCCTGACCCTCAAAACAGCAGTGATTGGGCATTGAAGAGAAAAAAAGAATGGAAAAAAGGAAGGAAAAATGAGGGAAAGAGGAGAGAAAGAAGAGGCAAAGAGAAGGGAAAGGGGAGGGAGAGAGGAGGGAAAGAGATGGGAAAGATGAGGGAAAGAGGAGGGAAAGAGGAGGGAAAGCGAAGAGGAAAATGAAGGAAAGATGAGGTAAAGAGAAGGGAAAGTAAAGGGAAGGAGAAGGGAAAGAGGAGGGAGAGAGGGGGGAAAGAAGGGGGAAAGAGGGGGGAAGAGGAGGGAAGGTAGGTGATATTTGTTCCAGTTCCATGCTAAATGCTCTTACCTTCTTGTTTCTTACCGGCAGGCTTTAGTAGAAATTTCTTGAATACACTTTTGTAGACTCTAGAAACCAGGCTAGTTAATATTCATATGCATGAATGATTTTTTGCTAGCAATCTTATTTCCCAAAGAGATTATTTCCTAATTTACCTTTATTCTTTAGATAATGTAACAAGATTTGCTTTCCCGTTGTCGACATCAAACAATATTCTGTTATGGTCTGACGATGCTCTATTCAGCTTTGAAGGTTTGCATGATTTGTTTTCTTTTTCATCTTGACGCTAATGTACTCTTTTTTGGTAATCTCATTTTGAATTCACAGTTCAAATGTAATACAATCACCTCAGGGTTGATTGGCCTATGTCATGAAAGAATTTTTATGACTATGTTTTGCTTCAAATCAAGTTTCTGGGACGTTAGTCATTCGGGAGCATTAAAATAAAAAGCAGAAATCAATTGGCGAAGGCAATATTTGGCGGGGATTGTCCTTAACAAAAATCTTTGAATTTCTTACCAAAAAGGTTATGGTATTTGTGAATTTGTGTTTTAGATTCGTTCTTTTTTCAATGCTAGTCCTTCTCATTCCTGTCGAGATATCTTTTAGCCAAATAAAAGAGATGGCAAGCCTCGGGTTGCTTGTGGTAGAATTATATCGAGTGATCCTGGTTTTCCCAAGGGTTTGCTAGGGGTAAGAACGATGGGAAGTTCATTTGATCTTCCTAGCTCTCTCCTGACTCAACAGAAAAGAAGAATAAATGATCCACAAATTGACGGATCCCAAGTTTTGTATGAAAAAGAGATGAAAGCCTTAAGCAATAATAAGAATCTTGTATATTGTCCTCGCTTATATATCTCATCAAATGTTTTTATTCACATTTAATGAATACTTATCAAATATTAGGAAACAAAATGACAGCAATATTTGATTTAAAAAGAACCGATATCGAAGATACAGAAAGCAAGGTTAAAGACGTAGTTTCAGGTAAAAGTATTTTTGTTACTAAGAATACATTTATAAACGTCATTCGTCGATTCGTCGACTCAGTCGTTTATCAAATATTGGTCAATAAATTTACATCGAGTATGGGATAAACTATTGCTGAAATAATCCTGTAGGATTTGGTAACGATTAGTCAGGCTTACTTTAGATTTGAAGGTAGTTTTACCTATAACCAGTTGGTTTATTATAATGCAGCTTTTGTAGTTTTATAATCCTCCATTACAGTTTAATACATTCAAGGGAAGGAAGGGAATATCTGTCAATTGTCTGCTTGGGTTTTTTTTATAACGATCGACTGTTTAACACAGGTGTGCATTACAAAGCTGTTATAGATGTATAAAATCTTGGATACTGCATACACTGAACATTGCTACCAAAACTTTTATTGATGCTTCGGAGAGGTTCGCCCGGAGATTGGTCATGCATTTGAGTGTCAATCATTCTAGCTACTCTGGCAGTAAATCAATACATGTCTACAAACAACGGCATGAAAACTAATATATCGGGAACACTGCTATTAATCGTAAGTACTGACAGGTCCTCAAATACCCCAAATACAAGCGGCAATGCGCGTGCAATCCATTGACAAGAAACCAATTATTTTATCTTGTGAGTGAACAGCAACATTTTTAGTGGAGAATGGCCGAGAATGTTTTAGAATTTATTTCACAGCCCAGGCCCGTAGCCAAGCAAGAGAATACCAATTGTTTGTCACCCTGAGAATTTTGTCTCCAATCTTTTAATAGGGTTTTTCGTCGTTTCATTAGATTGCCATGGCAATTTGCAACAGGTTTGGGGAGTTTGCTACCCCTGCTTCACAGGCCTGGCTACGGGCGTGTCACAGCCTCGAAATGTCCGCAAAGTAAGAACAAGGACCTTTTGACCTTCTTATGCTTGTGACATGGTGTGAACACCATTAGACAGGCAAGGCTTTTCGTCAATTGACAGAAATAGTCATTTTTTACGTGTATCGTATTTCGTAGGCCCTTCGCTTCGCTTTCCGCCATAAAGCTACCGCTCGAACACCTCACCATTAGTCAAATTGGTGTCGTTACTAACTTCATTGACAAGGTCATTTCCTCTCAAAAACGTTTTAAGGCATAGGCCCTTACAAAGGCTATTCCTAAACACAAATATAATGCCGTTTATTGCACTGTTAAACGTGACGATTAGTATAGAAACATAAAGGAGATAGGCTCTTTGGGAGAAATCTTTCCTTTTATGGCTTTCTATGACACTGAGGTTGCATGCTTCTACAACCACCGAGAAGAGGCTGCTAACCATCGATCCCATGGTGTAAAAATCTATTATAGAACAAAGTTTTTGGCTTTCGAATTTCTGCCTCTGCATATCATTTGCCTGCTTTGCAAATAAGACAACAAAATTATTTTTCTTTGCCACGGCAGTTTTTATGATGACAAAACTTGTAGAGGTGAACAGTAAAATCGAAAGGGCAAGTTTCACATGCAGGTATCTGCCATACACTGTACCAACTATGTAGGCTGTGCAGGTTATAAGGATAAATGCTTCAGTGATGAGCATAAGAACGATAGTCCGCCTTCTTGTTAGGGCATATCGGTACCAAAACAGGTTGTGTTGTAGAACGAGCCTGTCGATTCCAATCGCAAGAATTACGAATCCAGAAGCATATGAGAACAGAAAATATACATAGTGTGTTATAGTTTCAATTGGGCAGCTGTGGGTTTTGGGGTACACGATAAACAGCGATGTGATAAGTGGTTGTACGAGAATCCCCAATAGAAAGTTCGATAACAGCAGACAACGAATGTATGCTCTCCATCTTAGCTGTTTCAGTTGATTTGTTTTAGACAACGAAAACAGAGCAAGAAGATTCGCTAATGTGTTAAAAGGCATCAGGACAGCATTTACAATGGCAACTTTTCGTGCATCTTGGTCGTCCAAAATTAACCGCAGTGTGAAGATGTTTAAACACTCATTGAGATTTATACTGTCTTTTGTTGTTCCATTTTGCCACATTTTTACGGTAGCTTAACGCCAAACCCGGGCTCATATTATTTGATGTTGCTGTATTCGTCCTGTTGCTGCTATGTTTCTAACTCTTTGGTTGCTGTACACATTTCCGGGTTTAAATTTGGAGTTCGGAAATGTTATGTGTCCTCGGTCCTCGGTCGGAAAGGTTTATGTGTCCAGTTTAACTGCCTTGGCGTTGCTAGTAATAAATTCCGATGTTTTGCTCAATGTTCATGTCTTGTGTTTATGTATGCTTTATTGAACATCCTTTGTATCTGTTTTTTTGTCCATTTACCACAATTGTTGGGCTAAACCTAGAAGGGGATTTCTTAACCGTTTTACAAGGGGAATGTCCCTGTTACTCAAAGGCACAATGTCCTGACGCATTTGGCTTGCCATTTAATTTTGCATTGTTAAGACTATACATTGATACGTATCCAATCGGCTAATTCTCAATATTTTATCGATCATAAACACGGGAGGTGGTGCCTATACTAAACGATATCGAAAATGGAGCAATCTTGAGGGGCAAATCCAGAATCTGTTTACGATTAAACAGCTATTTAAGACACAGCCGGCCTCTAAAATAGGTACTGATGAGGTCAGAATTGCATGTTTTGCAGAATTTTTAAAATACCAATTGAATTGGACTATAGTAGCAAAGAAACGTTGAATTTTTTTCCTTTCTCTTTTTTTTCTAATAAAGAAAACAGTTAAAGTAAATAAGTCAATAAAGAAAGCCATTTTTCCAAATAAAATGTTTAACCAAACCATTACGATGTTTGATTCACTTTCATGACAGGAGATTCGTGCTTTTTCCGTTACAGACAAAAATGGTCAATTCGTCGTTCAACTCAACTCTGGTGAATTGTTTGCAGGAATGATTGGCGTGGGAAAGCTAACAAAGGTGAGTCTTGATGTAGATGAATGGTATCAAAGTTACAGTTGCAATTTCTCGTAATTCTTGTTAACGATGCCGTTCGAAATAGCGTTTTCAATCACCAAGGACGTTGTTTCGAAACAACAGGTTTTTTCAGATTTTTCAACGAAATAGTCAATTTTTCTTAGAATAACTTAACGTGAATGCATGGTCAGTAGAAAAGATTCAAGCAAGGCAAATAAGCTTTTCTTCTCCCTTACTTCTATAGACTAATATTTGACATGTTGAGAATGCAAAGAGAACTTCGACTTTTGCATCTAAAAACTAAGATTATTTAATGTAAAATTGTTTACCATTTAAGGATATCTTGCAACCTCTTTCTGAATATCTTTTGCAGATCTCATCGATAGACCCAGCATGTAGCTTGCTGTATGATTCCATTGGGCAGCTAATTATACTGCGTTCGGAGGAGTAAGGCTCATATTTTGAATATTCTCAACTTTGACACTTTTTTCTAAAATTTAGAGATTTCTTCAGATGAGATACCAGAATACAGGCACGTAAACGGCAAGGGTTCATTTCTCTTTTCAGTTTAAGGCATCGAAAACGCATTACTGGATCTTCAAAGTTAACTTTTTCTCCCAAAGCTTTTTGCTGCTCAAGAGTCTATGAAAATGCATTTGTTTCAAATTCTATTTTTTAAATCCTTTGGTTAAGTGGAGTTGGGTTGATGCGGGCGTGTTTATTTTGCGGAATGAACAAATTCCACCATTTTCAGTATATCAAGGATGAGGGAATTTTTCCCTGTTGCTGACCTGCTGCACGCCATCGTGTAATAGCATTGACATTAAAGAATATAGTGTAAAACATTCCATGAATGCGTATAAAATTGCTTTCCCCAGATTCTTCAAACCACTCCTTCTTCTCTCATAGGTACAAGAATAACGTCAGTAGCTTCATATACCCTTTGCATGCTGAAATTGATTCTGCTGTTGATATGGGTGCCTGTGAGGTAAGAAATGTCCTTTCAATTGCGTTTTTAGCTTAATACTTCGCATTCGATTAAACTTTAGAATGACTTTTTATTCCTTAAGCAGCTGGTATAACGTCTTGCATCCTAGCATAAAATTATTAAAAAAGCAAAAATCCACGATTTTTTATCATAAATATGATTGAAAATGTAAACATCGATGATTCTTAGTGCATGGAAATGATAAAAAATTTAACAATTTTACAATTGCTTAGCAGAACATTTAAACAACTTAGGTCAGTATTGTTCTAAGTAAAATAGTAGTGTCCAATATGGTAAAAGTTTCTTTGAATCTAAGCTGATTATGGTCACGTACACTCAGAGCTCACAGAATTGACGCAGACTGCCCTATCACGTCTATCATGCCTTATTCACATTCAATTTTTGATATTTTCTGAAAGCGATTCAATCATTTTGGGCAGAGGGAGGGGGAAACCCTTTTCCTTTCGATTGAAAGTTATTCTAAATGCAGTAAAAAAAATAACTCACATAGTAAAATCTTAACAGTTTTCCTATCTTTTAGTGCTTCGTTATACCTTTATTACAAAAAAACAGTTTTCGAAAATCCGAAGAACACCATATTTGCCAACTATGAAAATACGGCGAACTCAGATCAAGTACAAGCTTGTTCTTCGTATGCTATTCGAGTCTAATTTCCATTAGATTTTGAATCATTATAAGCATCTAAGGTAGATGGGGCTTGCGTCACGTTTTTACAATTCTAATTTAATGCAAAAATGTGTATTTAAAAAAAAGGATCATTCTTTTAGCTAGTATCATTCTCAACGGACATAGTTGGTGGTTGGTATCAGATTGATGTTGGAGAGCATATTAATGTAGGTTGTCACCTTTTTTCAGTGTTTTACTCAATGTTTTACAAGGTGTTCACGAAGTGGCCTAAAACAGTAACTAACATTAAGGTCTATCGCCCTTTATCTATGTAAACCTTTACTTAAGGAAACCATTTCGCAACCATGCTTTTTCATATCTTGGAAGTGATCGAGACGCAAGAACTATGTCTCTTTGGTTGTTCAAAAATTTTATAAAGATATATTTGAGATAGTAAAGCTATTCAAGTTATATCTATGACCATGACAACAAACCAAAACTCAGATTTTGGGATAGTTGGAGGGTCATGGCAGCCACCAACCTTCTGATAGAAGTAGTACCTGATGATGATTCAATAAAAACAAATTGAAAGGAGGATTAGCTTTTGGGGATTTTAAATGAAATGCTCTATTAATTTAAAAAAAATACCTATGAGTACTCATATCTAAGATTTGGCAATGTTTTAGCACAGATCAAGAGCAAATAAGAAAGGGGGCAGTTGATAACCGGGGCGCTGACAAATTTTTATCGATCGACAACCAAGTTCCTAGGCATAACAGACAAGCATTTTATTATAATTATGCTCAATAGTTTTATTTGGTTTGATTTTTACATGAATATTGGACAACTTTTAGGTGCAAGAAATTAAACCCTGTTTGAATGAAGGAAGGAATAAAAGAACACAACTTTATGGATAGCCTCTGTTGTCTTCCAAAGCGTAACTTTTCCTGCAAACAGTTATCCATTTTCAGAATAAACAAATTACCACTGAGGTAATCCTTGAAAAAAGTTTACCTGTTGGTCTCAGGAACTTTTTCATTTGATTCTCATGCTTCATTAAGGGGGGCAGAACTTCCAAAAAGGGCTGCTAGACTTACTTCCACTCGTCGAACTGCCTCCAGTTGACCCTCTATATATCCGCCAATGTTTTAACATTATTGATTGCCAATGAATGAGATAAGAGAAATTTATTTATGAATTTATTGATGTATTGCCCTTGATTTCTTAGATCAAAGCTGAGTTGATTTCGGAAAGCTCAAATACATCAATAATGGTAAATTTTTAAATTATTGCAAATAAATATTTTTTCTTGAAACTTAAAATGGTTTTTAATTAAATGTAGAAAGGCCCAAAAAATTTCGTGCATTCCTAAAATTGTGCTTTCAGATGACAAATAATGAGTCATTTGTGTACAGTCATGCACACCACAATTATTTCATCGCCATGTTTGAGCATCTTTTATATAATGAAACAAAATGAGTTTGATTATTATTTTTGGGCTAGTAATAGGGTTGCCGATTTGATATTTTAATAATATACTACCTATATATTCTAGACTTCTATTTTATAAAATATTCAAAGGAATAGGGGTCGACTTATAAATTCAGTGGTAACTGACCAATTAATTTTGATCAAATCTGCCAGTAAAGCACATCATGTGTCATGAAAAGGCTCCATTGCTTATAGAAAATCTTCTTCTTTCTTTTGATGAATAATAGCGATGAAAAATTAATTCTTTTTTATTTAGATTGCCTTTCCACCACATTCAAATCTAAAAGCTTCTGTAGAAGAGACAGCGGATAGTATCGGGAAATACTTCAAAAAGGTGACAAATTTCTTTTTTCTTTGTTGTTTTTTTTTTCATCATTAACAGAGATAAATAATTTACATTGCAAGGCCTAATGTGGCAGTTGATAGAATGCAGTAATTACAGCCAAGAATTGTGTGCTTAGCTAGAAGCAACTACTATAAGCTGATTGATGTACCTTCAAGAAAAATATTTAAATACCGTAGCAAGGTATTGACACAGTTTCTCGCAATTCAAAAGGTTGTATTCCTTACTCAAAAGACTCCGAATCAATAAGGAAATATTTTAATCAGTGTGCTACAGCGGGGATTTGGATCGATTGTTACTTCCAGGAAAAGAATGGCTTGGGTAGCACTAAGTTGTCACTTGCTGCCATACACATATGGATAACACTGATATGTTAAAGCAATTTTTCAATCTCTATCTTAGACAAGAACCATTGATGTGTTCGTTGCCGAAAATTCGTCTACCATTCAGAGGTATGACGTGTAATTAGTCTGCACGATAAAGTTTTGAAAGATGATAAGCTGTTAAAAATCTTCACGATACTCTTTTTTAGAAGACATGTCAATCATGCTAGTTATGAACATCGCAAAATTTGAAACTGCTGAATAATGAAAACAACTTTGCGAGCTGAGGCTGAACAATATTCTTATAATAGTCTTTAAGGGTGTATTCAAGGTTTTCACGGTCTTTTCTTTAAAGCTAATGGGGCTATAAGAATTTTGCTTATCATATTAGCTTTTTATTGAGAAGTGGTAGCTTTTCAAAGTTATGATAATTTGTTTATTTTGATATCATTGTAGTTCCGTATTGTAGTTATTTTGATATCATTGCAGTTTCCATGTGTAGTTCCGTATAAGGGAGGTAGAAGACAGCAAGGTTCTAGTTTCTTCCATTTTTCGTAAAAAAAGAATTTCATTTGGTGTTAAATTATAAAATTTTTACCCATTAAAGCTATTTTATTTTCTAGTACTTTGTTATGGATATCCTAACGATTTCAAGGTTCAAATCTTCTTAGATAGTCTATTTGGTGCTGGTGATAGTGCACTAATATTTTTATTTATAAACAATCTTTTGGTGGTACAGAACTATTTCGATCCACAACTGGGTATATATATTTCTTAGCGTAGAGTTTTCGATCTATGTTCTGACGTTTTAAACTCTGAAGAGTGTCAGACGAAAAGCTTTAGTTTAGGGTCACTTCAAAATTATTGAGATATTCAGTAACCGCTTGAGATATCAGTTTGAAATTTTTTTGGTGGCTTGTACCATCTATTTCACCCATGTTTTGTAATTTTTGTTAATTTCAAGTGCGGGAAAAAAATAGAAAAGGGTTTTGAATTTCAGCACCTTAGATGTTCTTATTTGTTAAAAATGGAGCTTGAAAGACGTTATTTTCGCGCGATGATTTATTATGATTTTAAAAGGGGTCTGAATCAAGAAGAGTGCCTAGCTCAACTTCTGCAGACATTTGGAGATAATGCACCTTCAAGGGCAACAGTTTTTCGATGGTTTGCCGAATTTAAGAGAGGGAGGGAGAGCCTTAAAGATGAGACCCACCCAGGGAGACCCCCAACTGCTGTTGCGCCAGAAACAGTTGCCGCTGTGGAGAAGATGCTAAGGCAAGATGGTCGGATGACTTATTCTATGATGAAGGATAGCGTAAAGATTGGATCAGCAGCATTGCACACAATTTTGCATGAAAACCTGCAAGTTCGGAAAGTGGCTGCCCGCTGGGTGCCACATTGCTTGTCAGATGAGCAAAAAGAGCAGCGCGTCAATTGGTGCCAGTTTATGCTGCAAAACTTTAATGAAGGGAAGTCGAAACGGGTTTATGACATTGTGACAGGCGATGAAAGTTGGGTTTACCAATTTGACCCGGAGACAAAGCGCCAATCCTCAATTTGGATCTTTCCAGGTGGAAACCCGCCGCAAAAAATTCGGCGATCTAGAAGCGTCGGCAAAAGGATGGTTGCGTCATTTTTCTCAAAGACGGGTCATGTTGCAACCATTCAAGTTGAAGACCGTCGTACAGTGAACGCGGATTGGTATGTTAACCACTGCATGCCACAGGTTCTAGAAATTTGGCAAATTAAACGTCCAAGGACCGGCTTAAGAGGTCTACTTTGGCACCATGACAACGCTTCCGCTCACACAGCTGCTTTGACCATCGACTTTCTGTCCGAAAATTCAGTTCAGTTGATGACCCACCCGCCTTATTTACCTGATTTGGCACCTTGTGACTTCTTTCTCTTCCCAGCAGTGAAAGAAAAAATTCGCGAAACCAAGTTTGATAGCGCTGATGATGCAGTTAGTGCCTTCAACGAGGCTGTTTCTGACCTGGCTGCGGAAAAATGGGCCCATTGTTTTGATATATGGTTTTATCGTATGAGACTTTGTGTGGAAGCCAGTGGAGAGTATTTTGAGAAACTGTGAAAATTTGAACACGATGCCTTTTGCGGTTTTTGAATATCTCAATAATTTTGGAGTGACCCTCGTACTAAATGTTTGCTTTTTTCAAAGCCATTTTTATTTATCTGAGCACTAGCAGAATCTGGTTGACATTTGTGTAAAAAACATGTTGTGCAATTCACCATGATACCAACTACATTAATTCCAACGATCCTTTTTAGATTTGGCGATATTTATACTACAATTGTGATTTATCCTTCGAACCTTACACCTATTTGTTCAAGAGCACATCATCAGGTCAGAATGATTTATCTTCTCTATTGTTGTTAGCATTTGAATCCTTAATTTCAGTTTGATATTTTTCCAAGAAATAAACTATATACTTTTCCCCCTTTCTTTCCAGACCGCATTCTTTCACCTAGGTTGTCCTTCATCAAGACATCTTAACTTGAACAGGTCAGTATTAAGACATTAAAGATCTTTGTTTTTTCTGCGTTCATTCAGGTCAAAGAAGGTTGATTCGTGATTAACTTTGTTCTCACTGGTCCTATGAACCTCTCAAAGTTACATTTTTTGCTTCTCTACTTGCTGTCTGCAATGCCATTAATTCAGATGCGACTTAAAGGTATTATATTAATCTGCATCAGCCTTTTCAGACATACACACAGTCAGCTATGATTGCCATCGATGCAAACAGTTCTTTTCAGCGTCTTCTAGTTTACGATCTCCTGCTAGCTAGACTAAAGTTTAGTATATCGAGCCGATTATGTTCAACAACAACAGCTCAAAGTTTCTGTTCCAACATAAGTTTGTTTGCCATTATGCTGACATTGCGATCTTTGTGTCTCTTTGGTAGCGATCTCTGCTATATAAAAATTTTCTTTCTGTCTGTTTTTCTTTTAGATTTCAAAAATGTGCAGAGACTGTTTTAAGGTAGATCTCATTCCAAGCTAATTTAACATAATATGTATAAATCATATTAAAACAAAGTGATGAAATTGATCTATTTTGCCACTTATCAACATCCAACTTTACGTTTCAAAGTTTAAAATTTATAGATTGAAGCTGATAAAATCGTTTAAATAAACGTTAATCTCGTTTCAGATCTACTCCTATGAATGTTTGCATTTTCGTTTATGCTGTGCACTACAGTCTGCTTTTAGTATACTCATAGCTTTTGGTATTTAGTAGCACAAATTTCTAACCTGTTTTAAGATATTGCACATTTTATGTTCTAACTTTCAAATTTTTGCTTTTTTAATTTAGTAACTAGACATCGATACATTTTTCGGTATTTTCTACCAAAGCAATCACTTTGAAACTTGGCAGTGCTGCCATGACCGTTACTCCAGCCATGACTTGGCAGTGCTGCCATGTTGTGGCGGGTTGAACAATACTTTAGCCCCCTAGAGTTTTATGTTGGCTCGCGCTTGGAGCATTTGATAACGCTTAGAAAGTTTAATGAAATTATCAGACAAAGGAAAATATAGGGGCAATTTTTTACTTTTTAGCGCCAAGCTTAAGCCATTTGTGACGACGGTAAGTTTAAAGCATTTCAATCTGTACTTTTACTCCCCAATGAACTGTATGAAGCAAAATAAAATCTTTAGAGATGGTTGGTATGTAAGTTACATAATGTAACCTCTATTTTGTTTAAAAACTGACTCAAAATTCATCTTTGATTTTACCTATTCGACTTTTATTGCAGACCTTTCAACCAAGATCATATTATGAAACTGACTGTCTCATATTTTATACTTCAATTACAATTTGAGATCTTAGTTGCTCTATGATATCCTTCTGCCTTCTAACAGCACTGTTTTGAACTATTTTATCCATTTGTCTTTAAAGTTTACAGTTGTCTTGACTTTCTAGCTTAAGAATGTTACAAATAAGCGTTATATTTTTCTCTTATAATTCCAGGAAAACTACTTGGATTCTCCAGCCTACTGTACTGTGGTCCTAAACAGGAATCAGCTCGATCTAGAGACTTATTTGTGAGTATTAAAATTTACTTTGATAATTTGTGATTTATAGTTCTTATCTTAACCATTTCTTTCGCAATGATCGCTGCATGTGCTTTGAATAAAAATGGCTCGAGGGACGAAACTGCCGTATCAAAGAAGGCTCAAAGTGTTAATATATCACAAAGGATGAAATTTTGAACTACAACTAATCCAGCATCTTAAATTTTGCTGATATATTTGAACTTAACTAAGAAATTCTATTTAAACAGGTATTTATTCTATTTTTGGGTTTCTTTTGATAAAGGAAAAAAACCATTATAAACACTAACTAGAAAATTTGCTTTTATTCAGGTCACAGCAAGATAGCATATTTCGAAGGGCGAATGAAGAAGTTGTTGTCCGAGAACTAACCGGCCGTAGTGACTTTTATTTTGCCCTGGATCCGAATGCGGTAAGGCTCCTCAACGTGTACCCTTTTTACCCTTTATCGGTTTTATTCTATATTAATAACGAGCACTCTGAGTGAAATGGTTTTAGTATATCTCTTCTGTAAATCCAAAGAAAACGAATCCGAGGGGTTATGGTGAGGTTTCGTCGTCCAGTTTTGAGGCTTTCAAAATCAACTGATTTGGGAGAAATATTTTTTACACTTAGAGACATTTTGACATAAATATGATCATTACAAAATTATATGTCACCTGATCTGAATATATGCGAAACAAGTTTAGAGAAAGTAAAGGATTATTGGCTTTCGTTTCAATTGGTATAATATTTATCAAGTTTTAGCCTTACATTATCTGCACCTATTAGGAACAAAATACCTTATTCAAATTTAGGGAAATCAGGTTTCGTTTTGTTTGTATTATATGCTCCATTCTCTACTCTGTAGTTTTATCCTGATCCTAAAATTTACCGTGTTTTATCCATGCTCAAATAGCATACATCATTCAATTTGTTAAGTATTTAGTTGGACATTTAGTGGTATTCTATGGTGTTTTTTCTGACTGAAAACAAATTTTCGTGACATCATCATTTTACAGTCTATTAGTTAATTTGATTCATAAGTGATTTTCTCTGTAAAATCTGTGACTCATCTACGTCACTTGTTGCATCTTCTTCTTGCTTTAAAGACTCCTAGCACACATTTATCTCTAAATGAAATAGTATATCTTTCACGAATTTTTGCTACAAAGTACATAAGATGATTCATAAGATGGTATTTCCCTTTTGTAGATCGTTAATGGACACTTAAATTACAGTTTCATCTTTGAAGGTGATGGCGAATATATTTTCATCGTTTCATTGGATAGCAAAGTAAGGTAAATCTAATTAAGAAGCATTGCTCGTAGGCATTTCATTCGCCTATACTAATTCAAATTTTAAGATATTAGTATTTTTGCAGCTATTAAACTCAATGGTCTTTCCAAGGCTGAAATTGTTTCCTTCATGTCTGCTATTTTTTGTATAAAAAGCCATGACTCGACTCTTAGACAGTACTGCTCTACTCAATAAAAATAGATAATGCAAAGAGCATTTACAGGAAGGCTTAATGGTAGCTTTACTTGTTATTAAGTGTTAATGCTTGTATGGAGCATTACGTTGGGTAGATCGAATGCTCTCTTACAGGAATTTCCCATTAAAAGAACCAAAGTCAGTAGCTGCACCATGGCGACAATTTTCGGTAGAATTAATGATGTATTTCGTCTGAATTCGACGAGAAAATGTCGGGGGAGGGATAACAGCAATGTACTTTCTGTGTTTTAATCCTATGATTTTAAAACTGCCTTTACGTAACCAAAATTTAGAAACGCGAGTTCTCTTCAGGTAAAATTGGCGTTCCTTTTTAGTAAAAAGGAGTTTTTGAGAAGTAAAAAGGGCTTGCCCCCTCCATTTCCAGAACCTAGTGGCTGGCGCCCCAACTGAAAGCTATTGTTATTTAGAGTAACCAAAAAGGGAGTTATTGCCAAAATGCTTAGAACAAATTTGGCTAAATTCAAGGAAAGGCTGTAACGATATATTCTGATATACTCGATGCCTTGGCGTAGCTTTGTAGAAAATTTGATATACTCTTTTACTCAGTTACTTGGAACGTTCACCTTCTGGCAAAACCTTTGAATTATTATCTTGTTTTTTACATAAAAGATGCATATTCTTACAGGCACTCTCTTTCCTTATAGTTTCTGTCACCTGAGTGCCTATCTGATAGTCACACGTGAATTGATGCCTGAAGCCCAAAACTCGCTGGCAGTTACAATATCTGTCTGCTTGGGTATATCATTTTCGATAATATACCTTGCAGTCAGTTTTCTGCGTTACCGTCATAACACAATACTCGAGCACATCAAGGAAGCAGAAATAGTCAAGCGAAAACAGGAACTTAGGTACTTATTACAGATTTATTGCTATACCTCTGAATACATGCAGGTACGCCAAGAAAATTCTAGAGATAACACTTTGTTATGAGAGACCTGACAATTTTTTATAAAACTGCTGAATAATTTATTTGCGTACTTTCTAGATCTTTTTGGCATTTTCCCAAAGCGCCATATTGATTTCTCAAAATATGTTGTTCATGGGTACAAATATGCTATTTTACTTATTTACATCAAGCTTTTAAGAAATCTAATTCAATGATGCAAGCACCCCAAGATGTAATTAAAAGATTTTCAAAAAACATGTATAGCAGGCCATACATGAATACTTCTTTCTGTGTGCTGTAAGTCGAAAATTGAACTGTTTAAAATTGAGTAATTCCTTGCTTATACGTTCTATTATTTATAAAACAATTTTTACAGATATTTGTCTAACCTGTACGACCTGAAAGGCTCTGAAGGAAGTGGTGTCTCATCAAGACGCAAAAGTTCAGTGTTGAAAGAGGGTATTCGCAAAAGAAACATCTCTCTATCGGCAATCTCAGAAATGAGCGCTGAAATTTAACTTGAAAATATATTTCCAATCATGCTAGTTGTATTTCTTTTAAATTCGTCTTAGTTTCCTTTTTAGCAAAACAAGCTTTATTTAAAGTAATTTCACCAGTTCACACCGTTCTAACTTCCAGCTTGTTTCCAAGTTTCATGCGATTTTTTTAACATATCCACTTTGAAATCTTTGTTTTCTTCGATGCACACTTAGAAACAGGCAATTCAGAAACTTTGAATAAAATTCAAGGGTAGGGCAGCGAAATTTTGGGGTAGCGTTTTTGAAAAATTTATAAACTTTAGAGTATGTTTTCATATTTTTAAAAGGCAAATTCCCCGTCCTTTGTCTATTGAAGTTACCCCTCGGGAGCAATAGAAAAACTGGCAAGCATGAAAAATAGCATTATGATCCTATCAAACAAATAATCTTTCACGATCGATAACTGTGAAATTAACAGTCCTGGTGTTTGAGAAACATAATTTGATTTCTATGCCTGGGTTAAATATAGCAATCCAATTTGGTAGTAATTTTTCTTGTTGGTTAAACTGGAAAGATACCCGCTAGCCAAAGTAATTCCAATAGTCTCTGAAGTTCCCGTGTCTAGATAGGTAATTATTTGTTCAATAAGCTTAGTATGATGCCCTTACATGATGTTTTAAAAACGTTTAATGCGACAAAGCTGCTTTAGTAGTATATATAAAAGCTGTTTTAGTAGTATATAGTATATACTTTATTTGATCTCACTGCCATTCTCGTGTTTCCTTTCGCTTTGAACTTACTATAAACTAAACAGATTTGTCCTATAATTTCATACTCTTTGTTTGTGTAAAAACGACCAAATGATACAACCACGCTGACAGGATAGGTCCATATCCCGTATCCATATATCTGGAAGTGAATCAGATGGCACAAGACCTTTCGTGAGCTTCCTGTCACGAAAACGATGTCTCTAGCTCTACTTGCTTCTCCTCGCCTTTTCCCATTAAGACTTTAGGTATGCTGAGCTAAAAAGCTTTTGAAGATATATTTGTCTTCCTTTGCATCTGAATCTGACCAGTTTGTCAAAGATGCATTTTCACACTTTTGATAAACTACACTCCAAATGTCCTAAAGATAAGGTGAATAACTTAACAATGTTTCATCAGGAGATTTTAAAATAGGGGCTTCTCCAGGACCAATATTCAATGAAAGGGGATGTGGCAAGATTGGGCCTTTTGAGTGTCCCACAGGCAGGGGCGTACCTACCGGGGAGGTGTGGGGGGGTGGTATACTTTGGGAAGTTGGTCGGTAAATTTTACGGATGGTCGGTAAATGTTATGGATTGTCGGTAGATGCGTATCTCGACTTTATATAGTATTGGTGTGTATACATTGACTAGCAAGAGTTGAATTTTGGTCGATAAATTCACCCGTTTACACCCCCTACTCTAAATCGTCAAGGTACGCCCCCGCCCACAGGGATGTCACCACAGATCAGGAATATTTTGTGAGAATCCTGGTTTTCGCGGAATTCTGTGACAGCCTCGTTTGAATGCGGCAGCGGGACTTTAGCCTTCGACCCCGTGATTCGAAATTGATGGCTTGGCTTTGTTGCGAAATACAAAATGTTAAAATAACAATAATTTGATTTAGAATACGCCAGCAACACACACAGGGACCATTTATCAATAATTTTTATAACTGAAGGAATGCAGGTGTCATGATTATTTGGAATTTTTCTCAAAGTCATCAGATAAAAGGACTCGAGTGAGGAGGGAGCCACAACTTGTGGCACAAGGCCAGTTTTCAAAATGGTTTTCGCAAGCTTGGGCTCGCTTTTCTTGCCATTCGTGACTTCTATCTTTTGTGTCCTGTCAGTCTACGTAGCTTTCATCTGGAAACAGGTAATATATCGTTATTTTTTACCTTGGAAATGCTAGATGATTGTACGAGTCCCTAAATAGATAGTCGGCGTGAGGGTGGGGTGGGTGTACATATAAACATCCTCGTTTACAGTGGCGTCGTGGAAGGGGACAGTTGTTTGAAGCGTAGGACTCCCCCCTCTTGTACAGAAAATTTTTTGAAATTGATATACACTTTTATTTTCAAATGTAAAACAGAACAGTAAAGAGGAGTGGAAGATAGCATAATGGACTAATTTCAACTTTCAATGCCCCATCTAAGTACTCTTCGTATATTCTTTGCTGGTTTTTAAAAGAAAAATATTCTTTCAGCTAAAAACATTTCATTAACTGTTATTGATCAAGTACTCAAGTACCCTGATTATAATGCTATTAATTTACTGAAGGCAGTATGTCCTCTATTGTTCTCAGAATCTCTTAATTCATGGCCACGATATTCATGAATCATTGATTCAATGCACAAATAAACAATCAGAATGAACAACCACAATAGCGTAATTTTACTGAGCATCAGGAAGGACAGACTGCCGTTTACTAACTCAGGTATGAAATACCAATACAGAGTAAAGGGTATAAAAGCTCCGTCAGAAAAACATACCATAGACTTTAGAAGGTCAGTCATGATGGTACATTCCCACATCATCGAGAGTGAGTTGGCCTATTGGTTCATTGGCCCAAATGGCTCAACCTACCATAAATCTCTAACAGGAAGGGGTTACTAAGGGAGGTTGAACAATAACACCCAAACCTGATTGATTATTTGGAGGGAATGGATGTGAAGAGCGTCATTTCCCCTAATAATAGCTGATGCACCAGTCCTACCTAATGGCACAAAAAATACTAAACAACATAAATGATGTGAGGTTAGAAGGTTTTATCGCTGCCGTAACAGAAACTCAACACTCAAAGCGACACTGAAAAGTTAGTTCATAAAAGAAACAAAATGAGGGAGAGGGGACTGGGAAAATAAATAGCCTACTTGTATTGAGGCTTCACCAAGCCAGGTTAGACCTATGCTATGCCAAAACCTTGATTACCCCTAAGATAAACCCTAGTTTTTCTAATCAAATCCTTGGGAGGCATTGCCCACAAATTAGTAGAGCAGATACAAGAAAACACGAGGAAGTGTGGCACTAAAGACCATAATGAAGAAGAAATAATAACAATCTCAAGTGAATTTGTTAAACCTCAAAAGCCCCTCATGAAATTAACTCTGATTTAAATTTCATTTGATCATCATCATTAAACTGCCTATTTTCCTTCCCATTGTCTTTCATAGCTGAATTGGGTGTAAAGAGTGCAAAGTTTTGGGTAAAGAGCTCATACTTTTTCAAACCAGAGACCACCGAAGAGGTTTAGAGAGTTTCAGCAATATCAGTGAACAGTGAACTTTAGCCACCTACTAGATTATGTTGTTTACAGTACATTAAAACTGTTTCAAATGCCCTGTGTTTCTTGACTTTCAAGTCATATGGTGGTATAAAAACAGAAAAACTGTTAATCTTTGCTTGCATTATATATCTGGGATCTCTAAGCATAATAGACACTAGCAGTTTTATTGATAAAATCAAATCTATATGCATGATCAACCATCATACCAGCTCATAAATGAGGAGAGGTTCAGACCTGTTTTCAAGACACCTTTTATTTTGACCTGGATCTTCTAAAATAATATCATATGCTATATAATTTGATGCATAAATATTTTCTAGATTTTAAAAGAGGCACAAGAAAAAAGCAAGGGATCACCAAATATTGAAAGACTGAAGCAGGTTGGTCTTTTCTTTCATATATATTTATGTATTTTTGCTATTCTTGAAGGTTTTGCAATTTGCTGAACAAAAAAGGAGGTGTTTAAAAAGCAGTTTAAGCCACAACTTGCACATCACAACTAAGGGTTATAGCTTCTAACAGTTGAGAAACTTTGGTTGCCTTGGCTCTCAGAGATACAAAATGAATTAAGAGAGAGAAAAATTACCAAGAAATGCTTTAGTTTTTCAGGTAAAAGTAAGCCAAGGCCATTATTCTACCAACCTCATAGCATGAAATTTGACATGATATATGAAATTTCACTTTGAAAGATGTACCTGGTTCTTTCTTGCTTAAGCTTATTTTTCTTCTCTGAGCCTTAATTAAGCAAAAAATTTGTTATTTTATTTGATGATATAGTGCCTGCCTCTGACAATATCTGCAAGTTGGAAACTTGGAAATATTGTGAATGGCATACCAATTTGGGAAAATCATGTATTTTCTTCTGAAGCTGATAATGGTGTCATAGCAGCCCAAGCTGTCATCAATGCACCAGCAGAGGTATATATAACATATTACCTATTTTTGGCTGATTTGACCTGTCCAGATAGAGAAAGATCTCTATAATGTGTTTGTTTTATATCTAAGCTATCAGCATAAACAATAAAATTGGTTTAGCTTAGTAGTTTAGTTTGCATCATATGCTGATTAAGTTGAGAATAATCTGATTTTGAGGCTTTTTCTGACTCTTGGAGATGCAAAATCACATTATGAGGCCCCTACAGATGAAAATCTTTCAAAAAATTCTATTTTGAATGTCCAGATACGTCAAATAGTTTAGGTAAAAACTTGGTGCAAATTTTTTTAAAAAATACACCGAAACTACTGCCAACCCCTTTTTAAGTGTTGATTTATAATTTAATGATATAAATTCTGGCATAGTTTGGCTTGCTCTTTATTTATATTTACGAATAAAAGCATCATGTTCATGCACAATGCAATTTCGCATATAAGCACACTACTTGTAAACGAAATCAATAAATTACCAACTACCCAATATGAATAAAAGCATATGAAAATAGCAGAGCAAAAAAATTGAGAGAAAAATTATTTTAATATCATTTGTTGTGCTTGCTTTGTCAATTTAACTCATTTCTCTTATGCAAATATTGTTTGAATATATCTAATACAAGTATCTTTTACAAATACTGAATTCTCTTGAGTTTTTTATTTTTGAAAAATTGTACTTCCAGTCAGTAATAAAGGAAATGGTAAAGCCAAGAATGCTGCAGATGCTTCATCCTTGGGTTAGTGACACAAGTCTTGCTCCTGGCACACCACAAAAGCAACTTGAACAATCAGAAGTTTTGTCAGATTGCTTATCTGTTTTCTGCAATGTACCAAGTATCAAGAAAATAGTAAACATATATGTTAAATGGAAAAATTGCTGCTTGATGAAACGGTATGAATTCTGAAAGACTTTTTTATAATAATCTCCAATCTGTCTCCACATTTAGTGACACTGATAGTAATTACGGCCTCTTCTGTTAGAAATAGGATGTAATGGTCATGTACATAATAAACCATTTCTACCTTTTAGCGTGATAAAAGAAAATACAAAAACTATTTCGATAAATTTAGTATATGGTTTATCTGTAACATAGCTATTTACTTTGACTCGAATCCAGCCTAACTCTGTCTCCAAAACATGGATTCATAGTTAGTTTTAATGGCTAAAGCATGTATTGTGCATTGTTTGTTGTTAAGGGTGCAATTTTTCTTGATTTTGATTCACTAGTCGATGGAAATATGGAAAGGATAATGTGTCTTGGTTAGTGATGAATCCAGAATATAAAGTCTATCAGCATTTGTTTGGACATTGGCAGTGCTGTCTTGCCACTGATATTCCAACAGGTATGTTTTATTTGAATCCTTTCTGAACCAATCCTTAGATCTATCATTAAAATAGTAGTGGTTTCTAGCTCTCGCTTGAAATGAAAAGTTAACTGTAAAGATGCTTTTTGCTATCCTCATCAAATCTGGAAAACATTCTGGACATGCAGGCTTTTTCAGCCCTTGAGGTCTTTGATTTTAAAATATCTCACAATGTTTTGGTCTTTTATGCCGCATTTAAGGTAGTTCTATTTAGGCAAGTCATATGAAAACCTTTTATTTTCAATATGGTCTCTTCCTTGCAAAGTTTCATTTCATTTCAATATTTCTTTCTTTTTCAATCATTCTCCTGAATACGTTTCAAGACTGTCGTGTTTTCATTAACTTTCTTAAATCAGGGGTTTTGTCATTTGTGTCTTGCATTTACAGGCACCGCAGAAAGGGGGGGGGGTTGTAGCTGAAGGAACCAATTGAATGTTTTACAAAACGTACTCAAGACCCTAGAAGTAATCATCTAGCCTTTGGTTTGTTGTATGTTTAGTTCTCCCAGCTTTTTAGCCCACTCAACTCGTTGTTTGCCTTGTAGTAGGCCCCAACTTTCTATCGAAAATTAAGTAAATCATCTTTGTATCGAAAGCGATGTGTCGCTATGACAATTATTAGGAATCATCTGGACTTTCTTTTTTTAGGTAAAGACACAATGTGCCTTTTGTCAATTTTCACTGCCCCAACGACTGATGACGAAACTAGACTCGCTGTGCTTGGAGCTGCGATGGCATCTCAAGTTGTCAACATGAGGGAGCACATGGATTCGCTTTACTTGAAAAAAATAGTGCGCAAAGATTCAACTGTTATACAAAGGAAATCGTCAATAGAACAACGTGCAAAGTCTCCAACTGCAGAAAAGAAACTGGATAACAAAGAAGCATTACAGAGTCGCACTGTACCAAAGAATTTTGCGGGAGTAGAAGGTAGTTTTTCATCTATAGAAAGACTGAGTTGCAGCTAAAGGTGCAATTGCAAGGGAGCCAACCTTTTTTGGAAATCAGAAAGTTTGCTGGAACTAATTTGTGCTAATTTTCAGGCGTTTAAGAATTTTATCACAAAACTCAAACTGTTTACCCACTTTCATGTTTATGGCCTCGATGTTGAAAGATTTTTACGATGTTCAAAAATCTTGTTTTGAGCATATTTCTGTATACTGGATATAACTGTGACATAAGAGGCTAATGGCTTTCTTTTTATTTCTTTTCTTTTCAGGTATTGGCTATGTCGAAGCCCCTGCTGAAATTAAAGATATTACAGAGCATCCACAACCTGCTCCTGCCATCAAGGTGAAAATGATTCCCTTTTCAATGATTTCCAGTGCGAGGTCATGAGTGACAATGCTTTATTCTAAAACTGTGATGTACTTAAATTATGGCTGTGTTAGAGCTAAATGGGTTGTAATTAATCGAATCAGCACTGACTCCCAAGTTTGAGGGCGTAGCAAATTGTCTAGGCGAAGATCAAAACAATGGCAGTAAACTTCTACGGATTACCTTGTTTTAAGACTGTCGGAAAATGCATTATGGGATGCTTGCGTAGCGCAATGGCTCATTGTGAGCAATGAGTCTTTAAAGGGGATATGTCGCGCTAGCAGTTGGTTAGTACAACAACAAAATAACTTAAAAGCATATTGGGAATAACTTAAAAGAAGTTCAGCTGCAACATATTGTTGATAAAACTATTATGTCATCTTGTTTTGAGCATATTTCTGTATACTGGATATAACTGTGACATAAGAAGTTCAGTCTTTGATTGTTTCTTTGCAAACATATAGTGAGGGTGTCATTGTTGATAATGTTATTCCATTTCAATCGGTGATACTAGGAAGGTTCTGCGCGTTTTCCTTCGAAAGCGGCTGTTTTGATATAGTTTGGTTAAGTAACTGCCCAGTTTTTTTGCAGATTGAAAGCCAGGAAGCCGCGTTAAGAGACGCAAAGCTGTAAGTAACTGATTTCTTTGACTAATATTTTAGAACCATTTTTCTTTTTTGGCGATGTTTCGTTATTTGTTGGCGGAGTTGCAAAGCGTTTAAAGTCCTTTGATGTCGTGACACACACAGAACATGATTGTTACAAGGATGCTTTATTTGCTCCTTCAGTCAGCGTTGCAGTGGTTCACTTTATTATTTATAATCATATATTATCAGAATATATCTTTTAATATTTGTTATAAGAATTTCGCTGTCCGAGAATCTCTTTTAACTATTTTGCATGTTTTAAATAAAGATCCAAGTATAAAGACACGCTGGACACTGCATTTGAGTTGCTGGTGGATGTTTACAATGCAAACGAGACAACTCCAGGGTGGACCTATCTTGGTAACAGAAAGTATGTTCCATTTTCTTTTCTGTGTGATTATAGAATAATGTTGTTTGTACTAGATTGAGGTATACCTACAATCTCCGTTTTCAAGCTTCTCTCTCAGTGTCCAATGTCACAGATGTTTGGTGTGTGTAATTCTCGCAGATAGCAGGACTTTGAAGCCAAACACGCTGTAATGGTGCCTGCAATTAACATATGTATCTAGATCGGGACTGTTAAAATATCCTTTTATCGAAAGGCCAATATTGTTGGGTAGACGAGTCTTGATTCCCATTGTTTAGGACCACTGTTCTATTAAATTATCTGAGCCAATGGGAAAAGTGCATCATATGCAAATGCGTATTAAGACCAAGGCTCGCAGAAGAAATTTCCCTCTAATGGCAATCACAGCGTAATGAAAGCATTACAATCGCGTAAGCCAGGTGTTTTATTCTATCTCTTCTCATGTCACCATTTTCTATTAATTTTCTTCGTCTTTTGATGCAAGACTGGCTTATTACTATAAGAGTAACGAATTTTCCTACCGCAGAATACATCATTATGCGATATGAAAATAATGTCATCGATATAAAATGCACATGTGAATGGTCCGCCAGACCTTCGAACTAATGCTGGTTCGTTTCCCCGCCAAAAGAAGTCTATCATTGGATTTTCTTTGTTGACTTTTTAGTGGTATTGAAGTTTATCGCTTGCAAGGGGACGCTTCCTGTCCATCAGACTGCTTTAAAGGAACTGCTGAAGTCAACGTTCCTCTCACCTATGCTCTACAATATGTTACTGAAATCAACTTCAAGAAAGAGTGGGACGATGTTTTCAACGAAGGTAGATATCTTTTTGAAATTATTGCTTAATATCCGCTCGTTGAATCTTTGCTTCCAGGATTTACCTTAATTGCTTTTGTTGCTGTGTATGAATTAGATTCTATTTCAGTTTGAGTGATTTTTAGTTCTAATCTATAAAAACCATGCTGACATATTACATAAAGGTAGTATAAAGCATTGTAGATATTTTCTGCGTCACACTTAGTTCAGAGGGGACTGGGATTGATAATAACATAGATCCTTAATGGAACAATGACTATGCATAAATTCTTGCGCGTGTAGAATGTTTTTTGTTGAAGCTACAAAATTTGTGTTATGTAAACATAACTTTTATTGTGACTCAGCAAAGGGGTCATTGATATTTGATACTTCAAACAAATTACCAGTTATTATTCGAAAGTTCCCCTGTATCATGATATTTTTTCTTGTTATGTTTTGATGAAGTGCAGCTGCAATGTTAGTCAACATATTGTACTTGTTTACCCTAAAATGTTCTCTTGGGTTTTTAAGGCAAAGTGATCGAAGATATTGATGAAGTTACAAAGGTATATTATGACACTTATGTCAGTCAGTTTTGTTTGTTCATCCATTCTTCACACCTTTTCTCTTTTGTTCGTCAATTCCTCGTACCTTTCCACGATATTTATATTTACCTTGCTGGCAGGTGAAAAAGTCGGAATGACTCAGAGTTTTATTTCCAGGTCACCTACATGGAGTACAAACCAGTTTGGCCAACTACCGCTCGTGACTTTTGCAGCATAACAGCAACAAGGCATTTGAAAGGCGATATCTACGGCGTTGCAGTCAAAGCCGTAAGTTCGTTATAAGACCAGACGTTTGGCTTTACGACCGAATATCATCATCATAGCCATTATTCTCATCATTATCATCATAATCCTCACCATTGCAAGTGCCATCCCTAAATTCACGTTGTTCTATCTCTTGCAGACCACTCATCCTTCATGTCCTCCAGTCAAGGGTAAGCAAAGGTAAAGCTATATGTTTTCTTAAAATTCATGCCATGGCGATTGATGGGTGCCGCCACTTTATTCACAGAAGTAGGCTTTGAACAGAAATTATCACCTATATAGGACTCTTTAAAATTTCAGTAATTTTCCAGGTAGAGAGTAATTTCTGTATGTTGTGTGGTGACCCAGAGCTATTCACAAAGGCAAAACGCTATATTTAAAGTCCTACAAATAAAAGACACCAATTGCGCGATTTTCGCATGCTAATTTCCACATCAATTTTCTGCTTGTTTTCACAATGCTAGAAGGACCCTTGCTTGGTAATGCAAGCTGTCGAAACATAAATTTTAAAGAGTTCAATTGAAACTTGTTAGAAGATTGGTTCTTTTTTTCCTCGCAGGGGTGAGATAATCACAGGTGGATTCGTTGTTGAAGGGACTAGCATCGATCCTCCACAGTGCAAAGTTACTTACGTCACAAGAGCGGATCTTAAAGGTAAATTTACGAAATTTGATTCAACCACGAGTTCCTAGGTGTCCTACAGAGTGACAAGAATCTAGGCTATGCAACCTTAAAACTTTATACTTCCCGTCTTTGGCCTGATAATAGGCCCACTATAAGAAAACACCAAATTTGATACCAATCCTGGTGATAAATGGAATTGATTTTGACGAATCAATATTGCCTGGATACCATGATGTAATTTTAGTAGCAGAGTTACTGCATTCTGCTAACACTGAATTTACTGACAGTGAATTTATTGTTCTTTCATAGGAAAAATTCCAGCAAGTATGGTAAACAAAGTGAATGAAAAACAGCCTATGTACACTGCTATTATAAGAGATAAAATTGAAGAGAGATTTATGTATCAAGACCCGCCACATGAAGGAGATACCAAAATTATCGCTGCAAGGCAGTACCCAAGCATTTTAGAGGCATCGACAAAGGTTGAAGGATCTGTTGAAAACCAAATTAACTCCGCGGTATGATTGTCTCGATATGTGTGTCTCATTATGTATTTGAAATAACAGCTAAAGCTAGTACAAAATGGTACCACAAGTAAGCAAGAAATTTTTGCATTCCGTGATTTTAGCTCGAAATAGATTGAGATATCCGAGTATCATGAGACTGTTTTGTCAGTACCATCTGATAATCAAATTGATAAGCTTAAGACATGTTACAATATGACATGACATATTGAAATGACATGATCTAATGTTTCGCATTTACCTGTCAGCATTTCTGCCCCTATTAAAGTGTTTTTCCCCATTCATAGACATCGACATTGGCCATTTCAAATAAGAATGGTTCTGATGATGGAAATCAAGATGACAGCAATGCGGCTACCGCAACGAATTTTAGAGAACTCTCTAAAGATGAGATCGAATCGTTTATACCAGATACCGATGTAAAGTGGGATGCAATTTCCGAGACTTCGGTAACAAGCCTGGACCAAATGGAAGAGGTACCCTTTTAGTCAATTTTTTGACATGCAAATTGTTACAAATTTTCATAGTACTTGTGCATCGTCGCTGGATAATGTCATCCACTAATTAACACTGAAACCTTTGGTTTATGGTTGAGTAGCTTTCAAAAAGTAGTTTGTACTGTATTGGAAACTATCGACTTTTCCAAATTTGCTAAGCATTATCCCACATTTTTGGGAAAATGTAATAGAGTATAATATATGCACCCCGGAAACACAAGTCACGTGATTTTTCTTCCTCATGTTGCTTTGACGAAGTCGCCTATAATTCACAGATGAAAATTTTTTGCGACAGTTAAGCTTCTTTACATCAGCAGTAAACTGGCAGGCCCAAACATTCTCATTAAAATTCTAAAAGCACGCAGATTTAGGTTGAAGCCCATTTGTAATCAGCATTGCTGGTTTTAAAGGCTGGCGTAAATTTTAAATTTTTATTGAAGTTTCAAGAGTTTAACGAGCGAAATGAAGACATGAAACCACTCGCTGAGCAAAATTTTGAGCTCCCTAGAGGTAAGTCAACTAACCCAATTCCTTGTTTAGATGTCGAAGAAATCCGATTCAGACTCTAAGGAGGCTGTGGACGAGCTGGAAGACAAGACAGAACCACAGTCCTCCCAACGACTTGAACATCTTCGAGGTACGTTACGTCATTGACTTGATCACTTACCACAAAACGACACAGTAACATGTGAAGACTGGTCGCACATTGCGAGGATTTCAATCTACATTGATTTCATTTTGAATTGCGAATCTAAAGAAAACTTTCCAGTGCCTTTCATTGACAGACAACACAGACATTTAAGGGATTTCAACGAAATGCTCAGGGCCCAAGTTTGTTTACAACACCAATACTTCATTTTGTCTGCCAAAGATTTTTGTTACTGCTATTTTAAACATGTATTTAGCAGGACACAAATAGAGAAAGCGAATTCATTTTTTAATTTGTTTTAATTTGTTAATTTTTGGCTAAATTGGCAGAGATTCTCTTGATCTGAGTGCATTCAAATTTATCTCCCTTTTTAAGAGTTAAAACATTTTCTACCATGATTGCACGGGAGTTTTTCTAGACAGAAACATCTAGTCATTTTCAAAATGTTTCCACACAAGCTCCTTGCTTACAAAACTTAGTAGCTTTGAATTAAAAAAAACAAAATACTCTAGTTTTCTTTTATTTCTAAACCCTTATAAAATTGAAGTTTTTTATACCATTTCTACACCCTTCACAATCACTTATTTTTCCTTAGATCGTCTTGGGAATTTGGACTTCAAAGTACTTGGAAATCAAACTGCAGCAAAACTGCTAGAGGAGGTAACGTTTTTGTGCATATAGCTCATCATTTACCCAACAAATGTTAGCTTTACTCCTTGTGGCTGTCTTTAAACTACCTACCATTTTTGCTGTCCTGAGCCAATCTGTGTTATTCAATAATTGTTCTATGACCAACCTGTTCTTTGACGTCACCACATCCTCTAACTTTAGGTTCCTATTATAATAATTTCCATAATAATTTCCATACACTGTTCCTGTTATCAGGTCTTTTTTACCTTTACCGAGTAAAAGGAATAAACGACGAATAATGCTTCATTTATATCCATCATTTGCAGAACTGGGTTTGTTCTGGCCCTTTCTTTTTCTGTTTCCTCTATTTGCTTAAGTTCTATACCAGACCGTTTGTCAACCCATTAACTATTTGGCAGTGAAGGTCTCAGGTTAAGCTACTAATCTTGATAACCTTTGTTTAAGGTTCTGTTGGCAGCTAAAGTGGATAGCACAAGCCAGCCTGCAGACGGATATACCGAAGACATTTGGACGTAAGATATTTTTATGGTCGCTTGTATTTGAAAAAGTTTAGCTTTGAAAAATGGATACTTCTACGCTACTTCTCTTTTTGGATGTAGCGATTTTTTTATTAAAGAAAATGTTTCTAAGAAAGATGCTCGTTCTTGTAAAGAAAACATAATGGCATCTAAATCCAATTGCAGACATGTTGAGATGAGACGATGTAAGAGATGAGACAATGCTTTGTCATTTTATGTCACGTCGTATAAAATTATTTCATGCCAGTCAAAGTCGGCCCAGTCATGGCATTACACCCCCAATGACCTGTGCTTGTATGTCTGTCGTTAAGTCGTTGAATATTTCTGTTCAGGCCAGGCACTATGGCATGGATGCAACATCATTGCATAATACGTCATGTCATTTTAAGCTAGTCCTGACTATGTCATGCCATGTTTGGTTGTATCATCTTTTGTCCTGTCAAGTCATATCAATATAACTGTTCTGTTGGACGCAGTAAGCTTCAGGCTCCATTGTATGTTTGTCGCTATTGATGTTGTGTTTGTAAAATTGATTTTTCTTGCTATCCTTTTAGATACCAAGGAACATACAGGAATGTCATGATTCTACGCAAGATTCACACTAATAGCAATTTTTATAGGTTGGTATTGCAGTAGTTTCTTCATTCTTTTTTATTTTGAAATTTGTTATTTGGACTATTCATTAAATTTAATAAAGCTGATTTTGTAGGTTAGATTTCCTGCATTTTTGACACGATTTTTAAATATCACCAAGTTGACATTTAAAATGAGTGAAATATTACAAATACCCATTACTGATACAAATGATATCTATTCAGTTTAATATTTACCCTTTTCCATAAGAAGATACCTACTTGTAATTTAACACAGTTCTTCCTTTTACTTCTTATCATCCCCCTTCTTCTCCTTCCTATTTTCTTTTTTTCTTCTTCCCCTTATTATTTCCATACATCTACTTCTTCACCTGTTCCTCTTCTTCTTCTTCACCTGTTCCTCTTCCTCTTCTTCATATGCTCCTTATTCTTCTCCTTTTTCTTCTTCTCTGCCTCCACCTTTTTCTTCTTTCTATTCATTCCAACCTTCTTCTTCTTCTTCCTGTTTTTATTCTTCCTCTTCTTATTCCTCATCTTCTTGTTCTGCTCCTTCTTTTTTTTCTTCCTTTTCCTCTTCTTTTTCTTCTTTATCTTCTTCTGCTTTCTCTTCTTTTTCTTCTTTTTCTTCTTCTCCTTCTTCTTCTTCTTCTTCTTCTTTTCGTTCTTCTTTTTCTTCTGCTTCTTGGATTCCATCGTCTTTTAAGGCTGATTTAACTCGCTAACATTCTCTGCTTTGCTAAAGATATTCATCTCTAGGTAATGCAACTAGATTCTTATTTGCTACGTCCATATTTGCATAGAGCCATTTTGTGGCCCTCAACATTTTCACCATTAGACCTGAACCAGTTTACTGTCATCAGATCTACGCCAATGAACCTTCCCTAGTCATCGAATTATCTAGATTCAACTTCACAAGAATACATCACTGTTCTGCGATGCACACTTTTATCATTTAACGTTTCTTAAATAGTTTTCTTGGACGAGGAATAATTGATGTTCTTCCAGTGACAGTTTGGGAAGCTGTCAAAAATCCATCAACAAGATTTGTTTACGACAACATGTTAAAGGTAAATAATTATTTATTTTTGTCATATGTGATGTATTAGTTAATACTGCTATAATATTCATATAGATCGAGCTGTTATTGTCTGAGATCATTAAAAATTGCAGTAAAGGCGAAGTGGTCACATTTTCTAAATTATTTCATTTACTTTAAAAAGTCATCTGTAAGATATTCTCCTGTCTTCTGTTACGAAAGATCTGAACCGAGTAGAGCCTCAATTGAAATGAAGTGATTATTCCACTGAGCTGTGATGGTTGTTAGATGGGTGTAGTTGGGAAGCTTTACCGTTCTTTTCTTAAGAATCTCATTTCTATTTTAGAAAACGTCCGTTGCAAAGGATATTGAAGAAGGGTTGAGAATCAGTAAGTCGTTTATATCGAAATCTTGTAAGAAATATACTTAATGATATTGTTCCGTGTATTGATATCCTTTTCTAGTCCAAGCATTGGCATTTCTTGGAACCACAGTTCATTTCGTGACAACTTTAGATGTGGACAGTCTTTACAAAGATTTTTTAAATGATTCGGGAGAAAAGACTTTGAATCGAATCGAAGTGATATATCAGCTAGAAAACTAAACTCGGGATATTTGAAAACTTTTCTCGGTAAGCAATGTAGGGAATATGTTGTTTGATGTAGTACTTAAATGTTTTTCAAAGATAATCATCAAGGTCCACAACTTCGGAGAGGCTGCTGATTCACGAGGTCTTAAGCCCCTCACGTGTTGACAGTGATAAATAATTGCTGTATTAGATTGAATCCAGTTAGTGGGAAAATACATCCCTCTTAAATCAAATTTGTACTTATCAACAGTTCATATGCGACATGAAACTACTGCCTGCTTCATCAAACAAGCAAGAGACTTTGTCATTTTAACAAAAGAAAGAGTTGATGTAAGTGGTACCTTGTAAATCATTTTATTGGAAATTTTGCAACTACATGCTTTACAATTTTTCGTGTTTCCCAGTTTGTGACAAGCGGACATCAGAGTTGGATATAAATGTTGTATTAGTCATTCCCGTTTATAGGTAATGAGATTTGTAGTTACTCTTCCCAAGGCCGGTTCATGCTTAAGACTAAACGTACTTACAATTTGATTCTTCTTGTCAATATATCAAATTTGTCTCATGATCAATAAGATCTCAACTTCTTGCAACACATATTTATTTTGCTTCATGTAACTCTATTGTTTTTTGTCGTATTATGCAATGTGGTCAGATTTTAAAAAACCCAAACAACCGTCAATTGTTTTTGCAATGATGTTTTTAGACTCAACGATGCTAACTCTTTTAGCCTTTTGCTGAATACCTAGTACAGAGCTATAGAAAAGGCAAACTAAACACTGGCTAAAACTGAACACTAACAATTTTCTCATTTTTGAGTACCATTTGATACTCCTAATGTAATTTGTTGTTATACTGAATACTAATATTTCGTTTAGACTATATCACTAGATGTTAGCACCAGGTCTATGCCATATGACCCAGTATCAAGAAAATTGTGCGCTTAGTAATAGGCCTATAATGGTTTTGCCAATGTCATTCTAGTTTTCAATTTTTAAAGTCAAAACTCAACAATGATATGGCTGCTAAACGGCATCGTAGTTGAACAAAAGCTAGTGAGCTGCCTCTATTCTTTTAAACATAATTATATGTTCAATGCTTCACACCTTTAATAGATTTCTTTGCCTTAATCGTTCTATTTTCCAGCCCAATAAATACATAATGGCTGGAGCATCAGTCGAAATTCCAGAATGTCCTTTGGAGAAAAATTGTATCCGTGGGACGGTAGGGCCTGTGTTGTTTGCTTGCTTTTTTGTATACTCATTTTTCTCTGGTTATCAGTCAGAACGAAGAGAGCATTTTGATTTAAGCAACCTGAGAATAATGCCAATAGAACAGTAGAACTGTCTAAAGAGGGTTAAATGTCTCAGTTGAATATACCAGTTTTGTGTGCTAGGTGTTTAGAAATAGAAAAGTTCTTAATGTTCTTACAGTTCCTTTTTTAAATTCAGTCGGAAAGTTGAGCCCATTTAGAATTTTCGGAAACCCATTTGCCTTATTCTTTTGTCACTGAATTTAATGTTTTAGATAATATCAGCTTTATATCTGGTATTTTCATTGTAACCTCAAGATACGCGAGATGCATTTCATAAAACTTTCTATATTTTTGATCTCCAGTACGATTGGCTGATCAAGGGCAATAGTTTACTTGTCCAATCAAAATCTACGCTGCTTGCTAGAAGTTCAGTGTTCCATGACCAGTAGTATTCAGCGGCAGCCCCTCTCCCCCTCCAAAATCTTCGATCAGCAAAAGTTTCAGAGTTTAGAATTTTCTCTTTCTGATAATTTATGTTGAAGGCCTTTTAACGAACGTTGTTCTGGAAAGAGAGGGCATAATATTTTTACTTTGCAACTTACGAAAATTTGAGTTGACTTCAGCGAGTTCCAAAGACTTTTGGCGGGGAATTGTACGTCTTTAGTGCCTTATTGCAGAGATGTCGTATTTTTTTAAGCTCGTCCAGTTTATGTTAAACAATATTTCTTTTCGAAGGTGCTGGCAAGTGGATGGATAATCGAACCAGTATTGAACAAAGGAAAGCCATGTTCTCTTGTCACATATTTGTCACAGGTATTTTACTATCGCCATATATATTAAAAATGCATCTTAAGGATTCCAGATTTGCTAAAATATCAAATTATCTGTGTATCTTGTGTTGTACGTTGAGCGCTTGTTGGCATTGATGGCAGTCTTCTCTAGCCTCTGCACCCGTGCGCGAATCCTTTTCTCGCATGATCAGATTTACTGAGGGAGAAGTCAGCGCTCAAAAATTCCAGTCAATGCCTTCTCAATTTGCATTCACATTGAAAGCCGTAGTAAGGAAGGAACTGGGCGTTGTTTTTTCAAAATCTACCACTGCCTTCAAGGTAGAGGCCAAGTAAACAATACTATAATGAAGACAACATTTTATCTATGATTTTCCTATAGGAGAAGCAAAGATTGCTGTTGCTATGTTCTCTTATCAGTTTGATCAAACGCTATGTTCTCATTGAGCTTTTGTTGTCCTCTGCATGTTTTCATTGGCTTTTCAATATATAAGAAAAGAATCCAATTGGCTTAAAACATTTTTCATGTTTGATGAAAACCCGCTAAAAACAGTAAATGCAACTATGTCGATTCTCTTTCAATTTCTTCATTTCTTCGCTTCCTCTTCAGACCCCGTTTACGCTGTGCCGGATAAATTTTATCCGCATCAAACTTGTTCGGGTTGATTTGCGTTTACACTGTGCCGCACAAATTTTGTCTACTTTGCCCTCCCGTTTACACTGTGCCGGATAACTGCAGTCACATGACCTAAATCGTGCACAGAACGCCCAAAACGAAGTCGTATCTGGGCAACAAAATAACAACTAAATTCCCGCCAACGTAGAAAGACTTTTAATTCTCTTATCAGAATCATCTGCTTCTCTTTAAGACAAAGTCCGAAGATATTGGCAAAAAAAATTAGGCAAAGTTAGTTGTAATAATTCGTTCTCTGAAACAAAATGACGCTGAAATAGCGAAGAAAGTAGGGAAAGCTGACAAGGATGTCAATCTTACGTGGACTGGCGAAGAAACTGCACTTTTAACACGAGTATTTATCGACAACACGGCAGCCAAGATGGGGAAAGGTCTTGATTGGAAAACTAATTTGGATGAAATAGCCAATCGCTTTCGAGCAAGATAAGATGTGGATAAAATTTATCCGTATAAAACCGTTTACACTGTACCACATAGCTATCCAAACTATTTAATCCACTTTCCTGGGTGAACTAATTTTGTTCGGATAGACGCTCTCAAATTCGTGCGGATAGCGTGGGTCTAGTGTAAACGCGACGCCTATGTGAACTAATTTTGATGCGGATGAAATTTATCCGGCACAGTTTAAATGGGGTCTTAACCGCCCACTAAATCTAAATGAAGTTTTTATGTCTAAAAGGAAAGCAAAGCCATAAATAAAGCGTATCAATGTTTATTTGATTGCCAATATTTTGTATTTTTTAGCAAGTTCTTTTCCTTCTTTCATTTTAGGTTGACTTTGGTGGGAAACTGCCAGTGCGGCTTATAAATCTTATTGCTAAAAGGCAACCAATGAGCATAGCTTACATCAGAACGTATTTAGAGGCAGCAGAACACAGATGAACCCACTTTTAAATCATGCAACAATTCACCTTTTGAAAAAAATTAACAATATACATTTCAGTATGATAAGGTATTCACTTTTTGATTCGCCAAAAATATTAGATAGGGAAAAAATAGGAAAGTTGTGATGTTTGCACATCTTGAATGATTTTCTAGAAGTTTGCCATCTATAAACAGTTATAGCGGCAAAGAAGAAATAAATATTTTTTATTACTTCGACTAAGGTAGGCGATGACAGTCCATTTCAATGTGTCAAATTTTAATATGTTGTTTCATGTGGTAGTTGTTCACGTATGAGTTGCAATTTCGTATAAAAATTGATTAGTAATATACATCTTTTTATCATTTTGTTGAGATGCACTTTGGGACGCACAATAAACAAATAAGAGAGCTCTTGATTGGGTAAGGTGGCGGGTGTAACACCCCAAACCCCCCCCCCCCCCACCCAAGAATAGAAATTTGTGTTTTAGTGGGCAAAATTGGAATTGCAGTCGGTAAAATTTGGATTTTGACAGGTAGATGATCCTTTTTAAGTTTTCAGACGGAAAATTGTCCTTAATGTAATTTTTAAAAACATTCAAGATATTAAAAAGTTCTGCAGTTCAGATTTTCCGTTGATCCAGAAGAGGATTTTCAGGAACATCACAGAAGAAGATTAATCCCAAGAAATTTGACAAAAAAGAGACAATTTTACTCTGAGAAATGCATTTTTAGCCATTCTAGAAGGCTTAATTCCAAAAATTACTTTCGCGTCGGACCCAACCATGGTGGTTCCTTCTATGTCAGCTCAATGTTGTAGCCCCGTCTCTAAAACTGCAAAGCACAATGCTCCAGGATCGTCTACAATCTCTGACGCTAATTTCGTGCGAGAAATACTTTTCACATAACTTATCTATTATCAAGATTCTTTACAAGAAATGGGTCCGGTTGAAGAACATAAGAGTTTGATTCAGTGTTTCTGAAAGTTGAATAAATTACATGACCACAAAAGCTTATTTTAGAATTTTCATAAAACTAATAGTTTTACAGCTGAAGTTGCTTTGTAATACCTTAAATTTAAATATTAACAATGCTAAAATATTCTGATTGCGTTAACGAAATTTAATGCTGCCAAAATGTACTCGACAGATAAAAACTTGTACCACCCCCCCCCACCCCTCATAAAAAACAAATTCCTGAAACCTGGCCTGGCTGTAGTGTTGGAAACTTCTTTATTTAAATTCCTTGCCGTGTGCTGAAGGTCTTTATCGCGTTGGCAACAAGTCAAGGGCCGTAGTGGCTATAGGGGCTGGGCCAATAATCTCTAAAGCGTAGGGGATATCTTCAAAGATTCTGTTAATTTTATGAGGTATTATTGAAGTTTATTATGATATCAATGTGAAATAACACATTCTAAGAGCCTTGGGAAAGGGCCATCTGGACAAATATTTGTAGAGAATCTTCCTCTTGACCCCATTTCCGGCCCCAAAGGCTCTTTAAACTCTCGTTACGGCCTTGCAGTTTTTGTGGACAATGCTAAAAGCCATGGAGAGTAGTTGTTTTGTTCGGGGAATCGCCGACAGGACACGTCAGTAACACTAAAATAAAGTCTCCTGCACTGCGCTTGCGCCAGGTTGGCCAACTCAGAGAAATATAATCAAAGATGGCGGGTATCGCCAGCATGAGTGGAATGTTCCTGTTTCTGATTTTCTCATTTTCTGCAAGCAGCGTCTTTGGAAGGTTTTGCATTAATCCGGAGTGTTCAGGTATACTGAATTTTTGCTAGATAAGCTCACTGTCATAATTATAGGACTGATACAAGGGTGTTTTCCATGTCAGATTTTATTATGGCCTAAAGGAATATTTTAATAGAAGACAAATAAGCTCTATTGTGATTTCCAAAAACAAGAAATTTCTACAGTAATCCTAGAAAATTTTTCTATATCTTCAGTGGTTGCTAAAAGTGCTTCACACATCTTAATAGCTACAAAGTAGTTTCTAATGAAGTATTGCAAAAAACACGAACAATCAGATAGTTTTTTCTTGGATATAAGGGTCCTGTAGCTGAGCTTGGAGATGTCATCCCCAAAAATTCATAATATAGCTTCTTTGACAGCTATCAAGTTATGTGCGTTTGGGAAGAATCTGATTTTCTTAGCCTAGTTTCAATATTTTGCTGCATATCTAGCAAGCACTGTTTAGAAAACACGGGATGTAGAACAGCACTGTTTTAGAATTATATTAAATTTCCCGATTTCCTGGTAAGTGAACTATAATTAAATTTTGTCAGCAAAGCTCTATCACTGTGGAAAGAAGAAATAGCTCAATAACATTCTGCTTCAGAAGTGTGAATATCATTTTTAATTTCTCTTCATATATAAAAAGCCAAATGATTCCCCGTGAATGGAATTCTTAGTAAAACTTGATAAAATTTTTACTCCTGGAGTTAAATAAGTGTAAGCTTTTCATGTAAATCTGCATCATAGATAGGATCTGTTGTAACTTATTTATACATTTTTTGGGCCATTACAATCAGAATCATTTCAAACTTCTAAAAAGAGACATGTCAAGACCAAAAATGCTAGCTCTTTATGTTATAAAGCAGATTCTTTAGTTGGAATATTTTTCATTGGACCGTATAAATTTTTTATGGTAAAGAAGTTAAACTTTGTGCAAGTATTCAAGCACTGGCTTGTTTTGAAAGTATCTTACAACTTTGAATTAGAATTTAGATAAGGCAAATTAACAAATGCATATCATCTGTGTTTTCAGAGCCTATTTCTAGTGCAAGAATAAAAAAAGCATATAACACCAGAGACGTTCATCTATTTGTTGGTGATGAAGTGGATTTAATAAGCAAAAGTGATGATGGAAGTTTTTTTGAATTTGAGGTAACTGAAAATGAAACCTTATTATTTTTCGAGTTCCAGTTGCTAATTTTGATTTTTGTAAGTATTAAATTCTAGTAGCTCTAATTAATGATATTTTTACCCAAATTTTATCAGAGTAATATGTAGTTTTCTTATTGGATATGTGATGTGTATCTAGATGCAATCTAATAATCTTTAATGACACAAGCCACCCCTTTCACCTTATAGTAAAAATACCAATCAACTTTGTAGCTTACAAATAAGCCAATATCACAGCAACAAAATATAATTGGTATGTAGCTAAAGCTGTAAGATAAGAGTTTGAGTTAAAAAGAATTCAAAGAAATCACACGTACTGTCAATTGACCTTCATATTGATATCTGCAATATCACTTTCTTCTGTATCTTGTGTATTGATATTAATTACCAAAGTTGTAACCTGCCAAACCATATGCTGTAAATTGAATTGGTATTTTGGCTTGATCTGTTTAGGATTATGTTTTGCTCACAATATCCAGTATTGATTAAAACTGAATGTATAAGTCATATATGTTAAAAATACATACTTGAATACAAGAAAATAGTAAATGCTATTGGTAGGCGTGTCAATTTTACCAACAATTGACATAAATATTTTTACTTCACATACAAAGACAAGGTCATGGGTAAGTTTGATGTCTCAGTACCATCCAAAAATAGAAATCCGCAAAGAATACTTGAGAATAAGTAAAAAATCATAATCAGCATGCTTTAGATTAGCTTATAAAATAGATAACGTGACTGCAAGTTTTGTCTTGTGAGACCCTCTAAATTTGCACAAAACACAAGAAGTTTGAAACAATGCTGATCATCTTCAGATTTTTGCTGTCCTCTATGGAGTCTTATTCTTTTAAATGAAGTCTTTAATGTGATAACTGATTATAGAAATATGGACTAGACCGCCATATGAAATTTCTGTAACAGTTGTTTTCCTATCAGTACCAAAATGTGATGACAATAAAACAAATTTTTCTTATAACAAATAACAGTGAGACTTATACACCCCTGAAGTTGCAGCTCCAGTCTTAAAGCAACAACGATCTAATGTGAAAAAAACTTTTCAGCCAAGAGCATTGAAAATACTTTTGTTAGCAATGTGAGCAAAGTTATCTCAATTCTTTGTAGTTATATACTGTGTCCCTGTCACCATTGAGGACTTGAATCCTTCAAACTTCATCTTTCATCGATCCAACCAGTTCTGAGCTTTAAGCAAGGAATCAAACTTCATCTTTGTTGAAAAGATTGAGATATGCAACCACCCAGTAATATTGCTAATCTGACAAAAAAGGTTGAAGGATGATCATTGATGCACTTATGCACCTTTGAACCTTATGTAGAAGGAGGCTAATGATCTCCACTATCTCCTATCATAAAAATACAGTAGGGGGCTAACAACCTCATGCCTAATTGGGAAATCAACAAAAGTCATCATGAGAAAATTTCACCTTAAAAACAAATTAAAGTATGCAATATTGAGCACATCTGTCCACAATATTAGGAATAAAAGTACTGCATTTCTCTTCACAGTTGGGTGATGTTAAAGGAATTATCCCAACTGATCACATCAGAGAAGACTCATTATCTGAAATACCAGAAAGGCTTGAACATATTCCAGAGGTAACAAATTATCTTTGTACTTGAAGTTTCCTTTATTTTAGAGCTCTCCATACTTCTCAATATAGTCAAGGTAGCTCCAGTAAAATGTTTCCATTTGCTGTACATACATTTATTCTGATAGGTGGATGATGTTGAAGAGGATGTCGAGGGCGATGAAGATATTTATCCCAATGATAGTGGTGAAGGAGAGATGTTTTATGGTGACATGGAAGATCATAATGAACAGCCTAAAAGAAAAAAGAGTAAAAAGAAAGCAGCAAAAAAAATTAAAAAGTCAAAAGAATCTGCCCAAGAAAACAAAGATGGAACAGAAAATGTGTTGTCTGAAAATCACAAAAAGATGAAAGAACAAGTAAATGAGAAGGAACAAAACAAAGAAAATAGTCATTCTAATAACCAGTTGCACAAGATAGAAGAGCCAGTTATTTCAGAGGCAAGTTTATTTTCTTCGGACATGAGTGGAGACTTCTCAAATTATTATAAGGAGTTATCAAAAATGCCAAATTTCATCATTATGAAAAAAAGGTATATGAATGACTATTTGGCCAGAAATTATGCAGGAAAAGAAGTAACTGATGAAATTAAGAAAGAAGTTGAAGAGTTTGTAGAGAACGATATGCTCGAGCAAATAAAAGAACCAGACAGTGAACTGCTTCATATGTTGGTGCATTATGACCCAAAGGACTTGCCTGGAGGCGAACCGGAGAAACAAGATGAAGCAAATGCTGATGGGGAGAAAGCAAGTGTTGATGATATCAAAAAGACAGAAGAGAGCGATGAAAAATCTGAAAAGCAGACTAGTGATGATTCAAAAGATGGTACAACTGGCAACTTAAAGACCACGAACAACTCTGAAGACCCTGCTCCACGGGTCACCATTGATAGTTTTGTGGATGACTTTACAAAACATCCAAATTTCCAGCGACTGAAAAGTAAGCATTTGACTAGCTATCTGAATACCCATTACAGTGGGGAGGAAAATATACCAGAAATTCGCGAGATGGTTAGCAAGTTAATTCAAGATGACTTAGTTCGACAGTTAAGCAATGCTGATAGTCCGCTAAGAGAAGAATTGCTTAAGCAAGGGTCTGAAACAGTAGTCAAAGAAAAGGAAGCTAATGTCAAAGTTAGTGATGAAGGAAAGGTGGAACCGAAGCAAGACCCTCAAACACCTTTAGAGCAAAATCTGGAACAGAAAAAAGATGATGCAGTAAAAGTGAATAAAAATATAAAAGTCATTGTGGATAAAGTAGTCCATAGTAGTACAAACACTAATGGCACAGACAACACTAATGGAACTGCAGTAGCAGTGGAAACTTCGAAAGTAGACGAGTCAGTTCCTAAAGAGAAGACAGCCTCAGAAAAAGTATCAGACGATCACTCTGAACCGATACCTCCCGCGGGTGGAAAAGAACCATCCAAACAAGATGAAAAACAACCAGAAGATTTGGAAAACGAGGTACCTCCCGCGGGTGGAAAAGAACCATCTAAGCAAAATGAAAAACAACCAGAAGGTTTGGAAAACGAGGTACCTCCTGCGGGTGGAAAAGAACTATCAAAACAAGATGAAAAGCAACCAGAAGATTTGGAAAATGAGGAATCTCCCGCGGGTGGGAAAGAACTATCAAAACAAGATGAAAAGCAACCAGAAGATTTGAAAAACGAGGAACCTCCCGCGGCTGGAAAAGAACCATCTAAACAAGATGAAAAGCAACAAGAAGATTTAGAAAACGCTGACAAGCCTAAAAAAGAACCATCTGAAGACTCTGATGGAATTCACCAAACCACCCAGGAAAACACGGCTGATGATAGTGTAAATACTGAAGAAAACACTGCGAAATTTTCGATCAAAAAGCTTGGGAATGCCCTGAAAGACAGATTCAAGGCATTTGCAAGCAAATTTGCTTCAAAAGAAACTGAAACACAAAATGATGAAGAAGATGATGAAAACAAACGAGATAGTGTTACAAGTGATGCTCCCGAAGCAAATGATTCTATTGATGTAAAGGATGCAGTTGATTCGATTGATTCTACTGAGTCAAAGTCCTATGATCAAAGTGATTCTTCGAAAGCCAGCGATTCTAATAATGCCAAGGGTGCAACCAATTCAATAGCTTCTACTGATTCACATTCCGATAGCGAAAGTGATTCCTCGAAAACCAGTGATTTTGTTGCTAGCAAAGATGTAATTGATTCGGTTGTTTCGACTGATTCACAGCCTGACGATAGTAATGATTTATCGAAAATCAGTGATTCTGTTGCTACCAAGGATGTAATTGATTCCACTGTTTCGACTGATCTACAGGCTGATGACGATAGTGATTTACCAAAGACCAATGTTTCTGTTGCTAGCAAGGATGTAATTGATTCGACTGTTTCAACTGATTCACAGTCAGGTGATCGAAGTGATTCTTCTGACATCATTAATTCCAAAGATGATAAAGCTACTACCGGCTTTCTTGATGATAGGGAAACAGAAAAGGCAGCTCAAGAACGGGAAAGTGAAAAAAAGTGGATGGGCAACATTCAGGAGGTTTCTATTGAGGAACTGCTGAGAGAAATGGATCCAGAAAGTAAAGAAACTACGTCAGATCAGAAAGTGGAAAATGAACATGTTGAGACGAGGGTAGAGGAGAAGGTTGAAGATAAAGCACCATTGCCACCTATTAATTCAGTCATCGACGAACAAAAGGACCAAGCCGAAAGCAAAGTGGACAATAACAATGATGCAGAAGATTTGGCATTGCAAAGCGATCTGGCTAGCATGGTTGCTGGTGCACAAATGAACAGTCCTAGCTCCGAAGCACAGAAAAAAGGTACGAAACGGTTTTTTTAGTTTTCCTTTTGCTTAAGATTTACCTTATTTTCTGATGTTCCATTCTTAAATTGCATGATTTATCATCAAGGTTAGATTCGTCTCTAGTAGAATTTACGTCAGATGTTTTGTATTTGAAGCCGAGGCTGAGTCTATAACTTGAAATTTATGCTGCGAGAAATACAAAAAATTCCGTGACTGTTTTTCTTTTCTAAAAGAAGTATCTAATTAAACTAGTCCCTTTTTAAATATTAACAATATATATTTTGAAAAAAGAGAGGCTTATGCTTTTTGAAAGAATATTTCATGAATAATTAGAATGCTCTTATAAGGAGGACAGGAGTGCTTTTTTGTAGCCACTAGCGAGGAAAGTATACTTTGTTGAACATTCGATTTAACTAAATGTTTATAACGGATCATGGTTACGGTACTTGCATAGCTTCATTGTTAACGTCATCTTCTCTGTCAATTAAATGTAACATTGAATGTGCTCCCTCTATGTTTTATGGAATTTTAATTTTTCACTTCTGAGCCACAGATACACGACTATCGAGGTGTTTGTTTTTTCCAATACATGCTTGAATTAAATTGATTTTTCCAATACATGCTTTCCAATAAAACTTAACTTATTTTCAGTGAACGTGAATAAAGTGTTTTGTTTGGCATCTTTTTTTCATGTGACTTTTCCATGTTTTTGGTAAAAAATAAATAATTTGGGTTATGTTTTGCGTTAAGACCAAAACCAGCACCAACTTGTTTCAGGCTGCTGCAGTAATTATAACAGAGCTCTTGTTGATCAGCAGAGACGGATGAAAGCGTTTCCATCCTTTAATTACATCTTGAATAAGCTCTGCCTTTTCCTAAATATTCTCTTTATTTCGAATCCAGTGTAACCCTTTCACATTTTAATGCAGATGGTAACATCGTCGAGGAGAAAACTGTCAAAAATTCTGATTCAAAAGAAATGGAGCGACGTCACGTGCCCCGCGAGGAGCAAAGTGATGCGTCAGAAGTTGCCAAAGAGCAAGAAGCGAGTTTTGAAGCATCAGCGACGGTTTCAGCGAAAGATGGCAACGTGGAGTCGAAGGTGGATGAAAAAAGGGAGGAGGAACGATCAATTTTTGAAGGGTCCTCAGAAACATCACCCATTGTCAGTGAAGATTCAAATGGAAATGTCAAGGAAGCGGTTCCAGCAGTGGTAGAAAACTCAGTTGTGAGTGAGCAAGTCAGCAAGCAGACTGAACATGAAGAAAATTTAAATGCAGAGACTAACTCGCATGAAAAAGAGAACCAAGCCGATATTGGCTCTGTAGCAGAGGACCAGGACTCCAGTGTCAATGTGGTGTCAGATAGCAAGACACATAGCTCAGGTACTGAGAAAAGATCGGTTGCTGAAGAGCCGGATCAGCAACATGAAAGGGACGTAACCGGAAAAGATCAAGATGGAAACCCAGACTTCTCCCATATGTCAGAGGAAGATGCTCGGGACGCCTTGCTGGAAACATGCCATCACAATCCGAATATACCAGATTGTGACCGATTGCGCGGCACAAAGATATATCGAAAAAAAGACAATTCAGATGATTCCGAAACAAGTTCAAAAAATTCTTCTAGGGATGAAGAAAATATCGGAAAACTTGAAAGAGCATGGAGAAATCTTGTCAAAATTATGAAACGCATCAAACTGATGAAATTAGGTGTCGTACGGCTGTTTCATGGGCCTTTAAGTGTCATGGGACTGGAAGATGTGAGTTACTGTAAATTATTAAAGAAGTACATCTTTCTCCTTGGTTTTATGAAAACCCGTGGTAGATCTCAATACTACTCGCTTTCAGTAAGTTTTGACAACAGTTGTTAGTCACAACCGTGTGTAAATCTTTCCATTTGTGATAATATTTTGTTTAACCTTTGGGCAGATATCGCATTGGATTCATGAAGTGGTAGAGCAAGCTTCCCCCGAAGTCATCACCATCACCGTTTGCTGTGTTCTCCTCATAATTACGTTGCTTTTGAAATCAGCTCTGGTATGTTAAAGCGAATTGATAGCTTTTTGTTGCTTGCATATATCAACTTGCTTAATCTACTTAACAATTGAACGTTATAAATATGGTATGAACTCATGCTTTTGAACATTACTTCAACCTTCGGCATCATTGAATACATTGTGAAAAGGCACCGTGAATAGCAGTTACGTCCTTGTAAGGTTAAAAATCGTTTATCGATTCTACTCTTAGGTCAAATCTATATTTGCTTCTTCGGTCACCATTGTTTTAAAATGATATCAAATCCATCTTAAAGCGGCTTTTCTAGGAATAAGTAACCAAAATACATAACACCATCGACCAACTTGAGCCAAACTGAAACTCTCAATTACATCGTCTCACTGTGACCACCGGCTGTGTAGCCCTTTTAAGCCCCGTAACTCGATCAGATTTTCCATTAGATATATATTCAAACTCATGAATATTCTAGTAATGAATATAGTGGATTTTTCATTTTCGTAAATAGCATTGTACACAGAAATTACGCAGGACACCTCTTCCTTCTTTTAACAATATTTGTAACTGATGAATATCTCTAATGAAACAATCTGAACGTGTGGCAAGAGCTTTATGGCGACTGTCATTTTGCAGGCTGACCTACAGAGCCGTTGAAGGTATCTTTATAGACAGTTCATCTGTATTTCTTACAGGTTCCAAAACATGTCACTGTTGGGCCCAGTGCCTATGGTAGGTTAATGTTTATTCTCTAATCTTCATTTCTTTATCTTTGAGTTTTGTTGCAAATAGAGTAGATAAAATATTTATTGTAGTGGGAAAATAGTCGTCAAAATTTGAAATTTGTCTTTATAATTATCACTTTTTGAAGTGAAAAATCTAAACTTTCCGTCAATAGCAATTCTAGAGGCACTATTGTACACAGCATTCATATGCATACCTATTTGTTGAATGTGCATTGAGATTGGGAGAAAAATAATTGTTAGGGATGACATATTAATGGTTTTCTATTCTTCTTTGTACACCTTTCTCGTGAAACAAAATGATTATTTGTCTTTGTGAATGTAATGATTGTTTACTAGAAATCTTATTGATTCATTAGATGTGCACAAAATGCGGCAGAGTAAACAGAGAATTCTGCAAGAAGATACTGAAGACATGGAAAAGGAAATAAGGCGTTTGCGAGAAATTGTTGAATCAAAGGAATCGAAGGTAGGAAGTCATGCCTGGCTAATGCACATATTTCAACGCCATTTTGCAAGTTTCCTCTCTCTTTTGTCTTTCTTTTTCTTCTTCTATTCTCCATCTTCTTCACTTTCTCCTCCCTGATCTTTCTCTTCTTCGTCTTCTCCGTTTGCTCAATGTTCTCCATCTTCCTCTCTTCATTCTTCTCCTCCCTCTCCTTTTCTTCGTCTTCTCTTTCTTCTTGTTGATCTATTTCTTCTCTTTCTTATCCTCCTTCGTCTTCTTCGTCTTTTTATATTTTTTCTATCCTTATACTCCTTTATTTTTCTTCTTATTTTACTTATTCTCCTTCTGCTTCTTCTTATTAATCATCTCCTATTCCCACTTTCTCTGCTTCTTCTTTTGCATTTCCCACCCCTTTTCTTCCTCCTTACCCATCCATTTATATTCTTCTTGTTTTCCTTCTTCGTCTTATTCGTTATCATCTTCTGCTTATACCTCTTCTTCACCCTCCTCATCGTCTCCTCTCTCTTTCTCACAGTATTTTTTATCAACCTCTTCTACTTTCTCTTCTTCTTTTTTCCATTCTTTTAGCTATCATCCTATCCTGTTAAGAAAGTAGTCTTTTCCAAGCATTTTCTAGTAGAATGAAGTTGCTACGGAAAAAAGCTTAACTGTTTTTTACTTACTTAAGACCTGGTTTCTTTATTGGCTTAGTTCTTTTGATTGTATCTTAATGTTTCTATATTTTATAAACAGATCGGTTCAGGAGACAAAACGGTGAAGAAGCTAGAGAAATCATTGCAATCATTACAAGATATGTATGAACAAAAGGAGGTATAATTTGCTTCTTTCTACTTTATCTGATTAGCGTCGCTGGATCTAACCATCTTCTTGTCTTGTCTAGCCCATAATCCTTCTTGATGTAAAAAACTTATTTTTAGTGATTGTTTATTTTTTCTTGATAAATTCTAGTTAGATTTTAGCACCTATTTGTTTATGTCATCACTTGGAAATCACCAAACTTTAATGTAGTTTTACAACTCTTGCAAGTATAGTTTGGTTCTTGCATTAGAACTTACAATACTCCTTGTTGAGAATACATAGCTACAACCAACATGCTTTTTGTGAAGATTCCTGGTTACTTCAGCTAAGATATTTTGCTACTTTAGCTTCAGGATGACAAGCTTCGATCATCACATGCCCAACGCAGCAAAACATCCATGTACACTTCGCCACGACTTTCATCAGTATCATCACCTTTGTCATCAACACAGAAAAGATCAAATGTAACCATACATGCATCCATGAATTCATTTTTCAATTTAAGGCTTCACATTTCATCATAATAATTCTTCTCTCATCAATTTGTAATTTTCAATTGTTTATAGCCTAAAAAAATTTAACCTTCAAACTCCAAATGATTTTTACACAGTTGGTTATTTTTGAAGATAGTTCTTGACTAAATTCTAGTTAAGCTTTACCTGGAACTTCATTGAACAATCCAGGAAGTTTTGCGTTTTTGAGCTGCATGTAATTTTTTTACTATCATTTAGAGTGGCCACTATCGTCTATATAACATGTACAAACTGAAAACAACTGTTTTTGAACTTAGTAATTATTTGAAATTTATTTTGATTTATCTCATTGTTGAATTCACTTTTGGTATTTATTCCTTTTAAATAATCACGTTTTTCACAAGAAATATCCCTTGTATTAATATCCCTTTTCAAAATAAACTTTTCATGGATTTTCATTTCATGATTTCACTGTATAAAACATGCCTTTGAAACGTTATTGTGTTCGTTCCTTTCGCTCGATTGTTGGAAATTTCCACGCTCACAAGTGTAAAAGAACCAAAAACGCTTTTGTAGTAAAATCTTTTCTCTAGAAAAATATTATGCATTATAACTTTTTTGGATATTTTCCAAGTGAATTAAACCTTATTTTGCATTTCATTATTGCTTACAATTGTAAATGATAATAGCATATTCTTGGCCTGCAGTGCTAGATATCAATGTGAGTTAATCATTATTTTGTTTTCTGTTTAGATACTTCTAGCAGATATTCGAAAGGAAGTCGAGGAAGGGAAAACTCAACAAAAGAAGTTGCAAGAGTTGATTGATGAAAAAGAAGTTGAAATTAAAGAGGCAGATAGCATGGTATAGCTTTTATTTGCATCTTTCACAGATTTCCTTACCGTTTATCTAATAAACAGATATCTAGGGTCTTTGTATACTTTTACTTGCGAAAAAGTAATGGAAGATCTGTGTATTAACTTACTCAATAAGGCTGGTTGCCTTAGTCTTTTGTTACTATGTTACTATACATTGATAAAGGCTTGCCTTCATTGTACTAATATTTTGCCAATGTTTCTTATTTTGCCAATCCAAATACTAGCTTTTTCAAAGTAATTTCCATGAAAAACTTCTTTCACTGGAGATGGTTAAATTTTTTGAGATGCTTTTTCACTATTATTGTTGTGCATGAACAGAGTTGCAATCTTTTATGTTTATATTATTCAAAGGTCTCGAGGCATGAGAATGAAATTGTCAGACAAAAGGACATAAGCGACGCACTTAACGATCGACTGCAAAAGGTGAGGAAAGCATTTTTGTATGTGATGTATTAAGATGTCTTTAACCAAATGGGAAAGGGCTTTCTTCTGCCTTTTCGATTCTTTTTGAAGACATGTTAAGATAAATGCACATTAGTGTTTTCCTAGATGGTGCAGCTCCATCCTGAAGGAAGTATTTTCTTGGGGCTTGTATAACGACTCGGTATACGAAGAAAGTTTTCAGAATTATCGATTATTTAGCCAACCCAACAATTTTGCTAGAAACACCTGAAATTTAAAAAGGGTTTTGCGGATACCTCTTTTAAAAAAGTTTTTAATATATTTTGAAATTTAGGTTGTAGAGGAGCTAGATGTGAAAGACGGAGTTGTCATGGAATTACAAGAAAAGAACGGAGCACTTCACGTGGAATTGGAAAATCTTGAAATGGAGCGACGCCAGGTTTGTTGTCATTATATTAAATGATATTGTATAACATTATATGCTATTTTATGCAGTGGCGGACACTTGGGAAGGGGGGGGGCGACCCAATACTTTAGAGGACAATAGTCTTTTGTTCTAAAACAATGGGAAATGTGACGTCATCTTATTAAAACAATAGGCTTGCCCCCCCCCAACATTTGACCAAGTGTCCGCCCCTGATTTTATGACATTATATGATATAATAGTTTATGGGGGTATCCACTCCATATTGAGTTATATTGTCCGTTATGCATCGGAATTCATTTGTATCATCCAATTTGTAATCAATGTCTGTTCTATGTTGCTTTAGGTTGAGAAAGAAAGGAAAGAAATCCAGGAGAGGTAATTTGCAACTATTTTCTCAAATTTATTTCGTAAAATTGTAAATAAAAACATATTATCAACTTATAGCTATGACCAGCAAAATTTCAAAAATGCGTTGTAATATCGCCCAATAGCTGTCCTTTACTAAGACCTAAAACATTTTCTATCTTGGTGCTCATGAATGGTTGAAAGTGCATGCTAATTTTCCACTTCCATTGTACTGGAAACGATTGCTTTTTCCTCCTCTTCTTCTTCTCCATCTTCATCTTCTTCTTCTTTTTCCTCCTCTTCTTCTTCTCCATCTTCCTCCTCTTCTTCTTCTCCATCTTCTTCTTTTTCCTCCTCTTCTTCTTCTCCATCTTCTTCTTCTTCATCATCTTCTTCTTCATCATCCTCTTCTTCTTCTTCATCATCTTCTTTTTCTTCTTCCTCTTCTTCTTCTTCCTCTTCTTCATATATCATTATAGATTTTCATTGTTTATTGCTTTTTACACGGTCATCTATCAAGTTTATTGCCTAAATCAACTGAACATCGACAGAAGGTTTAATAGGACGATGTTGTTAAGAAATCTGGCAATGTCGATCAACTATTGTCGAATGATAATCGACAAAGCATTCTGTCCAGTCATTCAGTATGATGCCTGACTTTTAAAAGAGCTGTTGGCTTATAAGGTTGGGGCTTATAAAGTTTTGAAGTTATTGCAAGGCTCTTTAAAGTGTGATTTCTTGGTAGGTGCAAGGAACTCGAAGAAGAATTAAAAGCCAAAGAAGAGGAAAATGGAAAACTTCAAGATGAAATTGAGGAGAAGGAAAACGAAGTCGAAGTAAGGCCTACTCCTTTTTAAATTCCTATCATTACATTTGATTTGTCTTCTATTTCGGTGGGAGAACTGAGGAAGGAAACTGAGGGATATGGGGTTATTCTTATTACGCAATATTTTTTAAAATTACTATTTTCACCAAAGCCTTAATAGTCACTTACAGTAATTTATCTTCGCAGGTCCTGCGTGACTGCATGGCGCAAATCAACAATGGAAAGCTTGATGGAGAAGCCATGGAAGATTTTGATACCCCAGAGGAAGATCCAGACATAAAAGGTAGTTTTCAAGTAATTTCTATTATTATTAGAAATATCATGTGCACTCTGTTTGCAAAGTGAACGAAACGACATGTTTCTATTGTCATTAAGACTTATTGAGAATTAGATTCTAAGATTTCTGTTAGTTATTATTAGGAGAGTCAATCATAGAAATAAAATTTCTCTTACTTTAAAACATGTAAACAACTATAAGTTTCCAAATTACTGACGTATTTTGCTCAGTTACTTGAAATTAAAAATTGAAGTCACTCTCTGTGCCTCTTATATTCTCAAGTTTTCATTAAATACTTACATTTTTGTGTTGCTTTGTCAAACAGAACAACTTAAGACAGAAAGATTGAAACAGATTGTTGAGTCAACCCAGGTAAAAATGACATTCTGAAAACTTTAACATGAAGAAGATCAATTTTATGCTACTTCCCTCTCTTATGGTTTTCTTAATGAATCTTTTAGCATTGCTTGTAAAAATATCGAATGGGTTATAATTCTTTATCTTTATAATTGATAGACTTTTCTTAAAAGATTTATTTTAAGATTTTCGTGCATTTCACCTGGTAAACTTATTAGTAATATTCACATCATTGTTCTTAGGTCGCCCGTTGTTGAAAGGAATCCACTCCACTTTAATAATTCCTTGTCATTGGCTAGCCTAGATATAAGACAACTGATAGTTTTACTATAATTCTAGCACGTAAAAATGGAACTCTTAAACAAACCAAAACCATCGCCTTGTTATCTCCCGTCAACCTTTTAGAACTTAGATGCCCATCGGGTACATGTGACTCCAAAATAATGTTTTGATTCCTAGGCATTAGCAAATCTTAAGAAGAGTGAAAAAGAGAAAGAGTATTTCCAGGAAGGGTATCTAGAAGAACGGGAAAAGAGAGAGAATGCAGAAGGTATGCAAAGATATTGATTCCAACCCTTCTTAAAACGAATCACAATTGACTTGATAGTTAAAAAGTTTGTTATATTGTGTTAAATTGAATGCATAGTTAACTGACTTTTATCTCTTTGAATTTATTCATCTATGAAAAACATATCTGGGAGCTTTTTAATTGATGTATCCTGGATAATCCTTTCTCCCAATATAATCACATACAATTTGACAGTAAGTGGTGGATTTTTCTACTTCTTGTCAAAATTCTTCCAGTATTTGCCAAAAGGCCGACCTTTTTCTATTCAATCTTATTCTGGTTTATTCATGGAAAGATTTATGAAACTTTTTCTAGAACAAGTCAAGACTCTGCAAACTGATATTGAAAGACTTAGCAAAGATGTCAATACATACAAGACAAGTTCAACTGAATACCAGATTAAAATGGAGACTCTGCAACAGTATTTCAAGCAACAAGTGACTGATTTGCACAGGTTTGCTTCTTTGGATCTAGTTTTTGTTCCAAGGTTAAAAAGCACAGCTACAATGAGCAAAAACTTTTGCCTAACTATGTTCCAGCCTCACGGTTTGACACCATCAGTTATGAAGTAACTGCTTTTCTTAGTGAAAAGCCCAATTTTTAAGTTACCAAAGTCTACTTTGGTTTTTAGCTCTTTTGAGAATGGTACTGTTGAATCCTGTTAAGTCGTACCCCTGATACTTAGATTTTCACTGAATCGGGCAGATTCTCAATTTCCATTGGGTTTTCCCACCTTCGTACCCCGTATCAGTCGGACTTTCTCTAAATCTTTATCATTTCCTCAAATCCCTTTAAGAGCTGACTTTACAGGGTTTTTCTGTATGTAGTTTTTAGACGAGTCAAAAGTTGAAGACTGAAACGGAAAATGGAAAAACTTTTAATGCAAATATCACTATCATTAGGTTTACAGATGATGAAAACAAGTATTGATATTTAATTCTTGCTAATACTGATGTTCCGTATTTTTACAACGATTGAAATATTTCTTCTTAAAGGAAACTGTCCGATGAAGAACAAAGTCGAATTGAATTTCAACGGAAATATGAGAGTGTTGTCAGTCAATCAAGCTCTGCTGTGGAGGAGACGGCGAATGTAAAGTAAGTTCATTTCTTTTAATGTGAGTTGAGAGGTTGTTCGAAATTTTTGATTACTGAAAGCATTTCTGCAGATTGGTAAAACTCTTGCGTTTGCTTTTTATAGCATCGAAAGCAAAAAGGACAAGATTTTTTTAGTCTGTATGTAGTATGGTAGCAGCTTGCTACAAAGGCTGTAAATGGCTTTGAAAAAAGCAATCATTTTACAGCATACTGGAAGCTTTTTTGTCTGACATTCCTCAGAGTATAAAACGTCAGAATAAGGTTCCGAATGAAAAGATGGAAAATATGTACCCAGAAAATATATACCTGGTTTGTCTAAAAGGTATTGTCCGATGGCAGTGTCACTGGTTTCGACTGTGTTTTAGCCTTGTGGGCTTGGTGGTCGGAACGCAATTCAAGAAACATTTTATTTTCCACCTTGTTCTTTCGAAACCTTATTCTGACGTTTTATACTCTGAGGCGTGTCAGACGACAAAGCTTGCAGTATGCTGTACAATGTTTGCTTTTTCCAAAGACGTTTTCAGATTTTTTACCGTCAAAAAATTGTTCGCTGTTAACCGACTTAAATACTACGAAATTTTCATTGCTACCATAGATTACAAAACGAAGATTTGAAAAATGAAATTAAAGAAATGGAGCGAGGCATCAAAGATACGGTCAGTTTTTAAAGTTACTGCTCTGTGTTTTTTGGCCTATTGCGTCTTTTTGTGACATCCCAAGGCAGCGATAGGCGATTTGCTGTCTTAGTGGAGTTAATACTCGACGATCATCTTTGAAACTACCTTTGCATCGTTATAAAGTTTAAAAGGGACATATATGAAAATACATCTTCCATAATTTTTTCGTGAATCCGTAAACAGCCAGAATACATTTGAATTAAATTCCTAAGCAAAATCTTGACCGATGAACTTGTCGGTTTTTTTCTCACGTTGTTTGCCACATAGAGAAATTTTGATGTTAATCTGACTTTACCTAAATCTCGTTTTTATTGAAATTATTTTTTGCTCGAAAAATTGTGACATTGCTTTTCATTCTATTTTTGGATTTATGTGTTTATGCCTTTATATCCTTATTTTATTATAGAAAATGGCTTCTGAAAAGGAAACACACGAATTATGGGTTGGTAACATATTTAGATTTTAATCGCAATTCATCTTTGAAATTTCCTTTGTAGACAAAACATCCTTACTTCTTCTACAAAGTATGTAATTTCTATTGGCAACCAAGTTGAAAATTATATTGACCTGTGCTGGTTTGAAAAATCGAATATGTCTGGCAGCTGTCTTCTCTTTATATTTCATGTTCCAAACAATGTTACTCTGCAAGGCAAGTGCCGTCAATGACACTTGCCAGTTACTTTGCTACTTGTTACCTGTACTTTGCAGATAACGCTCCTGGTTCCTTTAAATTTTGTATTTTCGAACTCCCTGGCTGATTCATTTTCGACTGTCTTGCCTTTTGTTCAGTTTGGGCATCATAGTTGTCCCCTTCTTCTTTATAACCATGTTTCGTATATGATCGTTAAACACCGCTTTATACCATAACTCATATAAGCTAGGTCATTTTGCTCCTATTCGACGTAGACCTTAAAAATCATTGTGTTTAATACTGTATACTACTACTTATACAAAATGAAGCGTAGTTCATACTTTAAGCCGATTTCTCTTTAGCAAGCCACGCCCTGACATAATTTTACTGATCTCCTGATCAAATCAAAGTGATATTCTATTTCAACTGGCTACGAAGGATCTTTTATTCTTAAATAATGTGTTTCTCTTTTAAGAAAGCGACAGTTGTAGTGTAGAGAAGTGACTGATAGAGCACCGAAGTGTGAAGTCATTTGTAAAACCTTCAACTGATTTTCCATATTTAGCGGCATTTCGTAATGCCTTTTTGGAATATATTGTCAAAATCGAAAAATTCTAAAAATATATTTTGTGACTTCATCGCTTCGGTACTCTATTGGGTACTAAGCCACCGCTATCCATGTTTATCGCATTCATTGCAATTCATCGCAATGCTGTTTATGGATTGAAGGCTGCAACTGTCATTAATGAAAGATAAACATAATTGTCAAAGATCGATTATTGTCACAAAAACTTTGCTTTTCAAATTCTAGATAAAAAATAGACAGATGAATAGAGATTTAGAAGAAATGAAAAGAGAAAGAGATATTTACAGAAAAAGGTGTTTATAGCTTAATTATTCTAAAATTTGTTGGATTAAAGAATTATGTTCTAACTTATATCGATTCTGTAATATTTTTACGTTAAATACAGTTAGAGCTTTATGAACACGATAACTTGCATGAATTTGTTTATCAAGAGGCCATTTTGAATTTTGATGTGAAGTATTGCATGCATGGTATGATGTGTTGCAAATAAAATGAGCAGTACTGCAGTCTGATGCAATATATTCAATTCTCAAATGTGAAATTTAAAGACTTTGAAGGCAATTACATTTGTCAATGTAATGCAAAGGGAATTTAGTCAGATAAAACCCATATAGGCACATATAGGCCTTTTTATTAGGTTTAAATGCAATGAAAGTACCTTAACATGCATGGCAAGAACGCGAGATTGCACACCTATATGCATACTCTATGAGTTTGCTTGAGTCGAGTCTTACATGGTCTGCCTATTTTTTGGCATTGCAAATAACAATAAACCGGACCTTAATGCTTCGCCCCTTAGAACCAAATCGAGCCAGTAACAGGCTACCAGACAGTTCCTTGGATTTTCCTAGGGTTGTGTGCAGCATTGAAAAATTCATAAAATAAGCCTGGTTAAGGATACCACTTTTTTACTGTCATTTTGTTCATCCATTCATCTATTTCGTGCGTGATGAATTATCTTTATTACACCTTCAATATTTGTACTAAGGCAAAACAGAACAATTATTTTCACTATAAAAGTTGTTTCTTCTTAGACTGCTTGAAGCTGAGACGGCACGAAAACGATCTTCGCCAATACCGGCCGCTGGAATGGAGAAGTCACGTGATAGCCCCGCTGGCAGTGGTATGTTTACGTATTATCTATCTGCAAACAATCTTTTGGTGGTACAAAACATGTTCTGACGTTTTAAACTTTGAAGAGTGTCAGACGAAAAGTTTTAGTTTACTAAATGTTTGCTTTTTTCAAAGCCATTTATTATCTATCTATGCATTACGACTTTTGCTTTCTTTGATTCAGCTAAGAGCTTTCCTTCCCCTTTCAACCATTGTTTCACACCTTAAAAGTTCCTTTATGATGAACTGAAATTGGCGCATTCCAAGTGGGTACACGCATATATTGGGGCATTCTATTGGCATGCGACAATAATAGGTTTGCGGCAAGAAACGGCGCATATTTTTTTTATTGCCGGGGCGAAATATCAGTTCACTTTAACCTTATTTTTAGATTTTAGAATTTGCTAGTTAGTTTATTTATGCTGGATTGCTCCTCGTCATATTTTATTGTTTTTACCTATATTTTGAAATCACATTTATAATCGCAAGACTCGTAGAATACAGCTGATTGCCTCGTCAAGCTTCTCCTACAGATTTGATAAAGGCTATTTCTTGTGTTGTCGTTTTATCTTAAAAGATTTGGCGCATTAATCAATTTTAATTCGAAAAAAGTTTTCAGTTAATTACTGACATAAATGGTACTCACTAATTTAATTTAAAATTAATTAATTCTAATCTGGATTTTAATAATTAATCCGTATTTCTTATAGATGATGGAAGACCACAATCTCCGGGTTCACAAAAAAGCAGTGCATCAGGTTTACCAAACTTCATGTCGTAAGTTCATCTTACTTGCACCGGTTTATAAAGTCCATTCTCACTCTATTTTGCTATCATAGTTCTATTTTGCTATCTGAGGCTTTAGGCTGCCATCAAAGTTGTGGAACACATTGCCTGGATCGAATAAAGCGGTCCTCCCGGAACATGAACCTGCACAAATCATAGATGTAAAAAACATCAATTTTCCTAAGCCTTGTTGTCAACTTGTTTGCGCCATGGGTTTTTTTAGTACTGTTGTGTTCTCCCTCTTTGCTGTATCAGACAAATAGGTCTTAATTCTACTCAAGAAATGCTTGGTTTATTTTAACTGTAGCGTTTATTTCGCATACATACTGAGCATTAGAGATAATTTTTTATGCAAATAATATATCTATTTCAGTGGCCCTAGACCGATGTTTGGGATGGTTCCTCCTCCACCGCCACCACTTTTTCCTCGTGGACCAATGCCTATGCCAATGGGTAAGCGGATATCAATTACTTTTTAATCTTTGCTACCATAATAATAATGATCAGCATCATGATAATCATGATCATCGTTCATCATCAAATCTACATACAATTGACATGGAAAAATAGCTATAGATGACACCACGCCATTTTCATTTGTAGGCCCAATGCCACCGCGTCCAGGACCTTTTGGTCCACCAGGAGGAGTTCCATCGATGATGGGCAACCACCAGACACCTGTATCTCAACCACTTAACACAGCTGGTGGACCCCCCATGTCAACTGCAGGACCACCCAGTATACCGAGTGGGCCCTTTAATCCGATGGGCCATCCCATGGCATTTGGTGGCCCACGGCCAATGGGATACCAGGGGAATCCAGGAATGCCACCAAATAGCATGAATCCTTCTTCAACTGCGGGTAATCCTATTTTTAGCCAAAGTCAAGATATGATGTCACAAGCTCAGGTAATTTTTTAAGTTTTCATTCGCATTTTACATACCGAAAGAGAATTGCTTTGAAAAAAGCAAAAATTTTAAAACACAATATAGCTTTTTGTCTGACACTCTTTACCAGAGTTTAAAACGTCAGAATTAGGGTCAAAATCGTCAAGAATGATATATACCAAGTTATGGGTCGAAATGGGCCAATCAGAAAAAACGCGAACACTAGACCGTACTGCGTGCCTAGGGAAAAATTAAGTACCGCTTGAGTCTAAGGCTGAAGATGAACTCCTCTGCCTGCAGAATACCAAACGAGGCTTTACTGTTTGTCCTAGGCAGCAGTGAAATCAATTCACTTTTGTTGATTCACAGTTCACATTGTCTTACACCGGTGTTGAGGATGGATTTCCTCGAAAGAAGTCATACTTCTAGATGTTTATTACTATTGCTATTTCTTTTGTAGGGCCGAGTGCCAGGGCAAACAACTCCCAACATGCAACGGCGTTTCCCGCCTCAACAACAGACAATGCAAGGCCCAATGCATTCAACTCCCGTTAATTCGCCTTCACAGTCACAGATCTCACAGCTACCACCCTCGCACCCGAGCTTAGCTGCCAACCAAATGAGTGAGTCGCAGTCATGTATCACTCATCATTTTGTTACCTTAGTTAGCAAGAACTTAGTTAACGAGTTGTTAAGATTTTTGATCCTGATGAACTTTAATAATCCTAATGAACTGCATCCATCCTTTCATTTTAAAGCTTGTCTCAAAGTTTTTTGTCTGTTATTTAGATGTAAGAAGACTTGAAACTAGCAGTCAGGTTTTGGCAAAGTTTCCCACTACTGTTTTGTTAATGATTTCTTTCCATTTTGTTTCAGATCAACATGGCCGTCCTCAGCTGCATAGAAGGACAACCGGGAGCAACGTATCATAGTTAATTCGGTATTTGAATATAGGCTTTCAAATTCAACAGATAATTATTTATAAAGGACATTATATGTCTTTAAGCATTCAATAAATCTACATGAACTGAAATTCGGAAATCGATTAATTTTCACAGTTTTTATTTCACGGGGTCATATTCCTATTACCCTTTCAATGTCTGTCGTCGCCCAAGGAAAGATTGTATTTGGCAGGTTCTAAAAAGTTTTTGGAACATTTAATTTTTCATTTAATTATATTGATTATAATATTTGTTTGTTTAACGGCCTATCATAACAGTTATTTCAATAAAGGCCCTAAATAAACACAAGGCTCCATTTTGTATTTGGTTGCATGAAAACACAAAAGGTTTTGTTCTACAAAATCTTCACACATCCATAGCTATTTACCGGATTTTATTGAATCCATTTAAAGGGAGGGAATTCTGAAGTATATTTTAGGAAACAACGAAGTAATATGCACCAGTTGAATAATGCTTGGCATTTGCACATATGTCTCATCTGACAAATAGAGAAAAGATATATTTTTATTTCGTTGTCCGCTTTGTAATGATATCAGGAAGGTCAAGAGTTTTTGTGAAATTCAATTTTATGCCCAGCTTGTAAGGTCGGGGAATATTTTCATTGTCTGTCATTATTGCTCACCAATTTTGAAAATTAAGTAGATAAAACTTAGTAAACATTCCTATTCATTGCAAATTATATTCATAAATCAATTTAGATGGAATTTAGAACAAATTGTGTTTGTATAAAGAGATTGGTAATATGAATAACATGAATCACTATCCAGTTTTTTATTCATATTTCAGATAATCTAATGAACGTAATGAGTTTTTCAGTACATAATTGTAAGGATATGACCCTCTCGAGAAAGAATCTTAGGCGAAAAGAGCGTTTATCAGGTCAGATACAGCTATTTTTTTCGACAACACTTTGTTGGTGTTGTTGAAACACACAGATTAATATGCCTAAAGCGATTTAACTTTCAAAGTGCTGTATGAGGTCATTGTGGATGTCTCCAGTATTTAGGCCTTCGATTTGCAGCAACGCTCCTTCCGTCCTGACAACAATGCAATTGCGGAACATGCAGTGGTATACTTTTGAAGAAACTTTCGTATCAGCTCAGAGACCCATCTTTTATTTTTCTTTGCGAATTTCACGCGCACATTGTTATGTCACGTTTTCTTTCTGATTTTTTGTTGCTTTGTCTGACCAAAGTATCACCCAGTTCCTTGACATAATTTGTGACACTGCCAATATTTACTATGTTATTTCATCGATACCATGTTTGCCTTTATATACTTTTTTAATACCAAAGTATTTACTGGTAAAGGCACTCAGCCAAGCATTAAAGCCATGATTAGGAATCCGCCCCTTTTGGACCAGACCCTTAGCTGGTGTTCCCCAGGCCCTACGTTGCGTGCTGGGATAGTCTCTACTGTGCCTATTGCTGAATATTTACTCGTTTCCAGAGGAGTAGCTGGTCTGCTATCCAGCTGGGCGACTGCCTCGCCTGATCTTGCAAACGAAAGAATTGCCAGCTTTTTAAATGGCATTATGGCAGCGTATGAGGGTACCGTAAAACGGAATATAATCGTTTCGTTTTCAGATTTTGTTTGCATTCCTTGCAGTTTGTCACCACGATGTACGAACGACCGATAGGTTGTAAGTGAGTATTTTGGACTTGAGATAATATCTAGTTGAAGCGTATTGAGTGGCTGAGATTCGTCTACTTTCAACAGCGTGTAACACAATGGTTCTCCAAGATAAGTTTGGTCAAATATTGGAAGAGGCAAAATGCTTTTTACTTGAACACTGCTCTCGAGCTTTCCACCCGTTATTGCTTTAACAAATTGGTCTCTTATATGCTCTATGAGGATATAGGCCATTTGTGCGTGTGCAGGGACACTTGGGTGATAGTGATCCTTGGAGAAAAGGTATTCAAATGCCATCCCACTTTGATCTCGTATCAAGTATGGACAAATGGATTTAGTCCAACTTAGTTCAGTTACGTCATAATGCTTCGCAACTTTGATCTCTCCTTCCATATCGAGATCGCGACAACCTCTTTTTGACATTAAATCATTTCCATTAAAGAAATTCAGCAATATGATTTCCGGTTGTGATCGATAACGCAAGGTGTTTCTAAGGAACTGTTCCAGTGGCTGAGAAGCATTTTTGAAAACACCTTCATATCTCCCTACATCATTCCCTGATAGTTCCCAGAGAACTAAATTTGTGTTTGCTTCTTTGGGTAAGTGAACCGGCAAGCAATTTGCAAAGTAATCACTCCCCACGCCTCCAATAGAAAGGTCCCTTACAGTCATAGAAGATCCTGTGATAGGCTGGACAACCTTGTTCCACCAATCTTGCAGCGCACGGAAGTATACGCGCTTGCCTAGGCCCTTTTGTACGAAGGGCTGTCCACGAGAAATTGAGCCACCTACAACAGAAACGTCAATATTAAACCCTTGTTCTGCAATGCTAAACAATCTTGTTAACCGATTTCCTTCAGAGATAAAGCGCTTTGAGCGGTCAATGAGACCCTGATCTAGCATCAGCTCTTTACGATGTCTATATAAATTTTTGTACATCCATATTTCGGGAATATCTTGTTGTAAGGCAGTCAGTAGTTTTTGTTCAACCATCTTCATTGTTATTACCGGTTTAGCTGGTTTGGCGCATTCTACTATCTGTAGTAGAATCGATATTATACAGACTGGAACAAGCGAAATGGCACAATTAATACTAGTTGCGAGCATTTCAAGTTTTGGCAGTTCTCTGAGTCAAGTTCTAAGATAGGATAAGATGACTACTGGATCATTTAATTTCCGACATCATGCAGTCCAAGCGATGAATCTGTAACTTCCTGATTTCAATGTTGTTAAATGCTTTGACTGGTTGGATTCTCTTCAGGTTGGATTTATTATTTCCACTAAGGCAGCTCTCTATCTGCAATTTTCCTGTCCATTTCCCTCCAGCTCAGAAATGATACTTCAAATCACAATTCCATTGATACGTTAAACTCAAGGCACCAGCTTGACTGTAACCATTATTTCAAACCATTTTTTAAAATCAGGTTAATCCGCTTTCCAGTTATGTTGAAAATATCGTCGAAATAGTTTTTTGCTGTGAAGTAGTTTTTGGTGTGTAATTTCCCCTGAAACTTTGAGATTACTACTCGAGAAACATCCTATACAATGCTTTTGTGATCTCAAATTGACCTTTCGCATCGTTTAATTCGGCTGGTACCTGTAGCCCGCGGTTTTCTAACAGGCAGCTGGCAGTAATTCTTTTCATATTACATTCTACTTAAGACCATGCCTAATTACAAGGTACAAAAACCCCTGCGCCTCCGCGCAATAGGGCAATCCCACTGGCAGCGAGGGATGCCATTGAAGGCAGTATCCTCCTCCCCAAATAGCATTTCGTAATTCATGAAAATTGTATCGCCAAAATCAGATGGTAGGTGAAATAAACACTGATGTATTTTCAATTATCGATGATGATTTCGGTTGCATTTTGAGACTCTCACTTAGAAATTTGATACTCTTTTTTTATAAGAAAACGAGCCTCAAATTTATTCAAAAGTTAAGAACAAATTAAGGACAAGCTGAGGCGGAGCTTCTGCAAAATGCAATCTTGAACAACGTTTTTTCTCAAAATCGAAGATTTTTAGCGATGTGTGTGTGCTTTTTCGGTGAATATTAAAATTTGTCAGCAAAGTAAAGCTGTCTTACTCACTTTGTTGGCAAATGAGGCCTGAACACCACCCTAGAGCGAAAAAGCTAGCACTCGCACTGCCTACACCCTTTTAGATTAAGAACAAATTAAGAACAATCCAGCCTCAGATTTTCGAAAAAATTAAGAACAGTCAGCCTGAACTTAAATTTACTGGTTCTTGTAAAAAAAGAGTGTATGCGTCCTTACCTGAGCATAACTCGCAGCCCCCCCTTTCATTCTAAAGACGTCGTCATCGTACACAAGAGTGAATGCGAAAGTTCTGATGCTTTCATTTACGATTCATTTTGCTCTAAATCACGTTGATGGGAAAATCGGTTTGATAATTCTTTTGCTTTCGGGAAGAAATGATTAGATTAGAACTCCAGCAAAGGTAATCAAACGGGGATGCTCGACAGATTTGGTCAGAGGAACCCGAGGGACTACCTACAACCTTTTTCTGCTAAAGCTCCACAAATTTTTATCAACGAGTAACATTTCGCCTTGATTTTAGGCAGTGCAAAAACATTTTAAATTTTTTTGAATTTTTATTCGTGTTTTAAACATCAGACCCTCCTCTGGGACTAGCCTCTATCCCACGTTTTACAGCGGGAGTAGGAGCTTCTTCAAATGCTGTCGACAATCCACTGTTCGGTTAGCAAAAAATTGTTGTGCCTTCAGTTTACACACATTTATATGCTATTAGCTGTTTGCAATATTGGAGCAAATATTTAACTTTCTAAATAAAACATGGCTGGACTAAACGTGCCCAACAAAACTACACAAAAGGCTGTGCCAGACAGAAGGACAGGAGTAGAGGAGCCATGGTCCCCTCAAGAGGCACCGTCAATAATAGACGAGATTTGGCCCCTGAAAGGAAGGTCTGAAGACTTGACTCCATGTTGGTAAGTGTAGCGATTTTTAAAAGCTTTTCATTCAAATTATCAATGTCACCTATATTATTTATAAACGGAATTTAGTTATTAATTCAATACAAATGAGGTGAATGAAGACTAAACAAACGTCAAAAAACGAAAACCATGCTGTAACACCTGCTAGACAATAATAAACTAACTTGGGGGAGAGAAAAATCAGCATATATGCACAAAAATGGAAATAAATCGTGAAACAGTTGCTTGGAATGTGGTATCTGGATATATTGTATCTAGAACATTTCAACTACTTTTGGTTTTGTTTCAAATTTTCACTCTCCCCTGAAATCCCAGCTAAGTAAAATCACGCTTAATAAAGAATTGAATAATTTCAAGAAAGCACAACAAATTAAATTCAACATGAAATTTAGCTTGAAAGTTGTTTGAAAGCATGTTTTTAATGTAACTCAATTTTACTTGCTTTCCTCCGTACAAATGTTACAGAAAGATTTTATACAGATGTTACAGAAAGATTTTGTACAGATGTTACAGATAAGTAAATTTAGCAAATTTTGAGGCAAAATTTGAACAGGAATTTTTGGCGTAGATTTTGCCACATGTCACAGATATTTCAAAACTACATGTGTAAACTTGTATTAGTTACTATAATAAAAACAGTGTGCTAGAGAAAGAATTGGGACAATGATTGTATCTTTTATGACATATATAATATAAACCAAAACATCATAAGGGCATAAGTTCTTCAGTTTAGAATCTTTCTGCACTTCTTGATGCAACAGCACGCATGTTTCCATATACTTTTGAAGGTGGACTGCCTGTTACAATATGATACATTGGTTAACAAAATGCTTGAATCAGTTTGAATGTTCACTGATTAGTTCTAAATATATTTAACAGAATGGTGGATGCCCATGTATAGGTTCAAATGGCACTTAATGGTACAGAGACATTTGATCAGGGCCTGTCCCACTGTTCTTAAACTGGAGGGGCCAGGTATTTAAAGGAGGTGTCCTCTCCCCCCCCCCCTTTAGCCCTTATTTCAGCTAACATTTTGCTTACTTGTGGACTTTGGTTGAATGTATTTGTTGTAATCTAAAGGTTCATCTATATAGATACTTTAAGCTTATTTAAGCCTTTCATTTAGCAAAAAAGTAGGGAGGCCAAAGCCACCTACTCCCCCCCCCCTCCTGACACCACACTGTTAACCCATAAAATTATTAACATAACATTAATTTAGAGTCAATTAAAGTTATTTTCAATACTAATATTTTCCATTTTAAATCTTTTTAAAGCCACTTACCAAGTATAAGATTGCAAATTGCTGTCCTTGCTATTTTTATGTTTTGAAATGAACCAAGAATGTGTATTTTTCTAAAATGAGGACAAATTTTCACATTAAATTACCATTAAATTCTCCTAAAAAAGTCTATGGACCAATGTGATTGTCTATAAAAAAATTATTGTAGAAAATATATCTTTTAAGTTATATCTTTTTCTTCATTTGCTGCCAAAAAATCCCAATATTTAGGCATATCATAAAAAGATTATAAAACAGGATGGTTTTAAGTCGCTTTTGCTTTGCAGTTTGTTTAAAACTGTGAAAAAAATTCTTCTAGCCAAAACATATCTAAACTTTAAGATAACTTCAATATTACCTTAAGCTGCAGTGTATTCTTTTCTATAAAAAGATTTCATGAAATGCAAACTTACGAATCAGCCAAGACTATCCGAGTTTTTGTAACATTTTCTATAGTGAATTTTGTTTTTCCTCCTTTCCCTGCAATTCTTCCAATAGCTCTAGATAAATGGTCACCCTTCAACGGTTTTACTAAAAGGAAAGTTTGATTGCTTTTTAGTTTTCATAACCATCACATCTACGTAGAAAAATACAAAGAAGGGATTTAATATTAACCAAGATATAATCAGAAACACAAAAAGATGCTTTTGAGTATGAAGGAGACATTTCTTGCTTGAAAATTGTGAATTCTAATACCCAATTAAAAAATTTAAACATTCAACCATAGCTCATATTCAACCATAGTTTAAAATCAAAACCTTCATTTGTAATTTTTTATGATAAAGCAATACCAACAGTTCTAAAAAATTTGCATAAACAGCGAAAATAGTGTAACATGAATTTCTTGTATTTTTATGTACAAACAATTTGAAGATTCTTACCATCATTGACTTCAAATGTTTCAATATAAAGATCATCCAGTCGCAAAAGTGCTAATCCGTCCTGTTGAATGTAAAGCAACAAGGCTTGAAATTATTTACTGAATTATTCATCTTTTCAAATAAAAGCAGACTTCTCACTAACAGTGCAGTGCTTTTATATCTATGTAAGCATATATAATTTGACAGTGGATAAAGTTGAAAGCAGATTGACATAGAAATGTATCTTGTTCTGAACAGTTCAAGAAATTGACAATAATGAATATTTAAAATGCTAACCTCAACTTCAAATCCAAGTGCATATGACTTGACAAAATCTGCAGCTCTTTGAAGTGCTCCTGGATCTGTAGTTTCCTTGCAGGTCTGATAAATATATTTCTTAATGCATGAACAAGAAATGGTCAATGAAAAGTGAAAGCAACAAAAAATGGCTCTTGTTTTTATAAAAATTGAATTAAATATTGACCAATTGAAACTGGAATAGGATAAATTTGCATAAAATACTATACAAATCAGAAACTTGTTCATCTTTGAAGTTAAAGATCAGCAATCCAATAACCTTACTGGCTGTTGAGATGGTATAATTTAGCTTTGAGTTTACTCTTATTGTTTGCTTGATCCTTTTTCACTTCATTCTAGTATCAGTTAATTGGGATGTGATTCTAGTATTCACTACATTAGTTTAGTCACACTTAAATTCAAAAATATTTGGAGATATCAACAATTGATAATGTGCCATTAGAAAGGGGTTTCCTATTGAACAAAATGAATTATTTGCCTGCTGATAAAGCTGACTGTTAGAAAAAACGTTTATAGAGGCAGATTATAGTTTATGAGAAGGAAAGATTATAGTAAGAAATGACAAGGCATGGGAACTGTATAAGTATTTGGCCTGAAAATAGTACAAACCCTTATTTCAACATTTCTTGTTTTCAAATTGAATCTGGTTTGCAGATGGAGCTGCTCAACAATTGGTGTAAATATCTTCATCCAGCTATTTTTTAGTGGTGCATATCGGTTTGGTGGTATAGGAACTTTTCTTGACTCTATTCGACCATTCTGTAAAATCAAATGACTTATCATTCAATCAATATTTATTTATCATGTGAAATATATGACATTATGTATTTTGCAAACCTTTGCTAGTTGAGGCATTTTAGTTTTTAAAATTTGCATAGATGCAAAATGCCAGATGAGAATGTTGGACACTTTCCAACAAGATGCATTGATTGGTATGTTTGATATAAGATATTCCGGATAAAGAAGTTATTGCAATGAGGAATTAAAGTTTCAGGGTTGACGTCATAAATTTTGCATCTTTCTATCTGCAGACATTATTTGTCAAAAGTGGTCTTAACTGAAAACTTCAGGCCATTTAGATAGTTTGGTTGCAAGTCACTACAATTTGTATATTTATACCAGACTGTCAAGTTTGGTTTGCATGGTGAACATGTCCCCTGTGCAATAATTTTCATCTTTCATTCCGCTTGCGCATCATTAGGAATCTGCCATAGATTCTTACACATTATTTTTTTATCTCCCCATGTTTCCCATGAAAGTTCCACTGTTTCAACTTCTGACTTCCGATTGCAAGAAAAATCAAAGAATACAAGATATCTCAGAAAGCCTTTACTACAATTTCCGCACAAATTTGAATGTTATTATTCTGTCGTTCCCCGCGCAGAAAAATGACTTTACAGTCTTGTTTTTATATATTTCTTTGGTAGATATTCAGATTGGAATTATACTCGTGGCCTGGCTGTCCAAAAACAAAACATGAAAATTTCGGCACAGAATAATTTCGCTACAAATATTCCAATTCTATGATTCATATTTGGCAAATATGAAGATAAAAATTGATAACGGTAACTAGCAACATAGAACAAATAATGTTTTTCGATGCGAAATGTAGTCAGACTTTATTAGTAAAATTCAAATATCTTATACCGTCAATTTATCGGCAGATATCGGAGGAAAATTAGGCCGTTTAACTTCTTCATCAGTGTCCATCTTTTCTGATTTTCTTTTTCTACTTTTTACTACTTTTTCAAGTGCTTCAGCCGCACCTGTATGCCTTTCATTCAAATCTGCATCCATCTCTTTGACAGTTTTGTCCGATCCAACGATAGTGTCATTTGTTGATGAAGTTGCGGCCTCGGCCATTTTGTTTTGGCATGGAAAGGATTTTCTTGGGAGGCTGGTCGAAACTGAGGCTACCACACTTATAATTCAATTCAACATTCAACCCCATCTGTCTTCGTTATCTGTCCTGTATTGTCTTTGGCCATTTTAATAATTTTTCCATTTGTTATCGTGAATCCCGGGTTTCCTTCCATTTTCCTTGAATAGCTTATCCAAAAAGTTTACCCAGATTTCCTCTGACATAAGATGCTTTAGTAGTGACATTCGTCTTTCAGTGAGATTCGTCAAAAATGACGTCAAAAGCTATTGAAAAATAACAGCAACTAACTGCAGCTCAAAGAGTGTATTTCTCTGTGTCGAAAAAGTTTTTCCTCTCAAGAACTGTGGAAAATCTTCTAAGGGGTGGTAGGTCAAAGACGTTTGCGACGCCTAGAATCGAAACATCTTTGCGAGGAGGACTGCAAAGCGGTTTGAATCGCTGCAAGATATGTAATCATCAACCAAACAAGCTAAATCCTAAAATTTCGCCAAAAGCACAGCAAGAATAATCACAAAACAAGACAGCTTATTAAAAATTTTGGTATTTAGAAAACAATTTGTTTACAATCATATTATTTGCATCCATTGAATTAAAAACAGTTTTTCAATGTTCCCAGGCATTTGTCTTCGTCATTTTTTCCATCTTCTCAGAATATTCATTTTCCCCTGCAAGAAATAAAAAAAGTAAAATAATATGATGTCTTGAGTATAGATGGAGATACGTCATATATTTCTGTATTATAAATTACTAAACAGAAAATACCATGGATAAGATAAGAAGTAGGAAAATAATAACGATAGAAAATAAGGTTCACTGACAGAGATCTAACTTAAGATCTAACCTATCCTTCTTGAAATCCATTGCCTACATGTAAATATATCCAAACTGCTTTAAAGATCAGCAGGCTTTCATTAATTGTAAGTTTGAAAGCAATTATGCACTAAGAGTTTTTGTTAAGCAGAGGGAAAGACCGCATATAAGAGTTAGGGGACAGCTTAAAAACAGCACAAACTGCTATTCACTGTCAACAATCAACTGTCCTGGTTTTGTCTCATAATCTTTGAAAATTGGCATGTTTTATATAGATTGTTTTGATCTAGTATATTCTTTGAAGAAGTGCTGTCTCTAAAAATCTAAATATCACATCATTTGTACACAAAAATCACGAAGTTCTGAATTCCAAAAGGCTATGCAGATCTTGATTTTTAATGACTGATGTATTTAACTAGCAATTTTTAGATTATTGATGCTCATTGGCTACAGCCACCTAATTTAAATCTTCCAATTGGCAAACATTTTTTTTCAAAAGGGCCACTTCGTATTATTCAACGATGAGATATTAGAGGAACGCTTCCCAAAACAAGTCTCTGCTCTACCTATTCTGACAATACAGTACTTGACTACAATGTATATCAAATTTCGACACTGACCTGCCTTTGCAGCATATAGTTTATTTCTTCACTTGCCATTTCCAGCTGAAAAGAAGTTTATTTTAAAAATCCTCTATTAAGACATTGGAATCAATTCGATTAACTTTTATTCAAATCAATTCAATTTTGAGTCAATTTTATCGTTAACTTCATTTTTTCACCAACAGTTTTGTTGCAATAATAATCTTAAGATGAGCTGATAATGTAAACGGAGAATTTTTAAGGCAATTGAACGCTTTTCGTAACCTAAGTCTTTTTGTCCAGAGATATTTTTAATTCATGGTCATGCTAAGTTCATCCAAGATTATCCAAAAAAATTATGATCAAAGTAAACATTGTTTTATTGCTAAGAAGAGCGGGCAACTAAATTCTTAGTCACTTTGTGTACCCTGTACACCATGCCAAGTAATTGCAACTTGAGTTGAGAGCACTTTTTCACAGAGACGCCGTAAGGGCTGTAGAGCAACCAGGGGCACAAATTAGGAGGTGTGGGGGTATCAGCCCCGATATTTTTACCCAGTCGACCCCAGACTTAGCTATACTTGTAAAAAGTCGGCCCTTTCCATGGCTGTGGGACCGGATGAGAGCATTGTAGCCAAGAGAGAATTTACAAAACGAAATAATTATTTGTCCAGCTATCATGAAATTATTGAAAAGTCACTGCTTTACATGCACTTTGTTTTGACATTATTTCTTTCTTGTCATCTAATGCACCTATGACTTACATCGTGCTATTGATTTGGAAATAATTGGGCAATACCAGGATGAATCAATTAAACGACCAAATTGTCTGATTTTAAGGTTACGGTAAACGTTTTGAACACGAAAATTGGTTTTTTCTTCCTAAAGGCCAAACAGCTCAAGGAATCTGGATAAACTATATATCATTCGATGCACAAGATTATGGCGTATCTAGCCAGATGAAAAGTATTGGCAAATAATGTTAAATGTTATTTTCCATGCGAATTTACTGGTCAAAAAGTGTACCACCTTCAAAAGCTATTATGTACCCTTGCGTTTGAGGTAACAAAATCTGACTTAGACCAGCAGGAAGTGCAGGTCCTAAGCTACCAAAGAGTGTCTCAGATTTTTTAAATTCCTCCTTTTCTTGAAACTATACCCTGTCAAAAATTGGCAAATAATTGTTCCACCCTCCCGCAGCTGTATTTGGGTATAAAAGACGGACCAGAGAAAATAAAAAAATTTTGAGACACAATTTGTTTGCCCAACGTCTGCCCTGGCCGTGTGCAAATTTTCGAGCCATTCGATTGGTTCCTTGGGTACATAATAGCTTTTTCGTACCTGCATGTAGAGGAATTTCGAGTCCGGAGAGAACGGGATTTTACTGATCGCACTTGCAAGATACACTCGTAAACCACAGTGTAATCCGGGTCAAGTCACTTGAAGATTTAAGATCAATAAGCCTGTTTAAATAAACACGGCCGTACATTGGGTATATGGATGTGCCATGCGATATTGTAAATGAGACATGCGACTACAACCGCAAAGCAACGATAATCGGCTTAAAAGGTCAAGAGATTTTCAGGCGTCAACTAAAAGTTTTGATAAAGAAATTATGGAAACCTTCGTTTACATGGGATTTTTTCCACTTTCAAAATTTCTGTTTGTTTCAAATTTGGTGTCATTGTGTGCCTTGAAAGTTCGGCTACTTGAATGTGAAAAAATCGAAAAAATGATGTTTTCATCCAGCAAACGTTTACCGTAACCTTAAGGTCTCCTGGTCAGTAGAGCCAAAGAAGAGGCCTTAAGATTTGAAATTCGCTGGAAAAGTTTTTTCATTTCATTTTCAATTTTTTAGGCATGGTATCTCCTCAGTTAGAGAAAAACTTATTTACAGGGGGCCATGCATTTAAATACCTTCTAAGTTAAAATAAATATTATGAATACAGTATATACAATAAGATTAAATGAAACAAGATTAAAATAAACAAATATGCCCCCTGATCCCATAGTACAGTGTGTCTCAGGCATGTCTATGTGCCCATTTGGTCCTGCCTCCTCTACATAGGAAATTGTTGTTGTTTGCTTTGGTAGATGTAAGATTCATATTTGTTTAGTTCCTCCCAACGAATAATTTTAGCGCAGTGCGGGTTATCTTGGCATTTTCTCAAGTGTGAGGGGATCTTGCAAATAGTGCACGAAATTTCTACGGAAACAAAAGGATTTGCAAAGATTTCAGATAAAAAATTGGATTTCTACCCAAGGTGTACGAGATTTTTGTGGGCTGATTAGACCCTCGGCCAAATGTATCTTCCCATATTTTCCTTTCGTTTTTCTGCTTAGATTGGTTTGAAGAAAGTTGGACAATTTATGTATGCAAGTCATTCCAACTAGTCCTAGCACCCTCCCAAAGAGATAAAATTGTCCCGTGAGGGCAAGGAAGCAAAGCGGAAAAAAACAGAACAGTAGCAGTAAAAAGAAAACTGATTAATTTTTAGAGGGCAAGGGGGCATCACCCTAATGCGCCTCTGTGCGCCCCTTTTTCCGGCGTCTCTGCTCCTTCACCCCCTCCTCTCTCGGTGCTTTAAATCACAAGGATGCCAGTAGTACTTACTAGTTCATCGCTTGCTTTGAAGATATGCGTTGCAAGGATTTTCCCGTTCGATTTGCTTGTAGACAGAAGCAAAACATTGCCAATTTCCTTTCCGCCATCTGTGAGTTTGCATTTCGAAATCTTTTTCATTCTATAAGCTTCCAGTATTTTCTATAAGCAAAGTTTAAAAGACCAAACATTTGATTACACTTTTATAAAGCCATATATTTTACCAGATCTTAACTTTGACCAGTGGCGTACCCAGGGCTGCAGCAGTGGGGGGGTCTGGGGCGTAGCCCCCAGAATTTTTTTGACCACGCCCTTCAGACACTCGCAAATGCGGGAAAACGCCCTTTTTGCAAAATTTTCCCCACTTTTTTTATTAGTGTTAGCTACGGTAAATAGCAAAGTATTTTACAATTGTTATTGATACAAGCATACAGTATACTGCAACCACCCCCCCACCCCCCTAATGAGCTTTACATCATTTTTGGACAAATCTCGAGGATCATATTTTAGAGAAGTGGGGGGGTCCGGACCCCCCTATTCCCTACCCCCCCCCCCTTGGGTATGCAAACTTACTTTGACAAAAAAGCTTAATCAATGCAGCATACTTCATTTTTAGGGTTTTCTAGGCATTTTAGTTAGAGTTGCGAATCCAGTGGTTCCTGTTGTTGCCTGTTAAAATCTAAAACATCTAAGGTTGAGAGTGAATCAATACAATTAGCAATTCAGATATGAAATATCTAAAATTTAAAGACGAATTAAACAAATGAAATAACACCTAATACATTACATAGTTGCTCGGTGATATAACCAAATCACTATTTTTCTTTTTTTAGTACTTCTACAACTAGCCTATAGCAGATTTCAAAGTTACCCAATTCTAACCATAAAAGTTACTAGATTCTAAGAAAGTTACAGAATTAGCCAGTTACTTGGATCCACTGCTAAGAGGAAAGTAGACAACGTACTTTAGTATGCTCATCAGATACAATTAGCACTTCGTCTGATAGATCTAACAGTAGTGGGTAAGGCAATAGTCCTTCCTCATCTTTGATTCTCTAAAATGAAATTGCCACAGATTAAACTCAGAAATGCAGATGTTATTAAACGACACTACGGTGCGCTAAATTGCGCTTTCTTTCTCATTCTAGAAGTCGAACATTCCAAACAAAACACTTTAGTTGAAACGATACGTTAAGTATCAATTTCTCTTCTTCGTTATAATTTTAAAAGCACATATTGCGGTTTTAAAACTTACACTTACACTTTCAAAACGAGCTAGGAAGACAAAAAGCGTGTTCGCAATAGAAAGAGTAAATATTGGAGCAATAGAATATTTTGACATTCGTATATTGATTGGAAGCAATTGCTATTTTCAAAACTGACCCTGGTATACGCAGCGTAAGCACTTAGCTCAGGGGGCCTAGCTCCCATCCCCCAATCATACCCTAAATGGACTTGAAACACAAACTGAATCACGTTGCAATGGTTTTCTCCCTGCTAAAACGTTTAGCCACCCACCTCCCCCTTTAATATCTCATTTGCTTTGCGTTCTTTGGTATGTATAGGACTTGGTATAATGACTACAAAGAAAACATGAAAAACTAATAATTATCACTTACGTTCAATGTTTCTATTGCTTTTTCCTTTTTGAGAATTCCAGGAAACGACGCCATATGCTGATAAACATTAAAGTATTAAAACATTAAGACTTAAAGAACATCATAGGGAAACAAAAATGGTGTAGCTAAATGGCTTGAAAGTTAGCAATATTATCTTGGTATATTAGCAAATTTGAGCGGAAAATTGCCCTTTATGATTTTTGAATATTTATACTGTTTTAGCATATTGATAGATTTTATGTATTCTTTTACTTTACTTTGTAAATAGAACCCCAAAGATCTGATGCAAAATCAGTTTAGTTAATTGAAAGTGCAAAAACATTACAATTATAGTCGAGTCTATGAAATCATTCAACATGAATATACAAAACTTTTATTGTTTATTACTTGTAAAGGTCGTTACTGAAGAAGGACATAATACGGTGGGAGCATTTTCTACCATTTTTGTTTTGTAGCGAAACTAATCGGATGTTGTTAAGAAGTCTTCATCTTATGGTTTTTTGTAGAGAATCCCAAAAGTGTACTAAACTAAGGGTTTCTCACCTTGAGACTGTACATCTTCAAAAGAAACAAGCAATTTGACGTCACAGTTCTTCACCAAACTACGAATATAAATGTATACAAGCTTAACCTCGTTCAGGCTCTGAATATTTAACTCTTTCATTTCCGACCCGAAAGCCTTCTCATTATAAAATATTTGATGTTAATTGATGACATGTGACACCATAAATCTCTCATTTATTTAGTAGGTTCATTGTTCCTGGGTGCCTACTAAATTATCCACGTGCATTCAAACGTAATAAGTAAAGCCCCGTTAAAACGCTCTCAACATTTCACTGAACATCGCTCAACATTTGTACAGTGATGTTTGGTGATGTTTAGTAATATTGAATTGGGGTGTTAAAACGCTCTCAACAATTCGACGCAACATTCGTTGAGCGGTGAACTTCGGACTCTCAGAGATCCAAGACAAGTTTGGAAGATGAACTTCGGATACTCTTTCACTTTAACAGTAGCTGCCTGATGATTTCCTAAGGTCAGGATATTGGTCTTGCAACATGCTTTGAATTGCTATCTCATCCGATTTACTTTCACTGCCAACTGTTTCCAAGAGTTTGTCATGGTGTGCCATTACAATTTATAAAATTCAACTTCTCTCAACCTCTTGGTCTGATCTGAAATCTTGACACGCTGAAGCCTTTCTTTGGCGCGCAAAATCCAAGTCTAGTGCGCTTGCGCCGACTGAACATTGTTGTATGGGGTGTTAAAACGCTCTCAACATCTCTAAACAACACCTTTAACAATAGAAATGTTGAGTCGACCCGCTGAACATTTTTGAATCTGTTCAAACTCCACTCAACATCGCTGAACACCGCTCAACACCACTCAACATCACTGAACAGGGTGTTAAAACGCTCTCAACATTTGCACTCTACAAATGTTGAGCGATGTTCAGTGAAATGTTGAGAGCGTTTTAACGGGGCTTAACTTTTGTCATTGTTTCAGCACTTGAGTTAAATTGATTTGGCGGCACGCGCTTCTTTGTTTGCAACAATTTCCTTTACATTACTGGTATTGTACACATTTAATATTTTGCTTTCCCAGGGGAACTACCCTGCCTTGCAGTATCTAATGCACATAAGACTTACGTTACATACGGTACATAAGAGCGGGGCTGCCGGTAGGTTTCGGAGGTCCTGGGGAAAACTTTTCAAAGCAAAAAAAATTTTCGCGTCGATGCCTTTTAGATTAGCGTAAAATACACTTCAGAATATTTCTTGCAGTGATTTTCTTGCAACGGCTTATAAAAATTTCCCTTTTAGGCATACTTTTGTTACGTTGATTAATTCCATTCAAAAAATAAATTTATTACGTTGGTATGTCCTGCTGTTATAGCACGTTTATAATGCTGAAGAAAGGCAATAGACATGTCATGACATACATGGGCCTGGAAAAGGTTGTTTGTAAAATTTTGCAGCATTCTCGCTTTCTTTCTTTCTTCTGCTTGCCTGTTTTCTAATACTTTAACAATGGAGAATATCATATTTGCATATCTTTACAGCAAGCAGTTTAACTGCACAAAACTGCATGTGTAGGTTCTGGGTTGTCGACCAATTGTCGCATTTGCACGGTATTTGGAGCATATTTATAATCAGTTCCATGTATACCAGGTACTTTTAAAATAAAAAAACACTTACTGCTTCCTATGTAAGTCGACTTCAACAGCGATTGTGTCAGTCCAGTGTTGTGGCGCATTCGAATGCCAATGCAACTTAGCGTGCTTTCATGGGTCTATATTACATCCTCATAACTTGCGTAACTTTATTTGCCAATAGTAATTTGCTCATGTAATTGCTCGTTAACTGTTCTGCAGCAAATACGGGGCTGTTTTGCACATGCAATCGTCAGTCAGCCCTTAAGATAACTGGCCTAAGCAACAAGTTGTTTTTTCATGTTGATATGAGTGAACAATTGCTATATCTATCTCACCGCAGTTTTAACATTTCTTTAAGCTTATTGTTTGAACTCATTGTGAAAATGGTTAACAAAAAATGTCCAATGAAAAAATACGTTACTTAAAAAAAAGCCTTGCTACATTATTTGAGCAACGTCGATTTTCCCCTTCCTCTGTGTTGCCATGTTTTTGTAAATTAATTGTTTAAGAACTAATGAAATTGTTGCAAAAGAATCGTTGTCTCTCCTAATGACTGCTAACGAAGTTTTGATTGCTGAAAAGGAGTCGTGTTTCTTTGACAAAACGAATCTGTTTACTAATCTTTATTATTATTAAAAGTTTCCAAGCTTTGTCACGAATATCTTCCAATACCAATGAATTTTTTCAAAGAAATAGTTTCGTGTAAAGCTGATTATTGCTAGGAAACTTATTTTTGCTTGTCTGTTTGTTGTATAAGAGTTCATTGAAGTGTGACAATGGTCACCTGAAGATCTGCTAAATCAAGTAACAGATGACCATATATTTATAAAGAAGGGTTTTCCTTATCAAAGCACTCAAGCAGAAAATCAAGAAAAGAAATTCGAAAAACACGGTATAACGAACGGTTTTATTCCAGTTTGCTATCAGTCTCGACGACCTCTTCATCTCTAGGTACTACAGCTCCTTACCTCCTATCAATCCAGCCGTACGCTTGCGTGCCTTGTTTGTGTCATGATTTGCGAGCTTATCCTGGTAGTTAGCAGTGAATAGTACATCCCCTGCCTTTCCTTAGGTTACAGGTTTTGCTTGTAACACCCCTGTGAAACAATCCCAGAGAGTTTCTTTTGTCACAGGGAATAGCAGGTAAATATTTCAAGGAAGCAAAATCTAACTTAGGCTGGCAGGAGATACAGGGGCGGATCCAGAGCAAATTTGAAGGAGGTGCAGTTGGTAGTGGGGACTGCCCCCAGTTGCCCCCTTTTCAATCCGCCATTGAGGAGATAAGTAAAATATGATTCGAGAAATGGTCCTCACAGAGCGCTGTTGAAAAAATTTCTGTTAATCTTTGATCAGGTAAGCAAAAAGGGAACTTAAAACTGGTTGTGGACAAACATTCTTGAATTAACTTGCAAGGGACAAGGGGAAATAGAAAAGTTCCCGGGTCATTCAATTTTTCGAGACTGCTGGGCCAGCAAATTTTTCACCGGGCTTGTTACACAGGGGTTTATGTATGGTACAGATTATTGTTGGAAACTTCAAGGAGTTCTTACAAAGTGTTTTCTCCGAATCCCGAATCTTTGTAAGAAGTGATGCTCTGTTGTTTTATCAAACTACATATTTTATCAATGCCGATTTTTTCGCAACTTGGTTGAGAGTTGCCGGGAGCTCGACATACCAAATACGATAAATAGATTAATTAAAGATAAAAAATTTTGGAAACTTTCTTCGCAATTTTAGACACTCCTTCAGTAATCAATATATTAGTTCTTGAACAAATTGAAGAAGAAAAACCATTGTGAGACCTTATTTTTATCTTTTTCGTTTGATATACTTCTCATTTTGTTAACCAGACGTAAATATTTGATATAAATTTTCGACTACGTTCAACAGCTGACAATTTCCCTGGCGTTTTCGCAATCTATAAATACTTAACAAACAGATTGAATCAACTAAAAAAGATTCACGTCATGCTTTCAGCCACTTTCTTGAACGAGAGAAAAGCGTATAAATATAATTATCAATTTACTTTTTTCGCCAATGCTTAAGAGTTAACACAGTATGAATGATAATTGTCCAGGATTAGAGAATGGCTTTAGCAACAAAGAAACAAATAGCAGGTGCCCATGACTACTGGTTTTTGACCAACTGGTGCCCAGAATATTGTGGATTGGCATCTGAATGAGATCTTGAAGGTCTGTGACCAGATCTTTGAACACAATCATCGTTCGGCATACTGCTCACTACCCTCTGGGTCAATCCCTTCAATCGGTTCTTCTGATAAACTTAACACCTCTCATTGTGACATCGTGTGCCTAGAAATGGTAAGATCTATTTTTCCTTTTGATTACATTTTGGATATAGTTTGCAATCATTGATTACATTTCATTGTTGTTCCTAAATTGTTTGTTTTAATGTGTCGCATATTTATCAGTGCACTTGCATGCTGTTTAATTTATAGGCAGCAGAAAAGCAACTTAGAAAGAGTAACTGCTTCCATCTCATCATTGTATATCTTCTTCTAAGCTCATCAAAGACCTGAGCCAAAGCCTTTCAATTTTCAAAGTAGCTTTCAGTCGTTGATTTAAGAAAGAGAGCTTTTTCCCAATAAGTGAGTTTCAAACGAACGAAAAACATAATTACAGTGCACTGATTTGCTGTAAGCAAATTGATATTTTCGAAAGATAGAACCCAAATTATAATTTGCACCATCTGCGAAGTCTCTTTTAAAAGCAATTTTAAAGGCGGAAAACATCATGTGAGGTAATTAGGTGAAGAATTGCAGAGGAACCGTACATTCTTCTCATATGCTGCTGTCAATTTTTACTTCATCAAGCCTTGCATTTGACAATTTAACCTAAATATCGCTTTAGACAATAATGTTCTGCTAAAGCTAATTACGATTAAACATCAGACAACAGAGGTTGCTGTTTTTGGTGCTTCCGATGGTGCAAGCTCGAAAATGATATAAAAGGGTACATTTTGTTAATTTGCTGAATTCGTCCCATTTATAGCAAGGATATATAAAAAATATATCTCAGTAATGTCCCCTCTGCTAAAGGATCCAAAGCATGATCGGGAACAAGGGGGGGGGGTGTTGGCATTATATGAGAAACTCATTGTTTAAAAGATTCTTGTCTCAGATACTCCTTTACTAAAGGACTCCTGGTCTCAACGATATTTCTTCCGCAGTGCATCTGAAGCGACAAATATCACAATAAAAGAATTAACTTTGTTTTCTTGTTTTCTTTGCTTTGAAGTATTCATTTCCAGCACATGATATTCAGCACTTTTAGGTATTTCAGCACTTTGAAGTGTTCTTTTGCAGCTTATTCATTCGCTGTAAAGTAAAAATAGCATGAAATAATACAGATTGTATGATAAAAGGTTTAAATTATTATTGATGCTGTTAAACGTTGTATTGAAACTACGACAAAATGCAATGCTGAAGGATTAATAGCATCTTTATTGTCGTAGGACGCAACGAGACGAGAAAAGTTATCAGAAGAACAATTAAGAGGTAGGCAATTTAGAACAGTTTTTGTCTACACACTACAGTGCATGCAGATTTGTCTTTATGGCATCGAACATTCTATCATAAGGCAACTGAGTCGTAAAGATGGGAAGCTACAATTAAAGGCAGTTTGAAAATATCTAATCGGTTACGATGTACTACCCTTGTACTGTTCATTGTTTTGTAAGGAAAACTGCCAGCACACCAGAACGTTAAGCTAGGCAAGCATTACTCCATTATGACGTCACCATAGTTAGTAAAAGCAAAATATTAAAATCCACTATGATATTTTTTCACCAGTGATACTAATTGATATGATATCTATTGGTTGTAGTTAGATAGAGTTGTTCATAACATTTTTGTTTGCCTAGTGGTTTTTTATTTTTCTAGTATCTTCAAGTTGTGAACATCCTGTTCTTTTATTTTGGAATTAGTTACTAAAGTTTGCCTATCAGCAACAAAACATGTTAAACACCAATATTAAGGTGATGTGAAAACCCCTTTCATGTCTGATACCAACATGAAGTGTTTGCAACAAAACTTATTTTTGCTCAAATGGCCTTCGAAACGTTGAAGTGCAGCACGGAATAGTGCTTTTTGAACGCGAATTTGTTCACAAATAGACAGGTTATAAGCTTATGAGCAGAAAACTGATAAAAATCCTCAATTGCCCGTGCTGCCAGTTGGACAAGTGCTATGTCTACAGTCTAGCTCTCGTGATTAAGGGTGTTTGCTGGGGGGGGGGGTGAGGGGGTGGCGGGGGAATTGGTTTTTGTACTTTTTACAAGAGAAAAGCCCTAACATCGTGTTTGCCAATGTAGCTACCATTAATTGTAGTAACATTTCCCTGTTTTGACACCAGATTTCTGTTTCAACTGTCAACCTATTTCGTATTAATTATCGATAATCAGGTCAGTATATTAAATATTTAATATTTCAAATGGCCTCCACTGGTAACACATCAGTAAAAAGCGGACATTGGATACTGACACCAGCTATACTTTCCAGTTCGCGTCCAGTACAAATTAGACTTACATAGAGATGTGTTTTGGCCGTCATAGAGGGCTTAGTAGAGTCAATAAAGTTGCTGGTGCTTCTAAGGATTTTTGGATTCAACCTAAACGTTTATCATGCCAGGGCTCCTTTATCAAGCTCCAAGAACCTTGTTTTGACATAATTTATAAAGTAAGGTTCTTTTTTTAGGTCGTTTAACGTCAGGTTTTTTACCGCTACAGTGATCTGAGATTAGAGAGAATTCGTTTCAACTGTCTGACAAGTAAAATTGACTTTTGGGGCTTAGCATAGTTTTGTTAGTTGAGCCAGGGAAAAAGTTTGACTCACTATGCTTTGATGTACTTTATTTTAATATTTACCGCTGTAAAATTCTTTCTGCTGAAGTTATCTTTCCTCGGTGTTTTTCAGAATTTCACGATGCATTTTGTGCATTCGATAGACGACAGGCAGGGTACATCCTCAACACTGACATCAAGCAAGTGATGCGATCGCTTGGATTTAATCCCACAGAGCAAGAAGTTGACAATATGTGCATGAAAGTTGACAACGATGGTATGATTATCATTATCGAATTGTTTTCGTGTATATGCTAAGCTCTAGGCATTTCAATTGCTACAGCATCTCATGTTTGATACTCAACAGAATTGAAAGTGAATATAAAAGAGCAAACAAAGTACATTGGAACTTGCAGGTATCGATATACTTGTTGGGGTGACGAAGGAGCAAAAGCAGTCTAATGTGTGTTGCAACCTTCCGTTTTAGGATTAAAAAGCATGCGTTGTAATACACCAGTCAACTTAAGGCCACTTTCTTAGAAATTTCGCTAAACTTTATTGAACGACTTTTGAGCTCAGATTTGGTTTTATCATTTCCGGGTGAAACTTTACCCCCTTAGTCACCAATCACGGTCAAATCCCTTATAAATTTTTACAAATTATAATATGTCGACATAAAATCAATTTCGGAAGCAATAACATAATGAAAACTTCCAAGTCGACTGAAATTCTTGCTTTCAATCCGAATCTGCAGTCAAAAATCTTGTACAAATGAATTTGACGGATATATCAAAACGAGGCTGTAAGTTGAACTGGTGTATGATTAAGCTCCACGCGCATGCTCTTTGACTCTATGACTCTTTGTCTTCATAAAGTCTTTCCTTCACTCGATGAAAACTTTCTCCTGTTTGTCTTCATTATCAACACTTTTTGCACGCCTTTAATATAGCGGCTGCACGATAGTTATCTATTGACCAATCTATAGCCGTGGTAACATATGGCTATCCACTCCAATATTCTTGAGGTGCTTGTGCCCTTGCAGTTTTAGGCATAAGGCTCAGAAGAGCAATTACATACTTTAAGAAGATATCCAAGAAATGAAGGTCGTGTATCACCGCTATGTGGGGCGAAGCGATCTGTCAAATCTTTTGTCGGTCTTGAAATAAGTGATATTTGCTCCTGGTAAATTATAATAAATTAATTATTTAGATATCTTGAACAATTCATTCTCTAAATAATGCATGTAATCGAGTTCTACGGATAACGCAATATTGAATGTCAAAGATTTTTGGATAACGAGTTTTAAAGGGATGAGGAAAGCATGGTTCCTGAACTAGCGGCGGCACCAGCTCCCGAAAAATGAGAAGGAACAAACATTAGGATCTTTGCGATCACGCCCTTATTGAAAATAGGATAACTCATTTCAACTAAGACGATGTTAGGGACCACAAATCAACCCCGTTACAGCAACACTTCTTAACACAGTGAAATTTTGAATCGGGGAAAGTTTATAGAAAGATCATATAAAGCTTTTGAAAAAGAGGGTGGAGAAGCAGTTTTCGAAGTAAGCAAAATTATTTTGTTTGTTTATCACTTTACGCCCCCCTCGCAATAATTTTTCAACGGATTTATGCAAATTAAAAAATCGACCTTTGCAAATTTTTGCGACATGTCCTTCCCAGTTCCCCCCGTGGCACCCAGGGGCGAAACTACCGGGGGGTGTGGGGGGGTGTGACACCCCCCCAATCCAAAAAATTGTCGATTTCGCAGGGCAATCGAAGATTTCGCAGGGCGCCAAGAAAAGCTTTATTACCACGCAGAAATGCCATCTCTGAAGTTCGTAAAGAGCCGTTTAGGAATTTTGAAATGGAAATATCGTATTTGTTATGAACCTCCCTTCCTGACATTGCATTTTAGAGAATGGAACAGGTATGTAAGGAAAAGCTCCGTTATTTGCAAAGCGAAAGCATTTCTTACCGAAAGTCATAGCCAATGGTACCCAGGGTACCAGAGCCGCAAAAATTAAAATTAAAAAATTTTTTATCATTTTTTCTATTATCTTTTAACAGTGCATGAACTTAAAAACATAATAAATCGTTAAGATACCGATTTTGTTTCATCTAATTGCTAACTTTTTCACGTATATTTTTATTATTTTTCTTTTATTTGCATTAATTCAGTAAATCATTTTCTGTATCATTGCAATGTTTTAATTTTGGATGCGTAAACATGGCCTTCTTGATACAAGAAACTGCACATTTCTGTTCAGGAAAAAAATTCTCCCAATCAAAACAACATCTTCCTCTGTCATTCACAACTACGTGCAATCTGAAACGAAAGGTTGCCGTTTCTTTCCTTCCCCAACGTCTAACACTAGAGTTTTAGCATGACATCCCCCTCCCGTTTTTTCACAATTAACAATAATATTTTCAATAAACAATCAATTCTTTTAGCACAATAGTATTTTGCTAAATTTTTGTCTGAAAGATGCTTTTTAGCCCTTTTTACAAGGTATAATTTCAAAAAAAATTTTCACGTCGGACCCAACCATGGTGGGTCCTCCTACCTCACTAAACTCGACTCTTAGCCCCACTGGGTTAAATTTCGTTGCGCTGTCTACATCATGTACCCATCCCCCCACCCCCCAATTAGCTGTTTATTAGCTTAATTTTGCAAACCAACATTAAATGAAGTGAATATAAAAAAAAATTACGCTCACGTAGAGAAATAGAAATTTCATAGGCAATGAAGTTTCAAGTTTGTTTTTTTTGCTTAGAAGTTTGTCCTTGGTAAAGACCAGTGTACACTGGTAAAGCTTTCACTAGTAACCTATAGACAAACCGTTGCTACGAGGTCTGCAGGGCACCACTCAGTTTTGCAGGGCAGAAACCCAGAAACCCTTTTCACCCCCCCCAAAACTATTGGCCAAGTTACGCCCCTGGTGGCACC